TTTCCATTTTAAGGTTGGCAGTGTTGGCTTCCGATGCAGTGATTGTTAATGAGGAATGATATTCCGTCGTGATTTGTGCGGAATCTTCTGCGCTTTGCTCACTTATTTAGCAATGATTTATGCCGATTATGTAGTCATCGTATGGCTCATTGCACCTACCTTCATGCAAAGGTGTGCATCAATTCATTCCGATCTTTTCAGCAATGGTAGTCCATAAAAACATTTCCATCTCTGTATTTCTGTTAGTATTTTCATGCCTCATTAGCGTTACTATAATTTTAAAAAGAATGACACATTTACGGGCGTTCGGCATCACTATTTCATAACTGTAATGTACATTTTAGGACACTATGTTGCGTGTATGTGTATGTGTTAATATTATTATTATTATTATTATTAATATTATTATTATTAACCTGTGCTTGCGAAGACTTCCATTAAGCCTTACTATTATGACTGAAGAGAATTTACGAAACAATAATTTGTAATATCGCTCATTGTCAGTTGCAGTTTATGGGGTGCGCTGCATGCAGTTATGTTTAATACAGTGTTGTTTTTTGCATTTGCATCTCATTTGCGAGCAATGATTACGGATCCAGGGATTGTGCCGATTAGTCGGAGTGGGTGCGTTAATTTGTAATTACTTTCTAATGATTTATTAGCGCATTACTTGTTTTTAGATTTTTAGTTTTATTTACTTTAGCAAGTGATAAGTTAAAAGTACTACACGAAATTGAAATCTAAAACTAAACGTAGTCGCGTTCTCAATTTTCCAAATTGGACAACTCATGTGTCTTATGATAACGGCTTACTACTAAATGAGTGTATTGTGCATACTCACTAAATGAGAATGTAATATTTGTTCATATGCTCTGATTCATAATTTTCACTCTTACTTCATACTGTTTTTCAGTTGTTCAAGTAAAATTTTTGTACAGACTGCAGAATTTAAATGCTGATTCAGGTATGGAGTTATTAGTCGTCTTATATGTTTTTATATTTATTTTTTGATGTTTTTTCAGATTGTTACATTGTAATAGGAATCGTTTTCCTAAATCGCTTTCTGATAGTGAGTCCAATAGTACAGATACCGATGTGGAAGTGATAGAAGAAAATAAATTTGTGGTTAGCTCACTTTTACTTAACCGCTTCTTATTCCATGATAGAATTATCTATTCTACGCCTCGATCAGATTTAAATATGATCTTCGTGAATTATTCAAGTTTTATATACAAATAATCGATTGTAGATAAGGTAAAAATGACACTATATGAAACTAACCTAGTGGATTTTTTGTGGTGATTTATGAAATCGTAATGAAATTTAATAATTTTTGAGGGAAAGGATTGGACAATTTGCACTCGATGCGAGTCTTATAGACCACCGCGAGCACATCATTGTCGTATCTGCCGACGCTGTATTCGAAAAATGGATCATCACTGTTAGTATTTGTTCATAGTTATCAGTAGTTTTTATTTTGATTCTGCATAAAAATTAAGTACTGTTTTCTTTCGAATTATCCTGTCATTGAAAGTAGAACGTTTTTCAATAGTAGCAGAACTATTTTCGTCGTGGTCTTGCAACATGCTATTTTCTCCTCTTAGTAAACAGATTATCTTCTTTGTAGTCCATACTGCGCATATTTTGTGCCGTCCACAATAAATTTGAAAATTAATGAGAAGAATTGTGTGACGAGTGAAATAGTTTAGGTCTTACTTTTGAATTTTGATATTAAAGCCAAGATCTGGTAGAAAGAGATTTTCAAGATGAGAAAAGATTACCTTTGCATCGAACAAGATGTCTGTGAGAATTTCTTGAGAGCAATGTGCGAATTTTTTGATTTGAATTAGTGGAATGAACGAAATAAAGAAGACATGAAGTTCATTGAAAATGTTAGTCACATTTTTCTAGTACTTACTAGATCTTCAATATTTTAAGGTCCCTGGGTTAATAATTGCATCGGCGAGTACAACCAAAAATATTTCCTTCAGTTTCTGTTGTATGTTGGCCTATCTTCAGGATATGCGCTCAGGTATGTTTTTCCAACATTTTTTTAGCATTGCGATTATGCATTTTATTGAAATTCTCAATGGAATACCTAGCTGATGAACATTTGTACTTACTTTTATGGCTGTCGTTGTGAAACTTTAAGTTATGCAATCGCCAAAAAGTGGGAAACTCACTTTATTTTTCGCGAATATTACCCTTCTTTCTATATTTCCACTGTTTCACATTATTAAATTTTAACACATTCAAACTTACATTTTTTCATATATCTAATCTTTTCTTTTGAAATACCATATTTAGTTTTTTTTTTTTTTTTCAGTTTAATAGTGACGGCTTGGGTATATCACGATGAATACGGCATTACCGGTATGAAAGGACCATATGGACAAAGTGTACATCATGCGAAAATGTTAGTGTTTACAAGAATTTAAACCAGAATTCTACTTACTATTATTTACTTTTAGATTGCATACCGTTTTCCTCTCTATCGAAAGCGCTCTATTTGGTTTGTTCGTTTTGGCGGTTTCTTGTGATCAGGTAATTTAACAAGAAAGCAGTTGTCATTTTAAACAAGAAATATTAGACAGCATTCTTGAAATTTCATTTTTATGTTATTATTGTGATATAATATCTAGAGAGCTACTAATATCTCATTTAGATACAAGCACTTCTGAACGATGAGACGGCTGTAGAAGCAGTTCAACGCAAGGGTTTCCACAATCGAGTGGCTCTATCACGCTCAAAAGTAATTTTGGTGCGGGAGGTGTGCGGCAGCGGTAAGCAGATTTTAAAAAGAGAATAAGGAAATTATATTAGTCCTTCTTTCTTATCTCGCATTACTTCTTCCCCGGGTAAATTAAGCGACATCTTTCGTTATTACAAATATGTTAAGAATTAACTGTGAAATAAGAGAGAAAACCTCATATCCACATTTTGAACGAATATTGTTTGATATATAGATCAGTTTCAATTTGTTTTAATTTTTAGGACCAATGATATTGTGGTTGTTACCATGCTCAGCTTTGCCGTCAGAACGAGACTTGATTCAACTCTCAAATCAACCACTTATTGTTTAAAACTTGATAGCTGTATGTTTCACAACAGTTTGGAGACGTTTGTTGAATGTTCAGAACTGTATATTTTCCACAAAGAGTTAAGAATTCCTGACAATATATTTATCTTGAGAAATGCCCTTGTTCGTTTAGTTTGTACAATTTATACCAAGTAGTATAATTGGTACTTAAGCCTTTCATTTTTTTTTTTTTTTTAATTTGAAAAATGGTATAATGAGCGTAGATGAGAAATAGTAGTCCTGTTAACATAAAGCGGCACGTTAACCCCGTTCTCGTTTCTATATCCAGTTAGTAGACAAATATGCCTTTGAAAACCCTTTCAATCATTTTCTCAACATTTACTTCGTTTCAAAGTCCGCTATATCGCCATGCCTTACCTCGTGCTTTCTGCTTTTGCTTGTGACGATTTCCTGTTTATACTGAATTCCATACATTTGTCACTTTACTGTTCATGTTTTTGTGCTTAATACAGCCATATAGCTAAGTACTGTTCTCCCTTCACGACTATTACCATTGGAACAAATGAGAATAGAACGAAATTTATTAATGTCTAAGCCTTAGGCTTCACGGAATATGCCGGGCTCGCCCGTTCGCTTTATCTGGAGCCCGCAAGCTCCCATCTGTTTCTGCTAACTCAAGACCGCCACTGTAAAAGTCGAGATTGTTGTCTAAGCACCACATTGTCTGAATCGACTAACTACTAGTGCCGTTTAAAGGACCTAATATTTTATAAGGTCTCTTCATTCCTTTTTTTCTTGAAAAGTAGAATCATCGTTTTATATGCTACTGTGTAAACAACTATCAAAAGCAGACCTCAAAAGACTGAAGGTGCAACGGTGTTCACGGACTCTCCAATAGTGTCATATTTATTTAAGACTAAATACGGTAAGGTAAATCTACATTTCAGATAGCGCAGAAAACTGGTTGAAATATCTAAAATTGTGTCCTGTCATACATAAAATGTGAAGGTCTTTAAATCCTCATAATCTTATAATTAAAAAAATACGTGGAGAAAACTAACGCTACTGAAAATGACCCTTGCACATATTTTAATTTTAATGAACAAATACCAGCAGTAGTAATAGTACTACTCAACGAGAAAAATTAAAAATAATGATTAGCAATAATAATAATTAGTAATAATAATAGTAATAATAAATAATTGTATTGGTATTTGGTCCACGAACATGTATGAAATAATAACTAATATATCACAACGGAAAAAAAATGATATCACAGATTCAACCTGTTCACAGAAAAATTGAAAATATGGTATTATTAGCTTGAAGCATGTCGCATGAGAAATGTCGCAGACATTTCTGTCACTACTAAATGGTATTTTGTAATTTCGAAAACAATTACTATAAAGAACCTGATATCTGCATTAAGCATAATGGTATAACAGTACCGTATGCTTTTCTAGTTCACATATGTAATAACAAGGAACATCACAACGCATATATGTCAAATGAATAAATCCACACAGTGGCAAATTTATGACTGGAAATTTAAGAACTTATGAAGCTTCAATGCATTTATTGTACATAAAGTCGTCCCACTTTGAAATACCCATTTTAATCGGAAAATGGAATACTGAAACTTTTCCCAGAGCAAGTAAAAGACTTTGAAGTAAAACCACCGTAACGTCAATTACTAAAGTAATAAAGACAGTTCCAAAGACATATAAATTAATAAACTGAAATCATTAATAGTGATGTAATGCACAGGGAAAAAAGTGCTTATAGGGAATATAAAGACTGAAAAGGACCGGGTAAAGTTTTTACAATTAAACTTAAACTAATAAAACTTTATGGAATGTTAAAGTCGAATTAACTTACAGGAGTGTAAATTTCTGCAAGGAACGAAGTCCGGAAAAATTATAGCACCCTAAAGAAAATATATAGTACACTATTCACAGCTTCATTCATTCCCGAATCCTTCAGTTTCATCAATAGCTCTACTTAATTTCTCAGCCAGCTGTTCATACGACCTATACGGCGGCAGATCAAGTCTATTGAAACAAGTGTGCGAACGTGGCAACCAGTTCTCTTTGCCAACTCGTTCAATGCAGAACAGCTGCGGACCTGTTGAACCAATTAGCTCGGAAAAACCACCAACGGGTACTCGACAAGTCCCCGTAACAAATTGCAGAAGGCGCGAGCGCTTCACCTGATCTAGTGAACGGACAAATTGCCAAAACCATACGACCTAAATTTATCGCACATTAAAAATAACAAGTTTCATATGAGTAGAAATAAATCCAACATAGAATACCGCACATCACTGCATTCATCTTCTTACTCATCATCTCATCTCCACATATTCTGACGAAATGAAACTGACCAAACAGAAATGAGAAATAATGTCCAGCATGAATTAATCTCATAGATTTTATCATTACAAATCACTACACATCATCTTCCATTACAGAAAAAGAAGTTTCAGTACAAGCAACGATACCGAATAATTTCCATTATATTTAATAATCCCCCAAAACCTTACTATTGACAGTGAAATAGAAAAATAGGAGGACAATCAATAACTTTTGCATCTCATCACCAAACCTAATTGATCAGAAAATATTCTAACACATTTCCTAAACAGTAAATTTCAGACAGAATTTATTAGGATTTACCTGTTTACTTTGCGGTGCATAATGTCTGTAAACAGTATTTCTTTGCCAGTCATCAACATCGACATCCTGCATTCCACAGAGCAGTAGTTCCAGCTCACGCTCATCAAAATACTGCAACCATTCGAGTGGAAAAACAGAATTAAAACCGGTAAAAAAAGCTCGTGTTTGTTGTTCAATACCACGGTTGAACCGCCATTCCATTAATAATTCAATATATTCTTCCTTGTTTTCCTCGCAAACTTTCTATAAGATTAATAGTAACTTTGCTAACATGCATTAGTAGTGGTTAATCACATCAGGAAAAAGTGAAACAAATATTCGTATTGTCTGCAAAAACATTAAACACAGTCAGAAAAATGAACAATCACTACCTTCCCTACTATCGTAAAAAGAAATCACTAACACCACAAAAACATCTAGCTCATAACTTATGCATTAATATGAAAGACGATCATATCAAAACTGAGGTCAATAAAGCTCTGAATTTCAAAGAAAAGCAAAGCCTTTCTGGGAAAAAAATCCCACAGCACCATATATATATATATATATATATAACCAACCACTCTGCTGGACCGCAAGATCATCAAATTTCGTTTGAATCCCGTAACAACGAGCAATTCCCAACTCTTGCTTACCATAAAGTAACAAATTAGATATAAAAAAACGTTACCAATTCTGCACCACCATCCTTCAATTCATGAGTTCGAATTTCGCCCAATAACTCGTAGTCAGCAACAAAATAGAGCTCCATATCACATTCATCCACATTGTTTTCCTTTATCCACATTAAGCTGTTATAAAATTCAGCGTCAACGCTTTCCAAATCCTTCAGTGTGAACTTCTTTCTGAGCATTTTTTTATAAAAAGGCATCGTAAATCCACTGTAGATAAATTTTCCATGAAAAAGAGCCTGAAATTTAAATAAGCAAAATAGGATTCATTTCACTTTGCAGAAAAAATACAAGATATCTCTCCTTATTTGTTGAGCAATTAAGATCTCAGTTGGATAGCGGCAAACAAACAAATCAATATACCACAACCATAACACATAGAAACTTGTTAAAAGTTATAAAAGATACAAGGTAACAAAGAATATAAGAATTTAAAAAGAAAATACCATGGCAATAAATCGCCCAATACACTCAAAATATTTCAAATGATCAGGATTAATAAATGAGGCAGGATTGATTTGCAAGCTATAATTATTTGCTCCAGCGTACATAAATAAACAGTACATGGGATTGAGTACTTCATGTGATAATAAAAAGAACCATTCCCTGAAATGTCACAAAGATCATCAAGTTTCTGTGTCGCCTTAAAACGACATGAGAATAATGTACAAGCAAATGGCGAATTATAAATTTTGAAAAAAATGCTGAAATTAAATCCCTTCTTCGAAACGTCGAAAATCATATTTATCCTCTAAATAAATAAAATGAAATGTACTGTCCAAAATATACTGGCTTTCACTAAAAATAAAACATAACTTGCAACACCACCATAATCGAGACCTTCTTCACCACGGAACTGTATGTAAAGGCGCCTACGAAGATCCACCGGATTCTTTCTCATTATCTAAAATTTAATTACATACATTACACATCTCCATGCCTTCAGATGATGTTGCGTTTACTACCTTCATTACAGCAAAATGCAACTATGTCAAATGTCAAGAACCTCTTGATATGAATCCTCAAACAAATTGTTGCGAGAGACACCAATTTTCACGTGATTTGGGATACTGTTCGACTGAAAAAAAAATTGATAACTGAATTTGATAGAGGAGAGACTGCAAAACTATGGATTGAACTCTTTTTCAGAACCCTTTCACTTTCATTTTCACTTTTCTGTTCTGGCCTTTAAAACAATAAATATTAAAGTTCAAGTATCGATTCCAAAGACAAAATCATTTACATTAACATTCTTATATATATAATTAAAAAATAACGTACCAGACACAAATACCGAAATTGGGCTATTTTCCATCTAAATGTCCTTTCGAAACTCATCGGCAATCCGTTTGCACCTAAAGGTCCTACAGGCTTTCCAGTACGAGGATCATTGTAAGTGGTTGACTTCGTATTATGATCAATAAAAAAAGGTACTCCTTGTTCCGTAAATCTCATTTCCCAACCGTCTGGTAGCGGCTCATCTGATACGCTATAAATTCATTTTATAGCAAAATGAGATAAAAATTATCTCTATATAAACTTTCAAGAATATTTCAGAGTTGAGCTGCACCGGAAAATCCATAAAGCTTTCCAATATGAGGACCATTATAAATATTATAACCAATTGTTCCATATATTTGTAGTTCATTTCAAGATAATTTAAATTTACAAAAATATAATAACCATTAGATTTAAATAAAGCAGAATGTTAATACCCTCATTTCTTACACGCCATCTAATAGTAACCATCCTTACCTTACTCCCCTCTTCATCCACTTTTTAAAAAGAACTACCAAATACCAAAAGATAAACTTGAACATACCCTTGCGTGCGAGGGTCTTCCCATTGTGTTGTTTTATTAACATGGTTAACAAAATATATACGTCCAGTGTTTGGATCAGCACGCTTCTCCCAGCCATTTGGTAATGGACCCAACGGGTCATCGTTTGATATCATTGCATTTGACTAAAACAATATTATTTTTGGGCAAAAGTTATATAAACTGAGTTACCAAGAATATGTTCTAATTTTTAAATAGTATATACACTTCTGCTATACTCAGTTCATCCTGGGAAACAAAATATATTACATAAAATAAAACTGGTGGTACACAACTTCCAACTAAAACCAAGTTCTGAAAAGACAATCTAACCATAGACACAGAAAGCACAGCTATTGACTACGGTTAATTATTATTGTTTGTTCATATCCTTGAGAAATTTTGCTTTCTATGACATTCCTTACTGCCACTACTTCATTCTTCCTTAACTCTGTTCTCAATCACAATCGACTTACACAATATGAAAAATCTAATAACATGATAAGTTTTAAAAAATAATGCTGAAAGCCAGAATTTACAAATAAAACTGGATGTCATATATGCAGTTACTACAAAAAGGAAGCGAAGAGTATTAAAGTTCAGCAGACACCTGTAGCAAGTATCTTTGCTCCCACTGATGCATTGCCTGATCCCTATTAGACTGCCATAATTCGTGTGCCTCTAGCATATCGGCTGTAGGTCTCTGCCACGTGGTTGTCCTTGTGTTGTGGTCTACGTAATATACACGGCCTCGAGGGTCACGCCGCATCTCCCATCTGTAAAATGTTAGGACCTAAAACCATGTGCAAACACTACATTTTAGAGACATTTGCCTTTGTATTATGGTATTACAAGAGGATATGACGACCAAAAACACTTAGAATAGCAACTCATGCCAGAATGAGACAACGAAATGCCAGGTTTAATAATAAAGAAATGAGCATTTATAAGCTTCACCGAAATAATAACTTGCCCAGATGGTAATGGCGTTGTGCTTGGACGTTCCCATGTTGTACTCTTTGTTGTATGATCTACATAATATTTTCGTCCGTAAGCATCGTAACGCAATTCCCATCCTTCCGGTAAACGTTCTTCAGTTACAGTTGAAGCAGCATGAGTTTGCGAAAGCATAGTGTCTCTACTTTTACCTACAATAATGTAACGCCATTTGTAAGCTTTAAAACACAAAATAACCATAAAACAATTTTGAGAACCTAATGAAGACTACTGAAAAACAGCGTCCGCATGAAAATTACCAGGGTTATTCTTGCGATTAGCATTATTCGTTGCTGCAGTATTGCTGACTGTAGTAGTAACAAGAGCGCCATTCGTCATATTATTTGGACAAGAAGTGGATGCCTCACCAACGTGACCTTCCACAATATGACTACCTCCTATAAACTGTATACTGTCTAAAACATTATGAATTTTACAATTATTCGTGTAAACAAAGATTTAAAATAGAATAATAGACCAAAATTTTTAAGAATTTTGATAACAAATTAAATACAGTTTATAAAGAAGTACGAAGTTAAAAAAATAATCTAGAAATTGAAGAAAAAATTCCAGATATTCAAGTTTTTGAAGGCAAGACGATATTCAAGACATATGTTAATGGATAGTACATCACAAAAATTTCAAGCTGATATAAAAGCTTCATCTGTGAACTGAGGGAATAATGTCTCCCGATCCAGTAATAACAAAAAAGATCCAAAAACCCACAATTAATTAACCAATCCAGTGATGATATTTTAACTGAATAACACTTAATATTCTCAAAACATTATGCAGATAATGAGATATGCTGAAATGGGTATAAAGAAGAGCGATAATCATAAACTTCAGTTGGTTACAACAAATATGTAAAATAGGAAGGATGTAAGCCACATGGCCACACATATATTTACTTATCTATTAGTACTGTTTGCAAGCTTTCCGAATGAGAAATCTTAATGAAATCTACGGACGCCAAAAGAATGTTAATGAAAAATCATACGCACGCCAAAAGAGTTATTTCGGCTAATTTGATGAGATTTGATGAGGGAATAGGACCAGATTATTGTCTTAATAACAAGCGATCGTAACCACATATTCAAATAATGAAAAGTTATTCATTATTTACTGCAATCGCTGTAAACCACAATCATCGCAACCATGTTAAACAAAAAAAATAAAGATAGGCAACATACGGTAACGCTATCGCATCACAATTCAAAAATTTACATAATTTAATTAGAAAGAGGAACAAAAAAAACTTTATATCGGTGTCCATTTATGTTTAAAATGTGAGAATTGTACAAAATGTTTCTATATGAGAAATATGATGAACGGGATTATGCAATTAATAATATGTACTTGAGAACTTGGTATATTTTTCCAAGTCTTTTTTACAATTACTTTATATCACGTAAAAAGATCTTAAAATACAAAATAGGCAAGTTTACAAATTTTACTTTTTCTTTTTCAAGTCCAGCGGATTAACAAGGAGAAATATTAAATTTAAAGAACAAGCATGAATAAACCATCTGCTAAGTTGATGAGTAAGAAACTGCAGCAATCGATAGAGAAGCGAAAATGCACTGTAAAAAATTTGATTCAGTGATGGAAGAATCAGTAAAACACGACATAACTGGAATGCCAGTTTTAGAAGAAGGAAATCCAAAAAAAACGGATTCTATGTATGAGGTAAAGTTTTCTGATAGCTACAAAACTAAAGACGATTGACGCTGAATGCTTTAAGATTTTTTATTGTTCATTATGCAAAACAGCCTCTTTTTTATTTTAAAAGCTGTTATAACTCCAACTGAAAATGTGCAATTTTTTTAACTTATTAACTTCATAATCAAAATTGAAAAGAGCGAATATTTTAACGCTAAAACTTTTACCATCCCCAAGCAAAAAGGTTGCTCCTGCTGATAGTTAAAACTGAATCGAATTTCACAGCCAAACATACGGCATTTACAAGTTGTAATTATTTTTGCAAGAGATAAATTGAAGAACTTCGCCATTTGTTTACAGAACTATACGGAAAGCCTCCGAAATCTTCATATTTCAAATCCCATAGCACCATTCCGTGTTATGAAAACGACAAAAGGGGTTAGTGCAATAAATGAATAAAAAGTCCACTGCATACAATCATTCTGATCCATTGCATCACTAAATGACATCAAAACACAATTGCATGTATGCTAATTATAGGAGCTGACTGTAGCATTTGCTAAACAAATGTTGCATTTTAAAGAGAACAAAGGTATAGTTTAGACTCTATAACGGAAGAATATCAAATAACATGTCATTCATGTTCAACATGCCATTTCAAAAGCAGATACTGATCAAAAAGTAGAAGCTGGAAAATAGTTGTTCAGAAAACCGCGATTTTTATTTCAATGCAGAACAAAAAAAAAAATTACATAACCATACTTTCACTATTACTTCATATGAAACCTCAATTTTCAACTGAAAGTATTGATAATTAAATCGTACTTACCTACACTTTTTTTCTTGGGACGTATAACGATACCAGATACCAAAATCTTCAGTTCGCCTATTCTTGCCATATCTTTCGGTGAAGAAAGGTGCAGCGTCATTTTTGTATTGTCGACTAAAAAAATTATTGATATTGTTACAAAAAGGATGATCCTACAAATCATTAAAAAACATAAATTTAATTGTCGATAAAAAGGTCACTTTTCGTTTAAAATAATCAGAGATAAACGCATAAGGTCTAAGATTGTGTCATGAGTGCTTACTAATCATAAAATACTGGTAAAGGAAACTAGAAGCAAGTGCCAATCAGAACAGAAAATATTGGTCATGCTCTGACTTGTAAAATTCATTCAAAACAGCACTTATATAGACTGAAGGATGCTTGATTGTATTTTAACAGCTTTTCCCTGCATCTGATGTTTATTAATCTTATCTCACACATTCATTCATCCACTTCAGTTAGGTAAGTAGAAATTCAACATTTCTACAAGTCTTACTTTCCCTGAAATATCTGAATGGAAGCGCCTAAGATGCAGGGAATTTCTGAGTCAAAATCCAATATAAAGCGACTATCAGACCGAAAAAATATAATGCATTAAGATAAACACGAATTTAAAATCTGAAGAATTCAGAAAATGAATGCGGCATATTTTTATTATATAACAGAAATATGAAAGTTCAATAAGGAATTGAAAATATGTATAAAAACCAAATAAAAAACTGGAATCATGAATCTAAGAAACGTCACCGCATGCTTACATTTTCCATTATCTGATTCCTTCTTGATTGCATGGGACATTTTCAATATTTTGTGACCAATCAGTGAATCCTCGAACAATTTTGATTTTCCAAACACACGAAATTCAAGAACTGATGATTCATGGATTTGAATCTGAGCATTAGGCATAAAAATTCATGTTTGAAAAAAGTGAATTCAGCTGTATTACTCTGACTTATGGTTAGTATGTTGCCTTCCAGAATATGTCAAAAGTACAAAGTACATCAAATAATTAGAATCCAGATCACTTTTTCTAAAAATTAAAAATCGAGTTCACATATGTGAAGTAGGAAGAATGTTTTGCCAAAGCAGTCAAGAAATGTAAATATGTTGTCTTTAAATGACAGGATTCTGCAAAAAGTAACAAGATGTCTAAATATGCTAAATCTAATCATTCTAGAAGAATAGTTCGAAACTTTTCTTCATTGTTAACCGCGGTTGTTTAAACCGTTTCTCAAAGAAACATATCATTCTTTTTATAGATAGTTCATCGAGCAAATAGAATAACGAGTGATAACGTAAGCCCCCTTGCAAATATAATGCAACATATTCCTGGCATATAACTGCAAAAGACGTCTTGAATGTTTACGTCATTCTTATATCAGCTTACCTGTATTTGTTCATCCCATTGTGGTGCATTTGTCTTTTTTCGGACAGCAGTTTTTCTCGAAGTGATAGAATCAGCAATCACTTCTACATAGACGTCTGGTGGCTTATTAAATAAACCACTAACACCATGCAGCTTTGCTGATATGACTGTAACATATGGAAAGAACAGACACTCAGGAAGAACAATGAATATATATGTGAATTTGCCCATTTTTATATGCACTCTAACAATTTTCTGTGATTTCTACCTTCAGTTTCCCATACTAAATTGCGAAGGGGATGCAGAAAGAGAAAGAATACATCTGGATCAAGCTTATAACGTGGGAATGCTTGACAGCGATCAAATCCCATAAAAAAGAATGCAATCTTTTCTCTAATATGAACAGGAAGTTGTACTTACTGGATATATTTAATGGGAAAAGCTTTGTGCGTTCATCTGCAACCCCATTTTGTGAAGGCATTTTTGTCAGCCTACTGATGATTGCATATATAACCAGAACATTCACAACCTAAAAGATATTGTGGGGATTTTTGGAATTGCTTACAATAACGACAGAGGAGACAAATCGCACTGCTAATTACACCAACATATTCTTAGCTTGCAATAGTTGGAGAATTTAGTCCCGATGATGTACATAAGTTGAAAATAATGGAGAGCAAAATGATCAAGAAGAAAATGTCAAATGTCAGTACCTTATTTTTCGCAGTACATAGCAAAGAGATCGCACTGAGGATTTCAACTGGTAATAACGCAACAAAAGCATTTTAATTGATAAACCACTGATTCATTATAAACACAAAGCATTTCTAGCGCTAAACAACTATTCTCAACAAGAAAGAAAAGCAAAGTAGAGAGAAGTTTCCTGAAACTTGTACTGAAAAGTGAACTATCACAATGAAAAATTTTCTGGCAAATCGCTGCAAATATAATCTAAAACAGGTTGTCCAAACACTGCGGGAATAAAACGCACAGTGGTATTTGAAAATCACGAAGTGATCTACGTAACTAAATATAAATGAGAACGGACAGGCAAACATCACACTAAAATAAAAATAGTGCGATGTCAGTGTGATAAGTTAGGGATGATATATATACGTAAATTAAGCATAAGCTCAGATCTGATGAAACAGCTCAAACGCCTAAGTAACTGAAAGAGAAATCTGATAGAGTTCAAAGAACAGTGGTAGAACTATATTCCTAACAAACTACCACTTGAAAACTTGTTAGAGAAATAGCAGAGAAATTAAATATCTTCAAAGTTTGAAAATCATATGAATCAAAAAACTCTATTATTCACCGATTAAAGATTACAAATAATCTTACAAATGGATATGGGATGACATCAGCCGATGATTCCTTGCCCAAAGTAGAAATTCACTTTGATCAGTGAGAAGTGCGCTATTTGACTGCTTTCACCTTTTGATTACGACAATTAATAATTAATAATAATAAATAATAACAATGATAATAGTAATCAATAATAATAAGTAATAACAATGATAATAATAACGACAACAGTAAATGAACTAACTAATATAACAAGAGGTAATACTTAGTAATTAACGATAATAATAACAAAAAAACAATAGGCAATTTGATTTCTTATATTACGATGGAAAAACCATCTAGGAATCAGTACTGTTACCAGACTAAAATCACCACCCAACTTGTCGGAAACACCACAATAAATCCTTCGCAACACTATACTTTCACGGCCGTACACATATGACGGATACCAAAATGCCACCCTTCATTTCCCACACGAAAAATAATAGACATATGCCGAAGACTGGGAACCAGTCAATGAAGCAAGCCGACATACCATAAATAAATCCTTACAAATAATAATGACAGGGACTGGTTAACAACGATTGCTGAGTGTTGAAAATGTTATCCGGAAGGTGATAGAAATGATGATAGAAATGTTTGTTAACAACCAATTCCATCTTTAACTTATAGATCGGGTGGAATGCTCATGTCCTTCAGATGCTATTTATGGCTTTTGTAAGTTCGCTTACCTGGAAGTTTATTGCACTAAATCTATATTTCATTATCTGAACACCTCATACAGCTTTTTTTCCTAGTTTGTAACTCGTTAATTATAAAACGAAGTTGCACTTGGTCTTCGATATGCGTACGCTTTTCTCCATCTTATCTTGTCTACAATAAAAATCTCATTGGTTTCATTTATGATACTACTAGGCCGAAATACAAGGACTGAATCAAGAAAAGTTGAAAAAAAGAATGGATGTGCTCGACGAACACTACACACCCAGGAGAGGACGAGAGCGCGCTGCGCTTCGCTCAGATATTTTTGAATCGATTGTAGACGCCTCGAACGACAAGTGCATGTTGCAATGGTCGTCGACACAGAGATAAAGAATGTCGACTGTGAAAAGGGGAACAAATAAATATGTGATACCCACAGACGAGAAGTAACAGCAGCACCATCAGCACATCAACCAATTCGCTCATCCATCTTCACCATTTGTTGGTTTGCGGAAAGGAATTATGTCACGTGAAACTTATATATATATATATATGCGAGGCATGCTTACTGCACTGGACATTATTTTCGAGAGTAGTGGTATGACGTAATAACGATGAACATTGAAGAGTCCCTGACATAACTTCTACAAAACAGATCCATGAGATCCAAAATACTGGTGACAGTCATACTGTAATAACAAATGCCTTAAGGGCGATAGTTTTCAGAAAGACAACAAAATAAGTCAAGTTTTAGATGGACCTGATCTAAAAGGTTAAAGGATATTTCATAATTGACACATTTTCCATCTGTTCATAAGAATCCAATTTTTCCAAAAGGAATTTAAAGCGAGTCTAGCACTGAATTCCGAACCAGTTAAGCATAAATAAAGCATAATGTGAAACCTTTGTTACAGCATACTTTTAGTTCAGTCTGCTACTAACAAAATTTAAGGATTCTTATTAAGGAGTCAATAGGCAGTCAAAAGTACTGCAACTTGCTTCGATTTTGTACCAGGAACAAAATCCGCCACAAAACCAAATGCACACGGGACGATGTAGTAGAAAAAAGTACGATGATGTGTGTCAAGAACCGCATCGGAGAGATGCAGCGGCAACAGACATCACAATGTAAATATGGAAAAGGTGACATAATGATAGTCCTGCTGATGGAACACTTTTTTGTACTGTTCAAATTGATGAATTTCCCTATTTTTTCTTTGACCATATATAAGGATAGTATTAGAAATCACAATGAATCATTATTTTACTGAGAAATGAAACCATTTCCAGGTGATCAATGCAGGGAGATTACTTGGTGACACAGCACGAGAACATTTACTGTAACAATCTTCCCCTTATGAGATATCAGTATCATGGAGTATAATAATCGGATCATCCTTAAGCTTATTACGTACAGAGTTATCTAATAACAGTTAAGATTTTATCAAACGAAAAATAAAATGCGTAATGTGTATATAAATTTACCTTATCATTTAGGGTTATCTCGGTTACATCTAAAAAATGAAACTAATAAGAAGAGAATTCTCTCTCGGTTTAGAAATTACGAGATGCAAGTCTTTTCATCATATCTACATCAGATGAATGGATAATCCGAATGCCTCAAGCTGTATTTCTGGAAAGCCGAATTCTTCATGTATTGCCTGAAAATTTAAGGTGAAAAATTATAATGCATACACTTCAAAAACTGTAATCGAAGAAAAAAGTACAGCAAACCAATCATTCCAAAGTGTGATTCAACGTCAATCTAAAACGCACCTCAGTCAAGCATCCATTCCAATCAAGTGTTAGCAAAGACATGGATTCAAGTTATCAATGATTTATCAGAAACCATTTCATTCAAACACGAAATCTGTGACCATCAACTAATAGTCAGACATATTTCCCCATCCGTTTTTCAATTGGAGGAATTCCGAGGCCAATTAATAAGACATCAAATAGATGATCACCGACTCCAATAATGCCTTTTTACAAAAAACCGCAGAGATGTTTGTTTCTAAAACAAGAAAAAATAGTTGGTGTTTGGATTTTATAACTTCTAATACATTTCAGCAATTCTAGTATAGTATGAGAAAACATTACAATGGAGGTGATATCCTGAGCTTTGATTCAAGTTCGTGTTAACTCCTCAAAAAAATTACCAATTGATTCTCGAAAATGTTTGCAACAAATTCCACCCTGAACTCTCTGTTAAAACCGATGTTTATGAAAACTTACATATGCTTGCAGCCCCTCTCAATTCTCCTTTCGGTGACCTTGCAACTGGTTAAACTTAATAATAAACTGCACTAGACGACCATGAAAAGTTTTTAAACTAATCCCAGCATTACCTAAAATGCCGCGCACCACCTATTAAATCGTAGCTGAAAACAGCCAAATAAGCAAAAGTTTATGGAGCAGATGACTTTTAAACTATTACTAAACACAGCGAATGAATCTTGAGAGCATAAAACCGGATGTCGATGCAACAATTTAACAGTTGGATCACAGCGTCTGCGTGGAGAGCAAAGTGAATAACAAATAGGCGAGTGGACAAAGATTTAAACTTTTACAAAAAGCAGAGTAGCTGCAGTAACCATGATGGGTTGAAACTTTCCGAACCACAGAAAAAAGGAATAAAATATGAAGCAGATATAAAGTTTTTGTGTCACAATCTTGACATAAAATACTTCAAAACTCATATTTCAAATCAGTAGATGGATGATTCGCTTGGTAATAACTTAGCATATTTGCTCATTTGAAACTCGACAGAACATGACAATCTGAGGTAACATGGACGAGTGTTGAAATACTCTATTCCTACAATCTCAGTAAACTATAATTTCATATTAATCATTATAAATTTGCTGTTCATTCAATTCTGCAAATCAGAATGCATGCTGCTCCATTTGAGCTAGAATTTTATTCCTCCCTATCCCTATTAAATTTAGTACCTCAATACATCAATTTCATCTCGGTAAAGTTTTACTATCAAAGATGATAATGCAGTAAGACTCAGAGTGGATCGCGTCAGACACGAATGGACTGAAAGAAAAAAGGCATCAATACACCATTTAGAATTATACATATAAATATTGCCAAGAACGAAAGACGTTTTGCTTATTTAATAAAGGTATTGTGTTAATCCCTCACTCTCTCAAAAATATGATTAGACAGAATATGGAATCAAGCAATTCGCTGTAGATATATCAAGAAATGATATACAAACAAGAACAATTATCAAGTTAAAATTATATCTTCGATATAATATTGTTTCCATAGCACAGACTGTGAAAAATAGGCGTTTAGATATATGATAGAAAACATTTAAGGACAAACATGTAAGTGGAATACATTCTTTAATTAGCACCAATTTCAATTTCATAAGCTTCCAGTAATTTGTTGTATATTTCCTGAAAGTAGCATCAGTAAAACAAGAAGTTGTGTAAAATTATTTACTTAATAGATTAGTTCTTACAGAGAACTAAAAAAAAAAAAAAAACCATATTGCTACTGCAGCAAGTAAAATACTAACAGGATTCTTTAACTAATTCAACAGGTCAAATGAAAAGTGCACTCAGTATTCAGTTGGTATTACAATTCTAGATATTTTTTATTTTACCTTCTATTTTTTCTTTCCTCTGAAGTTTCTACAAAAGATTCATGAACAAAGACGTTCTATATAATTAATAGAAATTTCAACTTAAAAGAGAATAAATACTAACCGATGCAGACGCTTGCTCTATTAATTCGACCACTCTTCCACCTAACGTGCTTAATTTGAGGAAACCTTTCTGCTTCTTTCGTAAATCAATTAGGATCGTTTTACCCGAAAGTGTAGGTCTATTCATTTCTGTGTATAAAATTTGCCATTCAATATTCCAGGAACCAACTATATCACTTTTTCTTACATTCATTGCACGCCTGCAATTATCTTATATAATTAATGTAAAAACCGATTTAACTGTACCAAACCAAAAATCACTCATCCAAAATTATAATTTCCTTAATGATTGCCCAATAGTTCAATGCTTCATTCTAGGTCTAAAAAATTTCTGATTGTAGTGAAAGGCACATCACTTAACACTCCAAAAACTGCAGCTAGCATTCGAACTCTATCAATTCCCAGAATCATATTTTTTGGAAATGATAAAAAATGAACTTAGTTAACCAAACAACTTGAAATTCCAACCTATCTGTGATAATAAATAGGCTCTTCTCAGAAATTGCTGCATGTGCCAAGAAGTAATCGGTGTCGGCCACGGAACCATTATCAGCTTCCTGAACATTCAACATATATTGTTGACAATTTATGGCACTTTATTACGGCAAAATCACTCTCCAAAAAACTAATTTGCTGTATATTGCTCAACTATTCACTGCTCTTCTGCTCACTACTTTTCTATCGTAAAACAAACTTAACTAAATAAAAAACACGTGTGAACAATAAAAATGAGGGATTACTCGCTTAAATATATCGCATGGAAATATGGTTGAGTTGACACACATCATTTTTATGGTCGTTATAAACAAGTTTTAAATTAACACCGGTTAGGAAGGTCTACATACTATCTTCAAGAGAAACAGTCTTTTATTTAGGTATTTAATTATAATAATGAAAATGGAATTCAGAGCAAAGAAACTTCATCCTAAGCTTACACGAAATATTTGAGCTCCGATAGCCATCTTCTGGCTGTATGGTCTTACGATGTTGTCCGAAAATATGACCCGTGATGGACGCAATGGCTTCGTTTCATCAGTTCCAACCGTCGCACTAAAATTCTAAATTTTAATACATCAACCGTACGTATTTATAACATTTCTTAATGTTGTATCCTTCAGTTCAAAGAACGTACTAACAAAAAAACCTATAAAAAATGGCGCAAACGCAGTAAAAGATACCGAATTTCTAGTGATTTGATCATCAGTACTCATATTCCAACGATATCTACTGACGAAAAATTCAATTAGAAACTAGAGCACTGATGAAAAGAGTTAACAGGCAAGCAATTCATTTTAAAAGACAACATTAGAAAACAATTCCATAAAAAACTAACGATCTCACAGCATCTAAAGTACTACTAGCAAAATCAACAGCTCCAGATAGAGGGCGCGTAACTATACCAACTAAGCCGAGACTAAGTCCTTTCGCAAAACCACCAGCTCCTCCACTTCGAGCGCCTAAAATTAACTGTGAAACAACTGATCTGCTAATTGAAAATATCAAATAACACTACTTCTGAACTATTCGATATGTTTTCATGCAAATAAATTTTTGGGAATGGACTTCGCTCCAATCGAAACAAACATGAATAAGGAATTAAAACCATCATCGCATTGCAATGCACAAGTATTCCATAACTACAAATAAAACAAACCTGCAAGTGGTTTGAAAACAACACCAGCGATACCATCATATAAACCTTGTCCAACACCTTTAGCACCGCGAGCTACACCCTCACCGAATGTCCTTGGACGGCGGTTCATCATGAGCTGCCGCTTGCGCTGGTATTCTTCATCAAGAGTTAATGCCGCTACACCCTAGAAATTGTAATTTTTATGGAAATAAAAATGTAGTTCGTTCTTTTGTTTCAAAACCATAATCTCGCATATGAAAATTTTACTACGGGAACTCTGTTTGATAACTTTAAATATGGTATTTTGAAAGATAGTGTTTTCAAATTTACTCATAAACCTACAGTCTTGCACTTGTTCAGAATATTAGACATTACTGACTATAAACCTTGAACTACCAATCCAATCAGAACACTTCCAATGCCAAAATTTTCACAAAAATAGATTTAAAAAAAAAGAAATATACTTTTCCTAGAGTACCAGCAATTCTTGAGAATGCTCCAGCTCCACCGCCAACTGTTGCACCAACAAGACCTTTAACACCCAAAGCGACTCCTTCAGCAAACTCTTCTGGTCCTTTAACAGCTCCCTAAAGCGTTTTTTTCAACGTGTGAATTATGATTTCCTTTTTTTTTTTTTTTTTTAATATTCTTATAGTTAACACAAAATTTAACATTTAGCAACACTTTCAAAAACCTTAAAACAAAACAATCAGCGATCACACTGACTTCTTGAAATGAATTCCCTTTTTACCAATGTAGAATCCTACTTTCTTCGGCGTAAACAGGCACACTTTATTGCCTTCATTGGGTAACTTTTTAAATTATTTTTTTTAAAAAAAAGGGTTAAGAGATATCAGCAAATAGAGCTCCCCATTTGTTCATCAAAAAGTTTTTGTAAAACAAAGTTACTATCATAAAAATAAATGCAAGAATCTCATGACTGAAATCTACATTACAATTCTTGGGACATAAGAATACAAAACAAACCTGGAACGGTTGATAAAAGAAATCTTGCACTCCAGATGAAAGATCGCGAACAAGTCCAAACGGATTTCCCAGAATATCGAGACCCAGAACAAGCACATAAAGCTGCTTAATGATTTGCGACATATAATGCCCTGTTATTTCACCTTTCAATTGAGAGGCTGTATAGAAAGCATATTTCCGCTCAAAAAACGCCAGTCTATAAAAAAAAAATTGCTGAAAATTCGAATCACTAAGCACCACAAATTTTATTTGTCAGGAATAATATAACATGAAATATCAATCAAACGACTGTAGCTTTTCAATTTGTCCCATCCTTAAGAAGGTTGATGATAATTTTTACATCTGGATAATTTTTATTTTATCTTGAAATGAATCCCATTCATCCTTCGTCGTAGAATCCTAGATTCTTCCATCAAGTGGAAGTGCTAAGAATTGTCAAAGTTCTTGTTACAAGTGTCTACTCCATGCATTAAAGTCAATGTTCATAATAACTAGAATAAATATTCGAAATATGCATATAAAAAAAGATAATTCAATAAGAAATTCGACACTTCATAAAAAATCAAAAATTTGAAAAAATGCCTACTTGAAAACAACATCTTGAATCTCCGTTACTGTCACACCAACGCTCTTCAAGAAGACATTGATAAATTCAGACTGGACTGGAAGTTGAACGGCTTCTTTTGATTTCAAAGCTTTACTCTTCAGTTGCTTACAACCAGAATTACCACCTTGTGAAAATGACAAATGTATCTGCAAACATTACATTAATTGCTATTATCTGAAATAAGAAAGTCACAAGTTCTTCAGTTTTCTTCCTCAAACAACCTGAAATAATTAACTCACTTCTGCGCTTTACAATCAAATTTTATAGTGTAACTTTTTTGAATTATTAAAATATAACAAAATATCTTAAAATACCGTGAAAAAAATGTGTATACCATGAGTGGCGAGATATGCAAATTTTCATAATATGCTGCCTGTTGAGAAGCTGTTGTCATTCCAGCAATAACTTCCAACTGATTTTTCGTCATTTCAAAATCTCTTACAAAAGCTTCCTTCTGCAATGAAACAATTCAAAAAAATCAATAAACCGCTTTATTCTATTTCAGTTTGCAAATATTATTCTGCATTCTACACTACAGTAAAGTTTATTTACACACTACATAAATTTCCAGTGTGACCAGACTTTAAGAAATAATCAAACCATAAGAAATGAAATATTCTTTATGGAGAATCCAAGAAAGCACAATCAGGCACATGAACAACAACATTTGAAAGAAGTGTCAAACAAAAACATTTGACACTTCTTTTGTTATATACAATTATGGTAGCAAAATAAAGCAAGAAGTACTCTTATGGCTTCCAAGAAGAAAAAAAGACTCTAACCGTATATGGTTTACTATCAACTTGAGAAGATATCAATTCCAGCATTGCGTTCATAAATCCTTGATCAACTTGCACTGCGAACTCCTGCACCAAAAGATGAAGATATTTTATTTGAGCAATCCTACTGTGTTCTGATTCTCGTCGTATGTAGCTCAATTCGCAGAAAGATTTTGGAGCTGAAAATTCCTTGGAAAAAAAAATCAAATCTATTAAATCTCCAAAAAAAATCTATTCTATTAATGTAGATTATCAGTAAAATCAGTAAAATAATCAAATTATCTCCTTTTCTTTTATCTCCATAATCATAATGAAAATAAGAATCTGCAGAATAGCTTTTCTACATTAGATCTTATAAAAATAAAAATCAGCTACATTAACAGTTTTTGAAAGTGTAGGAATTGTTTCCATTACCATTTTCTTGAACGACAGATCTTGGTGGTGGTACGATTGAGAGTATGCAAGGAAATATACATGCTGGTAACTGATTATCGATTTGTAGATGATTAAGCTAAACATTAATAAGCAAATAAACAATAAGTGAACAATAGAAAATAATAAAATTTGGAAATACTTCAAAACACATTCTTTTTTTGAATTGTGTAAGATTCAGGATTACAGGACGTTAATAAGGAGCAAATTTATAACACGAAGGATAACAAATACAAGAAGTTTATTCTTCCCCCGAAACTCAATAGGTTTTTGTTCCTCAACTTGTTGAGATATCTGACAAAACTACATTGAAATAGTGGTTTCTGATCATTAAAATATCATGATCTTTATTTGTTAAAAAATATATAATACATAGGGATAAAAAAACTAAAATGAAAAACATAAGAAAGAATGCAAGTGTACCTTCATATGAAACTGTAATTGATGCGGAGTTTGCCTATACTGCATCCAAAGTCCAATTTGGAACTGTCGCCGGATGTCAGCCTGAAAAGCCTTCGATGTTAAAAAAGACATCAAAAGAAATTTTACATTTTTTTTATATTCAAATTAAATTCTTATATCTAGGAATACATGAAAGAATACCCAATCTTTTTGTTTTTTTAATTTCATATGCATGAAATCAAATTCCAACTTGTCCACCATTACTGTTTCTTCTGAACGGCCTGGAAGCCATGTCTGATAAGCGTGCTCGATTATTTCCATCTGTTTAATTGTGAATGGTCTAGAAATACGTGGTGATCGTACCAAGGATTTTCAAAAACTTTCAGAACAAACAAATATCTTTCAAACTGAGTATTAAAAGTACAAGTAATAACTATGCCTATATACATATATATATATTTTGCTTATTTATTAATGTAGTCGACTGAAGCGTTACCAACAAAACGATTTGTTTGATTATTTAACTAAATGTTCCTTAGCGCTTAACATGGAATGATCGCTTTCTTAAAAATTCGTAATTTGTTATGTAATTATTATTGCGACATCTGCACCAAGAAATTTGAACGATTTAAGAAGCAAAATCTAGAAACACATGAAACAAATTGGCAGTATTGTAAACTTCTATTCATTTGAGCAATACAATTTTCAGTATAAACAAAATGTATGGTAAGAAAACAAGGCTGCACAACTTAGGTGCTAATCCTCCAAATTTTCAAGAATTCTTAGAAGAAACAAACTTGTATCGAGTTTTAACGAATTGCTCCCAAATAATAGCTGATGATGCAATGCACAAATATGCGATTTCTTCAGTTTTAAAATTGTCCACTATGGAAATGCCAATACCTTGCAGAGATATTTCAACAGAAAAAGTAGGAAGTTCAATTTCATAAGCTTCGTGTGCAGTAGTCATTACTGCCAGATCATCCGTGAACAGATATACACGTTGGCGTCCATTCAAAAATGACACCTATACAAAAATGTGGTTCACAAACTTTTAAGTCCATAAAAAAAAAAAAAGCGAAACCGTTGTATCAAAAGAGGAAATCGGAGACAATCGGAAACATATATACAAGAATTGGTTCCAATCAGCAAAATACTTGAAGTGACACAAAAAAGTCCCTGTATTCAGTCCAGAAAATTGCCCCATTTCTTTTATTTCTTTAGATTTTTTATTTTATCTAAAATACTGTGGTTTTTTTCCCACACATAGAAAAGAATAGATGAAAGCGAAAGAAATAGAAAATTTTCACTTAAATTTTAGTGGAGAGGTTTTTAAACAAACCCAGTAATAACGAGTACAATCTGAATTAGATGGTCGGTAATCTTCAAATGTATTCCGGATTAAATCATCCGAATGGCTTGCATCACCACTTTTCCATTCCAGTTCACGATCATGAATCACATCTGTCCATGTAAATGCACAGCTTTCCCACGGACCGAGTGTCTTCTTTGACTGAGTTCCTACAAATTGGAATTCGAATTTTTGAGTAGAAAAAACGGTGAAAATGTTAATATGAAACCATTAAGACAAAGATAAAAATGGAAAAGAAGGAAAAAATCGTAACCTTTCTGACCAAAGTCCACCGATTTTTTCGTAGCATTCATTATGATAGCGGGAGCCATACCCGGTTCAAATGATTCAAGTTTGATAATGGAAGACGATTCGCAGACTGTTATAGTTACATATACACCAAGATACTATAACTTAATATTGGTAGAGGTAAAAAGACATAAGATATATTCTTCCACGTAAAAATGTAGTTAATAATACTAATGAATGTCTTTATTATTATAAATTTATGAGAAACATATACTAATGTCAAAGTCGAATACACCACTCAGGATGCCTTTCCTTAACTTGCGAAGAAATAAATTTACATCATTGTCGATCTTACAGAATCCTTCAAAGCTTTCAGTGATCGGAAATAGTATTGACTCCTCGACTGTACCACCATACCTCACAACAACATACTTCCGACTTTCTTTTTGAGATGGCCAAAAACCGATACACTGTAAAAAAAATACTCAAATTTTTTCGATTTTGAAGCAGAGATAAAATCAATCCCAGAAACAGAGAGAGGTTATAACAAAATAAATATATAAACCAAAACTGACCCTACAATCAAAAGCAATCCATTAATTAGGTCTGAGAGAAATGAATGTATAAAGTGAATGCATATCCACAGAAAAGCAATAAGAATCTGTGTTCTATGGAAATATTTCAAATTTTATCATGAAAAAACAAACTTACTGCTTGAGACGTAACCAAAATCCAGTTCTGCGTTCCAAATTCTCTTATTTCAAAAGGAAACCGGCTATGATTGTGAAGCAAATAGAAAGGTAAGAATGTGATTACCCTTGTCAAACCCGACTGACACATACTTATTTGCAACGAAATACTTTGCTCACTACTGCTTTCATCCTTACAACTAATACGTCCCGCATTTCCAACCGCATCGAGTGGAAATTCATTTGTCCAGTAGTTCCCGAACAGTGATAACCTTGCCTAGAATTTTGATTTTACCTAGAAAATTAAAATTCAATAAACAAGAAGATATTGACAAATTACGTCCAACTTCTGTATTAGAACAACAAATAAGAGTTTCGAGTAAGACACATCTTATTAAATGTGACTGTAACGAATAATAGGAGCAAATTAAATTGAATGAACAGTCGTATTTCTAAGAATAATTCGTCCTATGGACATGTTTAGAGAAAAATCATTCTCATGTTAAAAAATAACTCAAAATGGCATATCAGGGGGCTTCCCGCTTGCTTCCGGAGATCAGCCATCCGAGTCTTAAAACATTCAATATCGGCATTTAAATATTATGTTATTACTGACAGAACAAACACCTCCCGAACAATGCAAGAATGGTCACCTTTTTTTTGGATAAGAAATCCTTGGCATCCAGAGGAAGCAAAGCCGGCTCGCTGAACGCTTCCTGCATTATCGCATCAGAATACTAAAACATGGATAAGCACAATAAGCTGAAAGAAAAGTTACACATCTAAGACAGATCAATAGCTCATTACATTGTTGATAATTAAAAATTTCATAGCCGATCTAGTTGGGTAAAGGTTAATCGAGATTTCAAATACAAATAAGTTTCAAAATGATCTTATCAGCGCAGTCCTAATAGTGTTTAAATCAAAATGTTGAATTCACAAAAAAACTACTGCAAAAATAAATATAAGTCGATACAAGAAGTAAGTGCGCATAATTTCCCATAATATGAATTAAGCTATAAAAACAAAAAGTTATGAATATTTACAAGATGAACGAAAAAGTCCTAATCACTTCCAATTTTCTCACATTCACATTTATTGCTCAGTCTAATGAAAGAAGATGAGATTACAAATAAAATTATTTCCTACTATAAAAATGAACTGGAAATAATTCTTATTAATCAAGTCATATTACTAGGTTCTGCTGGAAAAAGTAATGAAATTATCAATTAAAACTCGCAACTGACAATTCAGTGTTTTCTGAATAGTTCCTATTATGCAATTAAAATTAAAACACAGAACGTCACATATTTATATAAATTTTACACGGAATGAGATGCTAGTGCAGAAAAAGGAATAAATTGTCGTACCTGTCCTTCCATTCCACTCTTCTGACATGGTACGCATTTAGTAGTTTTTTCAATTATACCTTCACTGCTTTCCTAAATAGGATTAATTGTCTCACTAATAAAACTGCAATAAGAAACAAAAAAGAAGCAAATATGTATCTTCAGTAACCAAGTTCGTTATAAAAAACAAATATGGAAGCGGATAACGCGTCACTTGGTTTTAGTAAACCCTAGCTTTTTATGTTTTCTGTAAAATAGCTAAAAACGAAATGGAAATGGTGCAAAGTATAAAAAACACTACCGTAAATTTCACAGTTCTTCCAGTGTTATTAATGAACCAATAGGGTGCGTATACTTCAGCATCAAGTTTACGATGAGCGACTGTCCAGTGAACACCAAGATTCTATAATATAACAAATTATTTTTTTTACTTGCATTTATCAAATTAAAATTAATCCACTACAACTTTTTGTACCTTTAAATATTCTGAAAGGAGCCACCTACGGCTAATAAAATTATACTTACCAGAAACTTTTCACCGGATGTAAGAGTAATGACCATTAAATCCTGGTGCTCCACAGGAAAAAGCATCTCTGTTACATAAAGATCTCCACGATAATCCACCTAGTAAATACTGCAGTCAGTTTAGCCACTTATTAAAAAACTTGTGAGCCGAATACTTAGACACACAAAGAAATGATCAATATTAAAGGTACTTCAAAATTGAGGTTCTGTCCAGGTATGACGTTTAATGAAACTTCTTCACCACCAAACAACTCTTTCTGTATCTAAAATCGATTAAGTATTAATTTCGATCATTATTTAGCTATTTAATTTTCTTTTCAAACATTCCTTAAACGAACTAATTCAGGTAACAAGTATTTTTTGTAGATGGAAAACATTTGTTTGATAGGGAGCGTACGTTCGGGATGTCTTTCTATTGCAATCGACAATTAATATACATCGAAAATTAGACTGATTCAACATAGCTTACCGGAGAAGTGAGTCGTAGAGGAATAGGTAAGAAATTATGTAGGGTGAGAGGTGAAAAGATGTGCACTATATAACTTATATCGTCTAAATCTCTGCTTCTTTCTGCTTTCAATGGTATTTCTTCAACAATAAGAGCTACAAACAAGCCCTGTTTCATGTCTTCTGACAGATCGCACCGTACTATGTATCGCGCCTTGTCTTCAAACTTATTCCAGCAAACTGATTCATTGCTCATCTCATAACTGAAATAATAAAGATTCTCAGCAAACAGTAATCTCAAGAAAAAAATTAAAGAAACACAGAAAAACCAACGCATCGTCTTGAGGTTTGATAAAAAATTCTCCAGTGGCTGTATACAATAATGGAAGAGCAATATCAAGTGGTTCACTATCCGTTTCTGCGATACCACAGAAATCAAGTCTTCCATCACGCATTGAATGAATTTCAAAAGGTATATCGAGATGATTCACAAACTGCAGTCAGAAACATATACCATGATTATTAGAAAGTGGGTTTTCAATTTCTTTAGGAACAGAAAGAAATAATACAATCGTCATAACCTAAATAAAATGTGTACAGCAAAAAGGACATGTTTTTTGAGTCTGCTAAGAAAATCTAACTTGGGTTACAACTGACATTTTAGAACATCTCGTGTTATACGATAACTGTTTTATAAGTTTGGTAAACTCATACTTGCACTGTAGAATGGAGGTAAATAAGTCGTCGCATATTTTCCATTTTTATTTCTACAACCACCTTCCATTGCTTTCCATCATTACTTTTCATTGGGAGTTCAAAAGTTCTCGATTCAGATCTCATTATATTTACCTATATTCCAAAAATTAAAAAAGAGTTGAATATATAAAACTACCTCGTAAACATGGTAATGGTAATCCGGTGTATAATGCTGAAGACGAATAGGATAAACCGTAGAAAAAACTTACATGTCTTTCTGTATCCATTTCATCAAAAATGAGGCATAGCTCTGCTTTTTTTGTACTTTGACTCTGTGTGAGGCCTATCTTTTCATTAGGATCAACAGGTACACTTAAGTCGACGAAAGTGCCTGGCATTGCGTCAACCGGTAGCCCATCAACATTGATCTACAAACTATTTTGAGCTAAAAGAGTAAAAAACGAAACAACCAAAATAAATTAGAAATATCTCCCATAGAAAGAACACAAATTTATTTTCTTATTTATGTTCAATATCAATGTCCACTGTAAAAAAAATTCGATAAATTAGGAAATAAATACATAAAATTAAAAAAAAAATAAAGATCAGAAAAAAATAAATAAAAAAGTAAAGAAAGATACAGAAATTACATGAAAGGTACATAAGTGAAAAATTCCGATAGTAAGTAAATATAAATTCCGATATTACTTACAATCATTGTTTCAGTGTTACCAATTTTGATCGAAATGCCAGCATTGTTGAACACCAAATATTTACTATTGCCTGGGAAAGTTCGTCCTACAGGCGGTGAAATCAGTTTCGCAGCTTTCTCAAAAGAATCCATGAGATGATAAGATAACAAAATCAGCGATTTTGTTATTGTTATGTTAAGCAATTCTGATGCTTTCACACTAATTGTTTTATGTGGTAATGATGGTGCACCATTTACTGACAGCTCATCTTCATTATGAGTTCGCAACTGCAAAGATTATGTCATCTTATAATACGCTCTTCTCCCTGACACATTATAAGCTTAATATCACTTACTTTTTTATATCACAAATATTCTGAAATATAGCTAAGCTTTTTGTTCCGCATGGAAGCAATATTTCTATGTAAACTCATCCCATATTTCTACAAATTCCAAGCAACTTCTTTTCAACTTTTAAGGATGCCGTATCATGCTCTCAATGAACAAAAGATAATACACTGTTTTGAATAATATAGAAAGTGATGGTTAAAAAATAAGTCAAGACATAAAATAATAGTAACAACAAGTAAAATTTATGATTTCTTACCTGAGCTTTTAAAGCCCAGCTCCTCCAGACATTATCGCCTACTTCTACCGGTTCGACTATTGGCTCCCACACGCAAAATGTTTCATTGTAATATGAAATCTAAAATGCAAATTAAATATGTCCATTCACTGCAAAAATTAATGGAATGAAAAGTAAAAAGGATAAAAATTTTTATTAACTTTTTGCTTTTTTTTTTAAAAAAAAATGTAATGTTTCAAATGCAAGTTTGCGTAAAAATTAGGCAAATTTTGCGATAAAGAAACAAGGAATAGATTAAATTGATTAAATGACAAAATTACTTGGAATTGCACGTCAGCATCAATAGCCAACAATGTACTCCAATGTGATAAAGCGATCACTGTCGAACTTTCCAAAAGTACTACTGGTACCGTTCTATTACCCATACCGGCTTCCAAAGTGATGATAAGCGAATCCATTATAATAGTTCCCTACACATCACAAATATTATTAAAAACGAAGAAATTTAAAGTAGGCAAAATAACAGTGAAGAAATCAATGATTCCTACAATAATTTGGACAGGTTATTAATACCATAGTCTTCTCATTTTGCTGTCTCTTCCTCATTCTTATCTCCTTTCATTCTGATTATTAAATTTTCTCTCATACATTAGGAGCAAATATCACAGAAAATTTTGTTCAAAATTATTTATTATTTGCATACATTTTTAGAGTTCCCTGAGAAAATTGCACTTATCAAAACTACCTGTTGTTCATGACTGATAGAAGCGGCAATATCCACTGCGTACTCAAAATCTTCTTGTTGTTCCTCCACTACGTTGAACCACCAATGCTTGTTCCTATCGATTCTACGTTTTTCCCAATAATTTGGGTACTTTTTAAGCACTGTCTTCCGCGCAGTAAGCGAATCTTCCTATAGAATCTTTACTTCAAAAGAAGAGGACATATGCTTACATACTATCTATCATCCCACTCATTTATTATTTGCTTTGTATTCTGCTGATAATCAGATATTAAGATTATAATTAGTACAAATATTTTAAGAAAAAATGTTCAATGTTTCCTTACCTTAACATTTGCTGCTGATAAAAAAGCCGAAGAAACAGCACTTAGCAAACGGATTATTGCAGGAGATACTTTTAGATATAATTGTCCAATATGTACTACAAAATTTTCAGACAATGTTTTTTGTTCCGTTGTTAAGTGAACGTCGATATCAGTGCGCTTTAATACCTGAAATGTTGCTTGAAATGTTAGGAAACATAAAAAAGATAGCTTTGCTTTTGTCAAGCATAGTCAAGCACAATTCAAACTATTACAGAGCGAGCTAAAAAGAGCAAAATATCGTTTTAAAAGCATGAATTTCTATTTCAGTCTCGATTTCATAAAGTTTCTCAACTACCTGATAAGGAGTTTGGTCACATTTCGACTCCAAATAATAAGTGCTTATAATCTGCAAATTTTTAATGCCACCAATCATAACCTGCTTCTCACCATCCTACAAATAAAATCTAAATCTTTTAAATACCACATAAAAAAAAATAGAAGATACAAATTTTCACCTATACTTCAAGTTTAAACAACGTTATAATATTTGTACTAGTTGATTCAGTCAACTTCAAACTTACAAGTATTCTTTCCCAAGAACAGAGAACAAGAATGTGTATGATTTCAACTTAATCATGAAACATGAAAAAGTATTATTTTACCGGCTTTGCCTTGAGATCGACGTTAAACGACAAAATTAGCGCTTGGGAATTCTCAGGACTGACAGCATCATCTATCAGAATAATTTCTGCTTCATGCATTGTACAGTTCATTGTCACTCTGCCTGTAAAAAATTAGTCAAAACTCTCAACTTTTATTTTAAATATATAACGAATGGTTTTCTAAACAACATTTGAAGTTTTATGCAAAGAGTATTTGAAGTGGGTCTGACAATTTTATAACAACGAAACTACTTAAACTCATCGACCGATAAGTCAGATTGCCAATTTTCTTACGGATAGGTTACTTAATTTTACTAACATTGATTTTGAAACAAAAAAAGCCTACTAAAGCTTTCCAAACTAATTTTTTCCATGCAAACTAACCTCTTGGTGGAACTGTTTCCACTTTTTCCTTATTTTGCGCAATATTTGGAACATTCACTTTTTCAACCTCTCTTACTAACTCCTCCTGTGTTTTTTTCACCGTAAAAAAATTCATCAGTGCTCCTAGAAATTCTGGACAAAGTCGTAGGAAGAAAGCCGATGATGAGAAGGCAACTGCAAAATATCAGATTTATTTAATATTGAAAACAATAAGACAAAGTAAAAAAATATGAAAGCTTTTCAACTAGTTTATTTCACTACAAATTAACTTTTGCATTACTGACAGAAATTACTCTGAAGACGCTTCTCTTATCCGCGTATTTTATAAAGTGTTCAGGTAGAACAAAAAATACTGGAACAGCTTATCGATCAGTTCTTTAAAAATCTGATATACATATCAAATTAAGCAAGATGATAAATAGAAAAGAAAATAACTAATTTTATCTCCTGCTGCACTAGTCTGGTAACGAGCAGCAACAAATTCATTGTGGATTTTTCCACTTCTATCAGGCTGTAAATAATCAAAACGATATATTGAAATATTTTCGAAATCTCTTAAAGAATTTGCTTATTCCCGATTATCGAAAAATAAAAAAAAGAAATGATAAACAATAAAAAAGCGAATAGTTTTAGAAATATGCATGTTTCAATTTAATAATTTTTATTTCTTTTTAAAATCAAGAGCAATACTCTCGATCATGGACTACAACCTGTAGATCATGGATTACAACCACTACAAAAGTTAATTCACCTTTTTATCTAATAATCGTCGTATTTTGGTTTTTTCGCTTCTTTCATCCTCCATAACAAATACTTCCAGACTAACAACGATATCCAGTTCACCATTCTCCGCTCTCGAGCCACTTAATTTAATTTTTTTTAATCTCATTGATGCAAAACCAGCAGTAGTCTTTCGAGCGATTTCACCTTTTGAGTTCTCCTAAATAATGATAATTCTCACTAGATTCTGATACAACAAAAATGAATATATACAATTTCATTCACTAAACGTATTTTCCAGTGCTTATCAAGCAAAACACCAGAGATATCTTAATGAAGGAAAACCAACAACAGAGGGAACTTGCCAACCAAATTATTAGCAAAAGAATCTTCATTCAAAATAATTAACAAGTCTTCATTTTTCTGAAAAAGAATTACACTATGTTAAAATGAAAAATCATCTGTAAATACAGACCAAATCTGAGGAACCACGATATAAGAGTGCAGAAATTTCGTCCAGTTTGAAACAGAAAACAAGAGATTTAGCTTTGGAATCACTCAATGGTCTCCCATTACTTTCTGATGCAGCTTTTTCGTTAGACTCCTGACTTCTCCTCTCAAAAGTTTTTCGTCGAATTGAAGAATTCCCAGATAATGATGACGCCGATGATAATTCGCTTCCCTCTGCCAAGTTGCCACTAAGTGTCTTCAGCATTGTCGCATAATCTTCCTCTGTCATGCCTATCTACAATTTAGGATTATAAAACGACTGTTTTTTACATTATAGAAAAAAAAAAAGATTGCTTTTTACATTATATAAAACATTGTGCATTCATTCAACAGAACAACGTAACATATAAGATACATGTTCTTTGCGTAAATTAAAAGAAAACTATCATTTCGTAAAGAAACTGGTAGGATCAATTTTTTATTTGGATAAGTTCACAGAAATTTTGTCAAGAACACCGAAAACGTTTAAGAACCAAGATAACCAACAACATTTATTTTGATGTATAATTATCAATAAAAAAACTAAAGAAAAAAAGTTTGAGAGAGTCAAGAGACATGAATAATTTAGACACTGGTTCCTATTTAGAAAGAAATCATTACCTCAATAATGGGTAAGTGAGCGTCAACAAGCATTTGTGGAGCTGTTTTGTACCATTCAAAAGACAAATTCCGATAAATTAATAGTGAAAATGTGATTGGCTTTAAAATCTGACATGTGGATAACACTTCTGCATCTTTTTCCGAAATAAGTGAGCTGAAACTTTATTTACTGAAAGGGCTTCATCAATTACCGAAAGGAAACAAAAGCTGCAACTCTAATACTTCAGAATACTAAATATAGGATTTCGGCAGCAGCTTTCCGGGACTTGAAAATTTTATCTCAAAATCTTATTCTCTGTTAGTTCTTTGCCTTTCTTTATTTTTTCTCTCTGCACCAAAAGCTCCTTATCCCAAATGAAAACGCTCTACGATACTTTTTAAGCAGTAGAAAAAAAAAAATGCAAACTTACATGCCAAAGCAGAAGTCAGTTAAGTTGACTTGCATCGAATCAATAATTGCACTCTGCTCGTGTTGCGCTGCTGAGACTGAATTAACAGCAGTAAGCCTGCCTAAAAAACTTCTGTTTAAGAACATGTCTACAGAAAAGCCCTTCAATTTTAGCATTTTCCTGTTCAAATGAAGTTTTTTAACGTCTAACGTATGCTCCCACAGACTACATTAAAAATGCTATGATCACATTTTCACAACTTACAGTGAATTTTATCATAACCTTCAGAACATATAATTGAACATAAACGCACCGAAATCAATGAAGAGGGCGTTCAACGACATAGAGCTCTTTGGTACCAAAATTGTCGGTGCCTCAAGTTCAATATCCAAACCAATCCTCAAAGGTGATTCTTCCATAAGATGTTTAATCTTTTGTGCAGCCTGTGATGCCTTTTCAGATGCATATGATTGCGCTTGCGCTGCAACTTGTGCTGCTTCAGCTTGAAATGGAACAGCAAAACGCTGAAAGCTAACATAATGAAATCAATTAATACAAAGGTACCAAAAACGATAAGAAAAAACATAAGATAAATTTTTAGGGATTATTTTCTATTAAATCCTGAATCAAAGCCGAAAAATAACATATAACAAAAATGCCTTCGAAGCAAAACAAGGCATCACAATGGTGTCACACTTCGAAAAATTAGTTTATAGCATCTGCAGAACTTTATTCAAACTAGGAAAGATAACTTACCTTCATTCTCTCAAGCCAAAGGAAGAGAAGCACGAAACGAATACGGGCAAAACTGCCTTTAATGAAAAAATCGAGATCAGAAGGCTGCATATGCTTCTTCTCAGCATCAGTACGATTGTACTGTTTAAAAGCAAATGATAACATCTCTCTGTCTTCTTCACAAAGTGTGAGTAAATGTTTGTGAATTGTTGTTCCAGTTCGGTCTTCCATTGTTACTGTTTTGACTCCACCTTCCATCTCCATTGTTCTCTACATTTTTCAATAATAGTCCAGGATTATATATATGTAAAAAACTTAGTGCATATAGTAAAAGCTAGAAGTAAATCTCATCCGTCATCAAAAAATGCTTAACGTTTTTGTCGAACAAAATGTAAATATCATCCTAAATGTCAATCAAAACATGAAATTTTTTTCAAATGAATTCTAAAACAAACCATACGCATTGTTATAGCGACTCTCACAACAGTGATGCTTAGGGCCGTATCTAAGCATTTTGTTGAACCGACATAGACCGACAAAGAATCAAAAACAGCATTTATATGCAATTTTACGACAAAATCATTTCGTGTCTGTGCCAACTCTCGTTCACGCCTTGCATGACTTAATCCTAATGATTCAGAAGCAGAAAATCTGGCCAAGCTGCAAAATATTATTTTCAGTAATTCATATGTCTTTTGCTTATAATTTTGATTAAAAGTGATCCCTCAATTAACAAATAAGAAATGACATCAGTAATACCAGAATTTTCTTTTCTTGCTATAAAACTATCTCCTTTTTTCAATGTTATCAACATGCTTTCATTTTATGAACATATCATCAAATGCTCCAAAACATTAGTAGGTGTTCCAAAATATCAGTAAGTTAATAAGAGTAAGAAAGAGAAATAGTTGAGACCAACCTTTGCTGACTTGAAGACCGCGCAACTAGCATTTTCTTCTCGTGAAGTAATGGAACATCACTGATAGTTACTCCGGCGTCAGCTTCATCATGATCTTGTGCCGGTTTGTCTCGATTTTGCAATTCAGCAATCTTTTCTTGAAGTGTTTCAAAATATTTTTTTAGACTAATCATGGCATCCTTAAATGTAACTGTAATTACCTTTAATTTTAGGAATTAATTTCTTTTAAATTCTTTAACAACGCCGCTTAACGACACTAATCATACATATTTCTTTGCAATCCTAATTACCAAAAAATATGATTATATTCCCGAATCTAAGACTACTATAATAAAAACAAGTAGACCTGGTGAAGTGATATAATCATTGTTTTGAAAGAAATATTGATTGCCTGTTCCATAGAATTATAATCGGTTGCGAAAAATGGACTTTCCTTGTTTGCCTAAAAGTGCTTACGTGTAAATGATTTAATTTTAGCTGTAAAGATATAAACTGATTAATGTTCATTAATAAAAATTTCATTGTTTACGAAAAAAATGCTCTATACGACTTCCTCTTAACCATTAACCATCATTCAACGCCACTGTAATTAGATGGGAACAATTGCGGCTAATACCGAATCACAGAACGTGTAAAATATGGGAAACGCTAACCTGTACATACTTGAACTGAAGCAAATTTTGATCATTGTTATAAGTGTTATCAATAACAAATAACGTATTACGCTCGGGAATCAAACTTTTATATTGCGGCTGTTCAATTGTTAAATCACCTAAATAAGCCATTGCAACCATGTCAAATGTACGCATCTGCAAACCACAACCCAAAGATTTAATCTGAATGGACAAAAATACTGCATCGGGAGTGCCAATGACAATTTGGACCTGTAAAAACAAGATTTGAAGGAATGAAAAATCTTCGGTTTTTTCAACTTCATATAATAAATTGCAATTTCTATTAAATCTCTAATTACTAACCAAAGAATATCGGCAAAATATACCAAATATACCAAAATAGCAATATACCAAAAGTTTTGAAAATGAAGTTAGAAAAAGAATATCTAACCTGTTTCAGTGTAAGATTGACTTCCAGTTGGATTTGTTGCATGTCAATTTTTTTCTCTTCCTGTTTCTCTATGTCATTCTTCTTTACTTTTAGATGTTCATCTTCAGAGATTTCACTGGCCTCCATAATTGCATGCATCATTGCTAGATCTCTGATCCTTGCCTTCTCAAACTACAAAATTAAATAGTTCACATAGTGTTTGAACATACACACTGAAATTCTAACCGAAATTATAATACAGCATACCTCAGCTGGACGAAAAGCACTGATTTCTTTCTCGGGAGCAGGAGTGGGAATGCTTAATATCAATTTCACAAGCTCCAGTAAACGTTTATCTGAGATTGTTATGATAATATCAGGTAATTCACCCATTACCCTTATCCTAAACACAGTTTTATTCAGTCACAAAGAAATATAAAACTTCTCTTATGAGTTTCTCAGTTGTAAAGAAAAAGAGAAAAAATTATTTACACTATTATTATTTCACTACCTGGAGTTATTACACTGTTAGGCATAAATCATTTTTATCACAGAATGCATTTCACGATTCAGAAAGAGAAGGAAAACTTAATGTTTATATAGAAATTTACTTCGGTAGTTGTAAATCATCGATGGATGACTTATGAAAAGCGACATTCAATCCAGTCGGTTGCAATAAATGGGAACTCGATTTATGTTCCGATTTCGCATCCATACCACTCTGATAGCTGTCTGAGAATATCAGCTGCACATTGGTCAGTTTCACAGAAAATTTATCGTATGCACGACTAAACAACTTCGCCCGACACTCTGCTTCCTGTAAATTAACAAACAATCATGCAAATAATTATGTTGAAAGCTCTACTTCTTGTAACAAATTACTGCAAGGTCAATTTCTGAAGAAGTCATTTTTCCTCGTCTTAAGCCCGCTCCGAAAGTGATCATCCTAACATGATAAAAATAAACCTGCATTGTAAAAAATGCGCATAAAAAATCACGCTACAATCGAATTTTCAGCAGTAAGGCACGACAAAGTAATATTTTATTCCATTAGATGCACTAAGCAATAAGAAGCTACAAGGAAATTATTTGCTCATTATTTCTTTTCGTGCAGTGCAAGAATAGTAGAAAACCAATCATAGTGAAGCAACGCGAAAATAACTAAGCAATAGTACTTATATCAAATATATTGATAAAAACATGAATAAAACTTACTTGATCAGCAAGCAACGGTGTTTGTATAAATAAATCATCTTCCATTGTAGTTATTGTAAGTAAGCCAAGATCTGCAATCAAATTTGGTTTATTTTCATTGAATATTCCATTTTCTGAAATGATAACTGTCATAGGCGCAATTCGTATGTCAAGCACTAGTTTCGCTCTAGTGTCTACAACGTGAGCCAACCCAGTGAGAGAACGTGCTTTAACATCTTCATAACGAGCCATTGCTGCTGCCGTTAATCTAAAATAAGCTTCTTTATTTATGAAAACTTGGCAAGTATTTTTTCTTTAAATATACGACAACTCATCATAACTTTGAAAAGCGATTTGGTAAACATAATCATAAACATTACTTATCTAATATACTTTTCTTTTTAGCTCTTTATCAGTATATTTTAGGTCTTTAATTAGTACGAAAAATATACCATGTTTGGATGCAAAAAGAGAGTATGCATTAATTCTTGGATACAAGAACTTTTCAATTATTTCTTTTATAATGTATCCATTAACAATGAAGAGCCAGAAAAGTTTACTGATTTAATCGCACACTTTCAGGAGGTCTTAATGCTTCGATAGCAGTGTTAATAGCCGGAGCATGGTATTTCATAACCGTTGGTGCTAAAGCAACTTTGATATACTGATCATATCCAGCTTTATCACGATCCAAAGGATTAGTTTCGACAAGTATTGTCAACCAATCAGTGGAATCATCTTGTACGAACAAAATTTGTTGTCCACAACCATCCATTGCTACATTTTTTACACCACTTTTAAAGCTGCAAAATAAAACTGCTTTGATGAGAAACTAATTTCATCACAAACCAACTGCAACCAAAATTTCAATTCATCCTTCTTTTATTTTTGCTTTTTGAATAAGATATCGCTATACATCCAATATGATTTATGATATGAATATGAAATCATCACATGAAAAACGGGTTCTAGTTTTATAGCAAATTGCAATTCATCTTCCTTCCTATTAAAATACAATCAATTTACCCACTTGATAGCTTGAGCTGATGCTCGATGTTCTATTCTGGTAGTAATTATAGAAAATTTCAATGTCAAAGCACCTTCGATTACAACCATAAGCAGACTCAAATTCGCGATGACAACATTCTCCACGAAGTGTTTCGGGTAATCAGTTGGAGGGATATTCTCCTAAGAAAAGATTATATGTAAATTGCGTTTATTATATGATGTATGTTCTCATTCCCTGAACTTCCATTGAAGTCTTGCATTCAAGTTCTAAAAAGGAAAAAGCTACCAACCTGATAATCAATAGCATCAAACAATTTAGCCTTCTCTTCTATAGTTAAGACCTGCTCAAACTTTGTCATAATATCACCTGATGATAGAGCTACACTTTCCCCTTTCTCCTTCACACCACCGCCACCAGTCCACCTGAAATACACTGAATATTAAGTTTATTCTTTATAACAAATACTGAGCTTTTCATTTCTTTGTTTCGAATCAAGAATTTTTGCTGTATCTAAGTCTCTTGTGAATAAAAAAAGGTTAAATAAAAAACAAATTCAGAAAAATTCAAAACACATATATTTTACCAGCTTTTAGCCCAATTTACCCATCCCTGTGGTTGATCTTCTAATCTCGTCAAACCACGCCTATCGATTTCCATATCAGCTTGCTGCCGAGCGATGTTCAAATTGAACATATCAAGATGCTCTTCAGTTTCCTGAAACAAGTTATGGCTTAAATATTATTCAGTATATTTAACGAACTATTATCTGCAATACTACTAAGAAATCGACAGACAAAAAGTAGTGAACTAAAACATTTCTTAAGGAATATTGTTGTCGTTCAAGTTTTCAGAACTTCAGCTGTCTCATAAAATCACTACTTTATTCATACTGATATATGAAAGACAACTATGTGCTGAATGATTTCCAGTCACGGTTGGTTTATTCTAATTATGTGAATTTACTTTATTATTTTATTATGTGAGCTTACCTCAATAATATTTCGGTCTTTGTTGCTAAGGTTCTTCTCAGTTTGTTTCTTAAGCCAAGCATCTTTATAAGCTCTCACTGATTCCCGATGCTTTTTCATCCTCTCCCAGTTCCAATTATTCCTCCGCCTCCTAACAAATTCCTCAACAATTGCATTGTAAGCGAAATGCCACCTAAATAACGAGTGTTCAAAGCATGAAGAGAACTGCGTAAGAAGCAAATCAGAGCTGTTCCCATGTCTTACTTCCTTCTAGTGTTCAGCTTAAGCCAAATCCTTCACATTTAAACCGTCTTACAGCTTCTAACATATATATAGAAAGTCGAATCAAAACAAATTCAAAAAAATTCAAATCACCATTTTCTGTAATGACCCTTATAGTCATTCAAATGTGGTCGATATTTCAAATACTGAGCAGCAGTTCTGAATCTTTCTTGTGCTTCCAGTAGTAATAATAGATCTTGATATTGGAATTTGCCAACTGCAACAGCCAATGTATCCACGTCCAAAATAAGCTTGATTTTCGGTATTTTCCAATTAGAATTATCTGTTTCAGGTTTCTGATTTAATGCAAGCTTGGCTTGCATGTTAATTGGTTCCAGCACTATAAGTTCAATTCATAATAAATAGGCGAACTTGTAAGAAAATTTCCAATCATCATAAAAAAAAAATAATTAAAAATAATCTGTAACGAAAAACTTAGTAACTAAGGTTCAAGAAAATTATAGATATAATTAGCATAAGACAAAGTGAGCACTTCAATCACACAAGCATGAGGTTAATAATACAAAATTTAGCAAATTAAACGAGCATTTCTGGAATGATCATGCACTAGCACTGAATTTTTCTGCCGGACCGCATCTGGAAGCCAAAATCAATCCATCAAAGACTTACTGTACTTGTATCCAGATGGCTTTCTGTTGTTAATCACGATAGCATCATTCATTGCTTGCAAAATTGCAGCATTATCGGCTAAGTCAGACACTAATTCCGAATCAGAATTCCAATAAATTGCAAGATTTTTTAATGATACCAATTTGTAAACAACTTTCACAACCTCCTTATGTATAGTTTCATTCCAGTTTTCATCGGTAGTCTACAAAATACTCATCAGTAATCAGCGGTATATTTCCATCCCCAGCCAGTTTTAGTTTGAATTTCGCTCAGTATTTCTTAATCCCTACCATAAATTGAACAGACTATCTATATTGTCTATATTCATTCCTTAGTACAACTTTCATCGGTATAAAGAAACTCGACCAATGTCAGAAAATTTTTTTGTTAATTTAACAAGATCTTACTCCAGTTTTTTCTTGACTCTTTAAATAAAAAAGTTGGATGCAAACAAACCACTGCCACACAAAATATATTTTTGAAAATTTTTGTCCAAAAACTTACCTCTTCTCGCAGAACAGTAATATACTTTAAGTCTACAACTTTACTTTTTATCATATGTCTGTACCTTAAAATCGATTCCTTCTAGAGTAGCGCCAACTGCAAATGGACGACTACGATGTGAGTACTTATCTTCATAGCGAATGTGTATATTACGAACTGTCACTTGTAAGTTCTTGATTACTGTAGCAATGAATTTTTCTGCGAATGTATCGGAAGACGGATCTGGCGGTTCTGGAAATTTTGTAAAATTCTACAAACAAAAAAATGTTATCTCATAAATTAAGTTTCATTATAAAGTAATACGTATGATCTAGGGATCTTTTTCATATCTCACAACAATCTAATATACTTCGCTTCACTTCAGTTTACAATTTATCCTTCATTTTAACTAAGACTCATACTAGAAAATACTATTACGGAAGTAAAATCGTGCAGAGTTCCAAACATACTCCTTCTTCGCTTCCTGTTTTCTTCAAGCCTAGCAAGTGCCTTATCCTTTTCCCCTTTTTCGTACTTTTTTGCTTTTTCTTCACTGTATACGACGCCTTTGTTCGGCACGATAATTAGATTCAAACCTACAAAAACAAAATATAAGACTTAAAATTAAGGATTCAGTCCAAGATTTACAAGTTTTTTGGATGAAGTAATACAAAAATAAACACGGGCTTTCTTCGTTTAAATTGCACATTTTTAACTGCAACTAATCTTACATCCGTGAAAGTGTTTAGACTGAGTAAAAAAAAGCACCACAACTTCATCTGGCATATATATTTATTTCCAAATTCAAAACTCATCATTAAATGATAATGCATTGAAGAGAAAATCTCGAAAACTTCAGAGAGCTGATAATATACGTCAAATGCATTAAAAAATAACCTTCAATGTCAGCAATAACTGGCTGATGATATAGATCACTCCAAGGGATTTTCAAAACAAGCCTTGTAAGGCAGCCGAATTTTAATTTTATTGGCAGATCGAAATCATCCAATGCTGTTTCTTTCACTTTCAAATTAGTTAACTTAACGTCGCCTGAAATACTCTGTTTAAATAATGATAACGGAATGTCACATCGTTATTTTTAAGATATGAAAAATCAAACAAACGATAGAATAAGTTAACAAACATGATTAATAAACAATTATATTAGTAGCATTATGTATGTGAATTAAATAAGATCAAATTTTAATAATCTGAAAAATATTCAAATAGACTTCTGCAAATCTTATGCTTATTGTTTTTAGTTTACGATTTCGGAACGGCTATTCACATACAAAATGTTATATGCCAATATAGATCACTCTGAAGCTTGGGAGAGCTTTTCAGCATATACTCAAAAACGACAACAAGTTATAATCTTCGTTTTTTATTCATCATTTAAGCAGAAAACTGAACTCACCGCCCCATATGCCAATATTTAACTGTGACGCATCGAGATTGTTAACAAAATTACCCAACATACGGTTTAGAACTTCGGCTACAACACTCTCAAAAACCATTACTGAAAAGTACAAATGATATGTGAAATGATATATAAATGATATATAAAAGACTACAATCAAACCGAAATGAAAAAATAACTCTACAAAACCCGATACTAGAAAATTCAATGAAATTCTCAAACCATACACTCTCTTCCTTCTCAAATTTTTGATATTAAATCTTTCTAGATCAATAACTAGTTTCCATATCAAGCAATTTAAGGAAAGGTATTAATCGACAAATATATCAATTGGTAGTTTGAACAAAGTACATCAATGTTGATAATATTTATTAAACTGGTTAGATAGTATAGCATATATGCCATCAATATTTGGAGCATCATAAAATGAAGATTCGGTATCTTTAGTGATCGAATAGATGAACATTCATATGATTAAGGAACATTGATATGATTAATTTTTTTTTTTTTTGGATAAAATTAACTGTGAAGAAATCAGAAATAGTTGCAGAAATGTGTGCAATACGCTCATAATGGAATGGATGGGAATGAACTCCCCACTGCCAAGTATCTTCAGCTGCAAATAAGCATACGCAAGAAGAAACACATCTGAGCCATTCGACAGTTACATGCTTAACTTCGATGAATTTCTATTTCAACGATACTTATCCAATGTCGAATCAGTGATTCACTATAGAAAGTACAATGCATGATGATTCAGATGAATAGATGGATGACTGTTGAGGAGTGCAATGACTACACCGAAAGTGCAAACTGCCGCATTGCGATCCATTGATGCATTCATTCCTATTTCAATCGTACATTTTATTACACAAGCAAGATCACAAAAGAAGAGCGCTAGAGACGGAGTCTGGTGACAACAGATTTTCCTCTTAATTACCGTGTAAACGACATCCCTATGGAAAGTAAAAGGAAAGAAATGGAAAAGATTTTTCTTGGAAGAGCCGTCTGGGAGAGATACATAAGATCCATTTTAAAATATGAGCTAAAAGGCGGAAGTCTCAACCGTCTCTTCTTTTCCACTGCTACAAATTAAGACACAAAATCTGTATGGGGAGTAATACTATAACTCTTCAACTGTTTTTAATATGAAAACTAAAAACAAACAGTTTCGGCACCAGTAAATTCTAGAACAAAGTTTGTTAAAATCCAAAAATAAACTTGTAAAACCAAGAGCCCAAAATTCGAAATAATAAACATGAAAATTAAATTTCAAGGTGGAATCTGATAATTTAATTCTATTATTTCAGTCGAACTGGCTCAACTGTAAATTAAACACTGCAGTCAAGAAAGTTACTTTCTCCCAATAAATGCATATAGAACCCTAATTAGTTTAAATAAATATATCCTACAAATTCTAGGTCAGCAAGAAGCATTGCATGTTAATTGCGTTATTTGTAGGCCTAAATGAACTAATTACTGAAAGCCTAACTAGTGGAGAGATTGCATGGTGCGGAAAAGTCATGTTCAATTGAAACAAAACGATAAAGGAATGGAAAAAGGTTACTTTAACAAGCCTTAGAATAATGTTGTTGAGTTTGATATTCCTGAAAATTCTCAAATTTGAAAAAGGCAAACCTTTTTTTTCTTCATTAATATTCATATCATCTTCGTAACTTCGTACTTTCAACCAAGAAATAAATTACAAAGAGAAATGGAATAAGACAAGTATAATGTTGCTTATGAAATAAGCACAGCATTTATAACAATATTATACGTGATTTTGAGTCGAGAATTTGTTGCTTATACTTTGAAAAAACATTATTCGAAAAATCTACTGCCTGAAAGTTAGAAACATTCGCAGTCACAGCATAACTACTCCTTGAAGTAGCCAATTTAAATTTTTGAAGCAGCGAAATGAAATCATCCGTTTTGCCGGTTAAATGATCATCAGACTTCGAAGAACATATTTGTGATATCTGAAATCATCATCTTTGATCTATCTCTAATGTTATCGAGCTTAATTTTTATTCTTAGCACTGTTTCTAGTATATATACAGGATCAGGATTGAGTAAAAATTTGTTTCTGCTTAAACTATTTATAGTTTAAGCACGTACTCTAAATTATTAAGCAATATAGTTATCCAATCCTTTTTTTTAATATAGCCAAAGAAAAAATATTGAATAATTAGAAGCAATTAATATAAACTTTAAGTAAGTTTTTGCTATTGTTCTGTTTTTCATGTAATCGGTCCTCTCTTTTCCCATTCGATTTGGAATTCCCAGACTCTACAGAAACTGTAGTAGACTCGCCAGGTGAGGTACTCATGATTGAAATCATATCGTCTACAGCGCGTACACCTTTCTAAAATGGGAGGTAGTACAATACCAATTGAAAAAATTAAAAAGTCCTAACAATAACCAGAAAAGTGTTGATCCCATGCAAATATAAGATACCTCCACACGGGAAGTTATCACATCATCAGTGAGATCACCCAACCTCGAGAAAGTAGTGTGTTCAAACTGTGATCTCATAGAGCAATCACTTCGCGATCGGAAAACCGATGCCACCATATTCATCATTCTTCTTCTAAGTAAAGAAAAAGTATAACATTCATAAACATCAGTAAGATTTTAAGAAATATTAAAAGATGAAAAGTTGAAAAAAAAAAAAAATCATACTTGTTTTTATCGGTTCTTTCAGGCTTGCTCAATACTGGAACATAAGAAAAGCTGATAATATATCCAGCCAATGACATAGTCACCTTTATCTGTTCGCCAATTGCCTGAATATACTCATCCGCTTCGTCTTCTGCCCTAAGTTGAATTGCAACACTGTTAAACAAACGAGTTTTTGCTGCTCGCCAGGTGAATAATTCACCTGATTTTGAACATAATCTGCAAAGTTACAAGTAATTTATTCGAAAACAGTATAAGCTGTATTAGTGTATTAATAGTTTTTCATAAAAAATATACAATAATGATGATACCTTTAAATCATTTTTCTTACTAGTTTATCAACCACCTTTCATATTGGCTAAAGAAAACTATTTTGCTTAATGAACCTTAGATGAGTTCGTGATGACTTGCCCAGGTGACCATATTCTAAACCGCTAATTTCATCGAAATCGATATGCTTCACATCCGAGAGTTTCGTAGCATCGTCATATGAAGCAACTATAACAGCCGTTCTGGAAAACGACCAAATAAACCAATCGTGTTTTGAGAAAAAAACGGATTAAAGTTTCAAAGACAAACTTTGTCAATACCAATACGGTATCAATTTGATCAGTACTATTTGATCCTTCAACTAAGGCCCATCCACCAACGAGTATCTCTTTCTCAGGAAGGATAAAAAGAATTGCTTCGCGGACCAGTCGACCTATACTTTCAACTTCTTCATCTTCACCTTCAAACTGTTCACCTTGTGTTTCGCCTGCATCCAAAGACATCCCTTAAAATCAAAAATATTTGGAAACCAACAATCAAAAATATTTGGAAATTAAATCATCAATATTATAAGAATTATATGCTTTTTTTTATTTGTGAAAACATTTCCGTAGGAATTAAGTAAAATAGTGATTAAAATTACCCAGGAGAGTATCAACTGCAAGTTGCCGCTGTGCATCCCTCATGTGAGACAAATAGTACCGTGAAGCTGAATTATATCCGTCCTTAACCATACCCACCAAATTCCTTTGACCGCTTCGAGTTACATCTCCTTTCAAGGCATCGGTACCAGCATACTTCAATATATATATTAAAAGTACAGATTTTTCATATATTAAAGAAAGATTATATTAAAAATGCAAAAAATTAAAGTACAAAATAAATGGACAATAAATCCAAATTTTCATATTTGATTCATTTTATCATTGACCACTTTACTTTCAGTTTATATTTGGTCATTCTGCATTTGATTTAGTCCTTCAAATATGCGAATACTAAATAAAAAGTTAATAAATAATTAAAAATAGTAAGAGCAACAAATAATTAACTGATATGTAGTCAAATAATTTAATTACCAGGAGCTTTTGAAAAATAAAAGAAAAAACTATACCTGCCTTGAAATAGCGTCACCATTATCAGCCCACATCGTTTGTAACGCTTGAATAAGTTCAAGCGGAGCATCCGTTTGAGGGCCAACAATGCCGAGTTTCTGTGCCTGGACTAGGCATAGCGCTTGCGATACTGCACACTGAATTTATAATTTTTTAATTAACAGATTAAGAAGCTATTGTCAGAGGACAGACTAGAAAAAGAAAACAGAACTATTGTGGAATGTGCGCTGCTAATTCGATTTCCATATTATGTTAGTTCCATACTCATTCTGTTAGAAACTGTTGAACTTTTATTCCTAAGCATCATCAGTGAATTAAATTAAGAGTACTCTACCTGCACGACATTGGTCCTATCCAGACAATCTACGCAATTTGTTCGGATAACACCTTGCTGCTGGCGTACTATTTCACCACATTTATCAACCCAACAAAAACCTATAGCAGAAATTTGCTCAGTCAGTGCTGAGATCAAATCCGCAACCTGAAGAGAATGCATTGAATTTCATTTACTATAAAAGATTGAAGTTTACTTATATATTTAAAATTAAATCAGATGGGAATCATTTATGAACTTAATTTTTTTTTTTTGGTCAAATATTGCACTCAAAAAGGATGAAGGAGCAACAAAACGTCAATTACCTTATGAAAGCGAAGTCCTCGACAACGAAAATGAAAATCGTATGTAAAATAAGCAACGTTTGGCGAATTCATGTGAAGGATATGCTGCAGAAAGCTCACCGAAAGCTGCATTTCTCTACAAAGTCACTAGATATTTTTTTTAATTAACAATACAGATGTCCACTAGATTTTTTTAATAGCAAAACAATATGAAGTTGAATATTACGAGAACGTGCCTTCCTCTTTGCTCCACTAAATTAACAATAGTTAAAGGTGCGCCATAAGTTTCTATCATTTTCGTAACATGCTTATTGAAAGCTGGGTAAGAATCAGCGAACGTTTTACTTATCACTAGTGGTGGACGATAACGATATCCTTGTTGAGTCCAAAAAACTGGAACAGATCCTCGTATCTGAACATATTTAATTTTAAAGCGAAACTAAATATCTTCATATCATCACCGCCGTTTTTATCAGGCAAAGCATTTTTCTATTAAATTTGACATTTCTAAACGTATGTGTTTGAAACAAAATACTGACTTGGACATAAGAGAGACAATGGCCAAAAATTGTTAGCACTACTTCGGTTTCCACGAAATTAGCAACATCACCATCTCCATCGACACCCCGTTTCAGATACCGTACACCAGCACAATTTATAGATCGCCTTGATATCAGTGTTATTACCAACTTCGTTTCAGCCTCAACTGATACCTCTCTAGTAAAAAATCTGCATGATTTAAATGTATAAAACCAAATTACTACAAAAAAAAAGGAAAACAAAGTTGAAAAACCATCACCACCTAAAGTTAAATTTATAAATAAGAGAGTACAAGGTTTCCTCGTCAACATTATATTCTATTAAAATATTCATAAATTAATGAAAAGTCCTTTATCATTTCTATCAAGTTTAAAAACACAGTTCAGGAACAACATCTATCTTATTACGGATTACAAAACAAAGCTTTTTAATTCTTTAAAAAATTTGCGTCTAGTTTTTCCAAGCACCAAAAATTAAAAATCAACCTTTCAGCGACAAAGCCTTGACATACTGGAATGATCCATTCTTCAGTTCCTGGATGAGGAAAGCCCTCATCGTTAAAGAGATCAGAAAGTAATGCATAATTCCAAAAGAACCACTTATTCGTATGTCTTGTGGAAAAGTTACTATAACTGACATTATCTACTTAATGCAGTTCGATATAGCTGTTTTCAGAAATCCTAACATGATTTAGGTAATCTTTTTTTAACATTTTTTTAACAAATACTTCATTGATAATTTACAACAAATTAGTAAAATATATAATGTCGTTACCTATATCAGAAACAATGAACTTAATCCATCAGAAATAATAAAACGAGTTAAATTTGAAAAGAACAGTTGCTTGCCTTTGGGTATTTAATGTGATATCTCTTTTGAAACAAATATAGAAATCACCACCATTAAAAAGCTGCAGAATTTCGTCGATCAATCGAATCGAATTCCCTTTCCCCGTAATAAAATGCATTACCTTTTTCCGTGAAATTTTAATCTTTTCCAATTTTGACGGAGATATGACTGGCTGCAATGAATCATCGATTAATTCTAACCATTTTGGAACTACTCAAAAATACTTCTGCAAACTTGAAAATTTTAACTTGTGCATTAGTCCTTACTAATTAGTGAAAAGTTCAGCGAGGTCACTAATTAGATGAAAAAAAAATAAAAATAAAAATATATAGAGGCTAGAAATATTTCACCTTACAAGGCAGGCCATCTTTTTCCACTGGTATCGCAACCACCCTATCAATATGATTGATTGTATCCTGAAACATCGTTAGTACTTATATCAAGCTTGACTTTAGATTTAACATCCTTGATTTTCAAGAACAAAAAAATAAAGAGAACGAACAGGAAATACATAACAGGCCAGACTTAAAAAAAGGCTACATCATAAACTTACATTCGTACAAGGATATGTAGCTACCGGGGTGCATTCAACAACAACCAGTAGATAACACTCGTTTCCGACCAGAATTTTTCCGATAAAAGCAACGAACTCGCCTAATTCAATAGCATCAACAGATTCTGCAAAAACCAAAAATCATGTGATTTATAGTTATGTATCCACTGGTTTGACACACAATGAGTTGAAAATTTTTAAATCATAAAGAACTTCCATCTTCAAAGAAGTGGAAAGAATATTTGAAGCTTGTGAATCGCCTTGGTAGACTGGATAAGAGAAACTAAGAGTTATTATGAAGATGAAACCGTGATTCTTCTCGGTGAAATAAATAGTCCCACTTTAACTAGCAAAGTAAGTGGAATATGATTTTAAGTAACAAAATTGACACTGTTCGTTGCACCAACAACTGAATTTGGAAGTAAATGTAAATTTCGAGACACGAAATAAACGAACAATATTAAAGCTCAGAAAATCTTAACTAAGAATAATGAAAAACAAGATGACAAGAATAAGTTTATGAAAAAGTGTGAAGTGTAAAGTGTACTACAGTACCACATCCTTTTGAATATAGTCAGATTGTGATCCGCGACAACTAAGTAAGTTAATGATTCAAGTGATATCTTTTTTTTTTTTGGTGGAAAAAGAATGAATTAGATAGTAATACCTTCTACTGAGGAAGCTGACAGTTTCATTGTTGATTTGCAGCATTTCAGGACACAACTTCCTTGTACCAAATAAAGGCTGCTCGTCGTACCTAGTAATATCATCTTGCTCTACAAATTTTTACCAAAGAACTAATTACGTATCATTTCCTGAAATAACTTTCAAGAAACTGCTCCACAAATTTAATTCACATAAATTCCGAACACTAATAAATATTACTGGTGATCAAGGAAATTAGACACGGATATGTAAGGCAGGATATAATTGATTAGAATCGGAGAACTGTAGAAAGACTGATACCGGACATTACGTCTCATTTCTGGATTCACTTGTGAAATTCCAATTCCTGACAAAGAAATGTTCTGGAATGGTGTAAATACGGTCAATAATATTAGGTTATCCTGATGGGCAATAATATTAGAACGAAAAATGGTAACAGTGCTGCCTTAGTGATAACCAGATATTTCAATCAGTGCCACAGATCGGGCAATGATGTTGTGAACTGCAGCAGTTTCACTTTTACATTAACATTCTCTTCTCACATAATTCTAAATAGCGGAACGTTCCTAAACACCGCAAAATCGGACTCCCCAAACACTATCATCTTAAAATCTCTCAGATGAATAATCAGTTTATCGCAACTCGGAGTTAAACCACATCCAACTGTTAATTTTTAGTGCTGGTAGGTCTGATTCCTTTCAGTGCAATCCGTGATGACATGTGCACCTGTGTAGTTCTCGATCAGTGGCTCTATGTCATCTCGTATCTTCGCTGTTGATCTCATTTACGGAACTCCTGTTCACCTTATGTTTCTATATATGTCGTTTTAGTTACAGTAATACCGAGAAAAAACTGATTCCGGGTCAATGGAAATGTAAACTAATATAATTATACATGTTTTATCGATGATTTAAAGAAAACATTAAAAAAAGCAAAGTTTTTTTTATTTCTTTTTTCCAGTCGGAATTTGCAATTCAGTTGTTACGGCAGTCGATAGAGATTTTTCCTGAAAATTAGCGAGCAATCATAAAAAGGAAACAAATAAAGCGATAAAACGAATACTACTACCATTTCCTTGATATTCGTTCTTGATAGTAGTGCTATGATTTTCCTCATGTAAATCAGAAAGGACTGGAGATAAAAGCCTTTTTACATGAGGAAAACGACAGTAATCTATCAAGCTGTTTGCATGGACGCTTTTAAAGGACGTTGAGGAATTTTTTTAATAGTCCCAGGCATAACTAATATGCTCGGAGTCTAATTGCAGTGTGATCTGATATATATTGTTAGGAAATACTCTTTCGTCTAGCAGCCGAAAGAGTCAATGGTCGGACGTTGATAAAAACGAATGAGACGAACTTTATTTGAAATGCTGACACTGGTGAATGAATGGACTGCCAAATCACAAAGTTCTTTAGTGGCCGGTATGTTTTTCAATCCTACAGCTCCCACCATTGGCATATTAAGAGCTGTTGAAAGAGCAGCGTTTAAACCAGAGATAGCGTATACCTTCGTATTCTGTAAGCTGGAAATTACAACATTAATCAGCAAAGATGCATATGTCCAAGCAGCTGTAAGAGCATTATCACCGAATTTAATTGACATACTCATGAAGAGAAAGAAGACTAAGCAGCGTTTCCAACAAATCCAATATTTCTAAATTAAAAGTTATGAAATAACCCCAAAATGTATTATAGAAATATCACAATATTAATAGGGTGTTGTGAAGCAATATAGTTCATGATTGTCAATAAGAATAACGTCTTTGTGATTAAAAAATTAAAAAAGGAAAAATATTAAAATGCTGTAGATTTTAAATATGTTTCAACTACTGAAAAAAAGAGTAGAGAGTAAGCTTTTGGACCAAATGATACAACTCTCATACCTGGTAGCATACAGTCCCAAAGTAGTTGTAACTGCTGATGGCTTGATTGTGACTGTGTCAAAGAATACTGCTGACAACACATCCCTTTGCATACTACGTAATACTGAGCGCATTCCAATCAAAGCGAACGAAGACTATAGTTTGACATTATGGATTATAAATATTATTAAAAGTTTTAAAACTTACAAATGAAATGTAAGGAAACAAAATTTTACCAAACAATTTCCACACTAATAAATATATAAAGCATGTCAGGAATGCTCAACTACTGAGATTCAAGCATGACGGCGTCCTACCCAGTCCATCCGAAACTAGGCATTTTCATTACACATTGTTATCAGTTCATATCTTGAGTTCTATTCATTTCGGCTGCAAAATTGGTGATCTACGAAAGAGTTATTAACTGAAAAATAACCTTCCGGGTTTTATCCACAGCGTTGTCCCTTTCCGAAACGTTTATGTCTTTTGTTCTTTGCGGATTACAAGTCGCGGGCTTCATAACACTTTGTCCCCTACTTCGCTTAACCTTTTCAGGTCGTTTGAAACCTTTTTCCAGAAGAAATTCAACCAAAGAATTCAGGAAACAATTTGATGTATCATGAGACTTGATGTGCCAGTCAAACTTTAGTCTGCATTTCAAGTATGGCCTACTGCTCCGGTGCTTTTTCATATTTTGCTAAAAGTTAGGAAAAAGAAGCAAATATATTGTACTTCAATTTTCTTTAATTTTACGATTTTTGATTTACAAAATGACAGTTGAGCTGAAAAGAATTGCGGGAAGGAATAACGGAAGAGAAATGACAAGAAAAATAACATTCAGCAGCGATTTCGAAATATTAAACATCAACTAAAACATTTGTACAGTGACAAATAAGCAGATAACGAATGTATTACTATTCAACATGCAAGAAACTATTTATCCAATACACTGAAATCCCAATGAATTTTCATTTTCTAAAGGTACAGAAACCACCATCATAATACATAATTATGTATTTTGAAATTCATATTTACATAACAAATGTTAAATCTTTTGCCAAAAGAGTAGTAAAATCTAAATGGTTAATAATTTCAATTTTTATTTATACTTGTACTATCAAATTAATTACTACTCAGCAAACAAGGAAACATAGGTCTCGAAATATTAAGGACTAACTAAAAATGTTGTGTATTGTTTGGTGTTTTTAATATGAATAACTGCCGCGAATCAATAAAAAATAGCTGTTTACTGCTAAACTAATTATCTTGATAACTGATAAGTGATTTTCAATAATACACCAGCTTACTAGTAGAAAATAAGAAAATGGCAATAACACAAAATCTGAATGCTACTACATGAAATCTAAATGTTTTGTAAGAAAAATGTAAATACAGACCATATATTTGTTGAAAAGTTATACATATACTTTGAAAAAAACTTATTAAAAAAAAATTTATATCATGAGAGAAAAGGAGTGTGGAAAGACAAAAAACTTTCTGCCCTAACTTATGCAACATACACTAGTCTTCCTGCTTGATTACAGAATAATTTTTTAATTCAAAAACGAGGTTTTCTCCTGAAGATAACATTAACATATCAACTATCTGACACATCTTCTAAATCCATAACTGATTCTCGTAAAGCAATCAATAATTCTAGAGCCTGTTGGACATTCCCACCAGTTTCTTCAAGAATTCGCCTATTTTCTTCCGTGTTTGTGAAACCAAAATCAGCCAACTGGGCCATTTGCGAAGTAAATTGTGTAGAACTAGATGCTGAAAGTGTACCGGGGAAATAGTGAGAGTTTCGAGACGATGATGTCGAAGACGATGAGAACCCCTGACTGGTTCTGTTTCCTCCTACATTTCTTATTGCCTGAGCAACTGCCTGAAAATAAATTATTTCATTAGATTTCTGAAAACTTATAAATCAAATAAAACTTTAATCAGCAGAGTTCCGATGTCCATTCAAACACTGAGATGCTATTTTCAACAGCATATTATTAGCCCTAAACCAACTGTAGTAGCTCACAAATATAAACTAGTTATAATACATGAGAAATCACAGAAACTTGAAGGTGATACGAAATAAAACAATTTTGGATTTCATCACCATGAAATAAATGGATAGTTCTTACTAAATTAAACTTTTATTTATATTTTATTTTTTATTTCACTTAAACTTTCATATTTCATTTATCAGTGGTATGAACAGGTACTTGTTAATTTCTCGGTGGACAAATTATGGTTAAAAGTTTTTCCAGAACGTGAATGAATATTAACATCTTCAATAGTAAAACCGTACCTCTTGCAACATTTCTGGAGTTACAATGGGTGCATAACCACTTTGTCCGGAAGCTGGTGTTGGATTATCTGATATCGAAGCGCTTGAGCCAGAATGCGACATCCTGGGTGGTACACTAACGCCTCGTAACCAATAATGTATTACTTCTACTAATATCTGAAAAGGTCCTTCCCATCATGAAAATAATAGCAAAAACTATATAATAAATTTATTGCTCTTAGAGAAGTGGCTATACTCCTATGTCCCCAGTGTTTTACTACTATTGCTCGTAAAATAAGCGAGTACCGGATGATCGTGAAGAAAGGCTTCCTCCATATTCTGCTTTCCCATAATCATGGCGCCTGATAGAATAAAGTCTTTAGCCACTATTAGTGCCATTCGATCTTTCTTCAGAAGTGGAAATTCTTTTAGCAGACCTTCCATGAAATCATTTCTATTCATTTCATCGATTATCTATAAATATTATGTTATTGCTAATAGTCTAATACTAATCGTTTGAATTTGTTTTTCAAATAAAATAAGCGCATATTGCCATCTTTTCCTTCCACATAAACAAATCACGAGGATATCGATAGTGAAAGGGTCTATCTATTGAAGTTCATAAAAAACGCTACTAGCTTCAGGACTTCGGAAAAATCAAAACTCATTACGTGGAACAAATGAAGAAATAAATGAATTTATTGCAAACGAAAACGGAAAAAATGAAAAACTTCCCTTCTCACGAGTGCGTTTGGAAGCACGCAGGAACTGAAATTTTTCTCGACATTCCAGCAATTTCTTGCTATCCAGCTGTAACTTCGGCATAGGATCTAATGTGGAACGGATCATCACATGTAGTGTGTACTTATCTTTCATATTCTTCACATCGCTTAATCTGATGTCCTCTGCCAACACTTCCCCAAGAAATACCAAATCTGTAAGAAATTTATTTAATTACATCCTTTTTTGAAACGAGTAGTAAGGGTTGTTTCCGAACTAATAAAATTTATGTCGTTTATCAGGAACACTTCTCGCAAAAAGAACATACAGCATTTTGAGCGCTTCAATGGATCACTCACGAAGTCATCTAATATTTCCTTCACATACTTCTCCAGACCAAATGAACGCGGCATACAAACAACTCCAGATTCAACAAGCCAAACCTTCACCATTGAAATGAAATATTCCTAAATGCTGGTAATAAATAACTTTTAGCATACCAAATTTTCACATATTTTATAACCTTCAACATACTGCAATCTTTAAATACATTAAAAAAAAATTAACTTCTGACATATCAAGAAATTTAAAAAATATTGCAAACATAGAAATACCAGGTATTAGTATATAAACACATCATACTAAACACAATTTAAAATGTAAAGTCCATACACACCACTGATTTAGAACAATAAGCAAGTGTAGATAATGAACTTCAACAAAAAACAAACCGAACATGTTGAAAAAATTTATTAAGATTAAAGGATTATACAGATTACTGAATGATTTCCAAAATTCTTTGATTTAGAGGATTTTCAGGAGATTTCTGCCACTGTTTCTTTAAAACTTGCTTCAGCTGTGAAAGGCGATATGTAGGATATTCTTCTCTCAGACGCGGTAACATTTTATCTTCAAATTCCTAAAAATAAGTAAGAAAGAAGTGAATGAAAAAAAAATATTAATCAAAAAAAGATATTTACTACGGTTAGCAAAATTTGCACCGAAAATTTCGAAATTATTCGTTAATTTTCAAATTAATCCTAATTGCTCAAATTACAACAGCTTTCTCGCAATTCATAGCTTGCTATATGGTGTAGATTTTTTTCTTTTTAAACTATAATGAATCCAAAAACAATCAGAATAACCTGATAGGCGGCTTTTACTCTCTTTTCAGGGTGCCTATCGATAGCTGGCTTGCCTAGAGACAATATATTAATTGCTTCCACGACACTGCGAGCAGTTTTACCTTCCACCTATAACAATATAAATCATGACTGAAGTTTTTATGCAGCAATAACGCCAAAGTAAAAAAAAAAAAAAACCGATGTTATAACATCGATCGATTGTCAAATAAATGATGCGCGCAAAATACAAATAAAAGTACTATCTGTGAAAAAAAGCAAAAAAAATAAAGTCTGGTCAAAAAACGACTGCATCGGTAAAACACTAAAAGTATTTCAAAAAATACCTCCAGCTGGTTAACATTTTCTTCAATTTCACCTTCATTGGCTTCTATACGTTGTTCTTTCAGTAGGCGTTCTCTTTCTCCTTCACGTTTTCGTTCTTCTTCAGCACGCTTATTAGCTTCAATTGTTGCTTGTGTGATCTGAAATCTGCCGGATTCATGACCTTCTACAACAAAAATATTATGTAGAACCATACCAATTAGTATTCTAAAACGCCTCTATCTAAACTGATTAACATACAACATTGTTCTGATACTTCAGGAAATCAATCTCAAGTACCTTTATACTTTGTAACAATAGCATTTGAGCAAAAAGAATATCTTAGGATTAGTAAGTAATAATGATTAACAAATAATGCATTGTTGATTCTTGGTTTTTCGGAACTTCACAACAGTAATTTCCTCTGGATGAAAAGAACCTTAGATGACCCGACTGTTTTCCTCGATAGTGTTTTCATTTCTTCATCATGTGCTGCCCGATTTTCATGCTTCCTCTGTAAGGTTTCCATACGTTTGCGTTCTGCTTCTTCCTAAAGTTTAAAAAATTATACATTCATTCCTAAATAACAATAACTAATTGAAGTAAATTTCTATTAGTTCCCAGATCGATATTTTCTGTAATAACCACTGCAAAAAAAAAAAGAAATGTGATGATTGATAATTTTGCGAAATCTTGAAAGAAGAATTAGTCTTAAAAAAGAAGAATTAACCTTTCGCTGCTTACGAGTAACGTTCTTATCATCATCTTGCCAATATGCATCTTCTTCGGCTTTCTTCTTTCTCTCCGCTTCTTCTTTCTTCACAGCTTCTCTACGAGCTCTTGCTGCCACTGCTTTCGTGTTTTCACCAGAGAATTTCTTCGGCATTTTCAGAGATAGAAATAAATATCATACATGCGATGCAAACCCCTAATAATTACACAGTATCGATGTGAGAATAACAATCACAGTCAGAGTTGGAACTTAAATCAGTCACTAACACTGATGAAACATTAAAAATCAACAAGTTGTGTGTCAGTAAAATGTTTTATCACTATAGCATTCTGCACTGTTCCTGGATCATTTCCATTACATGCATATGCAGTAGTCCTGTGAGTTACCTTCCTGAAATGATACTACTCCACAACTTCTGCTATTAACAATAGCCTTTAGTTCCCTTATTTCTCTGTCTAATAGTTACATTTACCGTACAAATCTTTTCGTCTGAAAGTTAAGAAAACATACTTATAAATACTTAAGTATTTATGCTTTACGTCAGTCTTCTTAAGCACTCTGTTCAATGTAATCTTTTTTCATCTCTCAACTGAAACCCAAACTATTCTTACATGAAATTTCGCGTACAAATCTACGAAAGAGTTAATCCCCCATAAACTTTTTAAGTTGAAACTAAAAGCAGTCAAGACAAAACTTCAATTATAAAAGTGACTTTATACTTCAAAGTCAGTGTATTCATATTAGTATTACATTATTGCCCATAATAAAGGTTCTCATCTCAGAAAATCTACTTTAATAACCTCATGCAACACCTTAATTATCAAGACGTGGAGACATGTGACGTGGTACCAAAGCATTATAATATATGAATGTAAGTAAATGTATTGGTCTGATGACAGAAGTATCCATCACTTACGTTCGTCACGAATAGTTATTGACGCAGTTCAAGAAGAAAAAGTATTGACACTCCCTACAATATAAACAAAGAGAACTTTGACACTCCGGCAATAAGTAAAACGCCAAGTAATCCCAGTAGATCAACTAAATCCATTATTAAGTATCACTTTTTATACGTATAATTAAGTATCGCTGTGCTACTCTTTGTGCTATCATGATATAGATGTAATGAAACTTATGAGATTCCAAGATATTTTCTCTGCACAAATTTTGTTGGATGAGGAATGGCCGTTTGCCTGGCGACATAAGTTTTACTGTTTTTAAATGCTATCTATTTTGAAATTGTTTTACAAAATAATTGTGATAAACGTAGCAAAAAGGAGAAAAGTATCGTAAAATAAGTTTGACACTATAAATTTGCAACTGGGAAGTACGCAATAATGAAATGATAAAACACACAGAATTGACACTCCAATATAGTTTTGGACGGAGATATTTTCCCTAAATCGACCTGCCATTATAGTGAACTTTTTGTTGAGCAGCTTAATCGCGCTTCAGCCTTGAAATAATTAGATCCGGTACCCTGCAGTCCTGCCATTGATTATACTCATTCCAAATGTATCGTTCTTCAGTTTTTGAAGTGATAGTAAAAGATGGCTGAATAAAATGCGGGGATGTTTGTCATAATTATGACAGTTACAACGATGACGACTTATCATTCACATTCACATCATCATATCACAAGTAATAACTATTCTTGAATGATATAAAGTTATAAATTTAACAGTTTTAATTCTAACCGAGGTAACTGCAACAACCAGTTTTGCGTATTATCATCACATCCGTTAAGTGGAACTCTTTCAAATGACTTTAAAAATAGAAATGAGAGCAAAAAAGGAATTTTTTTCTTTAATCTATTGCCTTGATGTTTGTTTCATTTCATTAATATCTGGAATGAGAGTGAGCTAGATATGATGTGACAGATCGTGAGCACAAGTCAAAAAAGCAAGAGAGAAGAGAATACCTTCCGCTATTGAAACTTCTTATAGGAATCATTTCCAGTGGATTATTTAATGTGATTTGAAGTTTGATGATTTATACTTCGATTTCAAGTTATCGAACAAAGTTAATTCTAATATTTGAATATAATTGCTTCTAGAATATTTCAGCATAACATACGCAGAGTTGTAGAACAATTTTGCACTGCATTAGATTATTGAAGCATCGGATATGTTCAGTGAAATAAGAAGAGCTGAAAAAGGATGAATTGAAGAATAGTTTATAAATTTATGAAAGAAAGTATTTCTTTTTCTTTCTCGTATTATAACATCTGCAATTTCTTCCTTCATTTCTTCCACAGTTTCGCTTTTTTGTTTTTAAACAAATATATTCACCGGCTAATTCAGAATTTTTTTTTCTAGCTAAGGCCATTCAAGCTCTTATAAAGATATGTGATAGCAGCTTCTCTATTTGATATTTCTCTGCATTCTTCTTTTTTTCTCGAATTAATTCAAAACTGTTGAATTAATTCCATTCAGCAATAAAGTTTTATTTATTATTGAATAAAAGAGTGTTTGTTATTAATGCTACTTTTCAGTGATTGCTTTGTAATGTGACATTGGAAGTTTGCAGTGAAAGAGATTTTTTGACAAGAAAAACATGATTAACATAAAGTTTGAAACCATTGAAGAGGATTGACTCTAAAAAGAAGATTGAATAAGACTTAGGATGATTCGCTATCGAATTGTTGAGCAAAGTTGGTTCTATGTGCGCCTGAAATCCAAAAAAAGATTACATTGTCTTTCTGAACAAAGGAGAGAAATTAGTCCCAGCTAAAAGAAATATGTAAGTAACTAAAAGTGATAAGGCGTGTTAACAAAATTAATTTGTTACTAAAATATGGATTTTCATCTACATTTTATGAAATTTGGAAGATCGATTTTCTTCGCTATCATATTATTACTTTCGGGATGTTTATATTTGCAAATTTATGTGATTGAAAAGCTGAAAAGCGCTTAGTCATCTTATTTCAGTTTATAAAAGAAACACACAAACATAAAATAAATAAAAACGAAGTACTGGAGAAAAATTTTTATGAGTTGAGAAAGTGCTCGATCAAACAGAAACAAGTACTCGATATAGCCCTTTCTGCTGCTTTTCGGTTATTATAAGCTTTTTCATGAAGTTATTTAACCCTTCATTTTTTGATAATTCATTTGGATATTAAAAATTCAACTCAAAGAAATTCAACACTGTTGTGGCATTGAACCCGAGATATAGTTTGAAATCTCAACAATTCTACCAATATTCTATAACGAAACCCTATGCATAAAATTTTTAAGATATTAGATAACAAAACTGTGTGGGATAACGCAAGTAAGCAAAGTGATTATTTTTGAGTTCTTCCCAAAAAAGATTTTGATTTTCTGTTCCAAAAAGATGAAATTGTCAGAGAAACAGTATGACCAAACTCTGCACTTAATTCGACCAAAAAACCAGTATTCCATGTGGAAAACAATTACTGCCGTAGCACTTACATATCTCAAGTGAAAGTGTAAATCCAAAACCCACTTGAAAGAACTTTGAGTGGTAAAAAAAAGTAGAACCATCTTGAGATTTCAAACGCCGGATCGTGCTGCAAAGAGTAGGTCGAAAGGAAAACGACCCACAGAATTAATTCGTTGACAGTGCAGTTGTAATCCAGCAGAAGGTTGCAGCTTTGATAATACTGATAGGCTAAACTTGTCGACCCCTCTTTCAAAATGCTTTCCTTTTTGCCTCTTTTCTCTTTCAACTTTTCTGTAGTAATGGATTATCAACAACCATATCACATTTATGATTTCAAAAAACATTTACTTAACAGCATAACATTTAGCAAATAAAAACAATCAAATGGCAAAGATATATCGGAAAGATTTTTTTACGGAGATTTAAGTAGAAAAGATGTTCGGAAGAAGCTTCATGTTTAATAATTAGATAGAGATTCGATGAAACAAAAGCCTGATTTTACCTTCGAAACTATTATCATTAGAAATTAGCTAAATACAAATTCTGAAAATGGTTTACTTGAAATGAAAAGTATCTTCCGATAATATTTTCAAAGTATTGAGATATCCAAATAGTAAATGTGTCAAACTATGCAGAATTACATAGAAGACGTAGCAAAACTCTTTTCCGGTTGGAAGACAAAACACTTCAGGAACACAACAAAAGCTAAAAAAGGAAGAACCGGAAGCAAGAACGGATCATCTGGACATTATGGAAGATGCAGTCACATAGAATAAATAGATAAATTTTCATGAAATTTATGAACATCAAATTTCGAATGCACTACACTGTTTCATAAGGCAACAACGCTCTGACTAATTTATTGCTACAAAAGAAAGTAAAAATGATAACAAATAGCGGCTTACTCACACGAGACGGATAGAGATGGAAATGAGTGGGTAAGGGGACGTTGGGTTTTCCTACGCTAAGCTATTATTTCAGATTCATGCAATAATACCTAATATAAACAAGTCCAGGTTGTTAGAAAGACATTAACAAGATGGAAAGATCCAACCTGTCCTCATCCATTATCGATCTTGAATCAGCGGATGGCGGATTCACAGGTGATCTTAAGTCGAAACATATCCTAACAGTCAATAATTTTTTCACTTAAGTATAAAAAATGTTTTCATCGTTTTACATTTATGAATCCACAGGTAAGCCGCTGGCAAATTAAAAAAAAAAAAAAAAAAACAATAGCGTTCTTTTCAGACTACATTCCTTGAAGCAAGAGAAAGAACAGTGCATTTAGAATCCTAAGCCTATCCGATATATGTGACCTGAAGAGTTAACGCTTAGTGAAACTTTCTCGTTTATAATGAGTTTGGTTAAATAATAATTTAAACGGCCCAAACATGTGTTATTTTCGAGCATACATTCCAGACATTTATTTGAATGGCCAAGATGAGTATTACGTTCTGAGTAAGATTTTCTGGTAAAAAATAACTTGGCTACCACAATTTAAGAAAAGGATAGGTGAGGCGAACGAGCATTATTCATAATAAAGAATAGATACAAAGACATAAAATAACAAAAAATGAAAATCACCAGAGAAGCATGAAACTAGCAAAATAAACACGGGATGAGTATGCTTTAAAAAATTAATAAAGTAGATGATGACAATGATAACGCTGATAGAACAAGAGATCCAAATCACAGAACAGCAATGATTTTAAAAATTCCAAATGTGAATTTTTTACAAATGATAACTTTATCAAAAGTAGGAATAAAGGTTATTGGGCTGGACTTTAGAACAGCAACTGGTTACTGATGATATAAGCTTAAGACAAAGTTAAAGCTCACGGAATAAATCAGTAAATTGATAAATCAGTTTAATCAATCTAATTTATCAATGCGTAATTGCATCCAAACGATGTGACTGAAAAATCATAATGAAAATTATGACCATTTTAATACTATTTTAATATTTACATACTAACAAATTAATGCTTTCTTTATCAATCATTCGTCGCATATTATCTTTCCTTTTTAAAGTCATTTTGGATTTTTATGAAATATTAATTGGAAGCTAACTCATGTGAAATTAGACTCCAATCCAAAAATTCCCGAGCTACTATTTGAAACCAACACTTGATTCCTCTTTCTATTGTAAAAAAAACATTTAGATTCCCAATCTGATGCTTCATTTCTAATTAAAATTTTATTCCAATTTAAACTCAAATCTGAAGTTGCAACTAACAGCATTAGCTTGAAATCTCAAGAGAATGAATTCAATAACTTCGAAATTGTAAAAACTGAATTTTAAAAAATATGATCCAAAATCAAACTCAGTAGAACTTCTCTATTTAAATTTTCAACTGCTGTAAAAATATATTGAGTTAAAATGATGACGAAACATATATACTATACATGGAGCACAAAAATTTTAGAAATCAATACACAAAAAAATCATTGAGTCATTTCAATGAAAATAATTATTGCTAACCGAAGAAAGCTATTACTGCGTATTAAGATTGAAAATAACGGTAACAACAATCATTATCATATGAAAAAATGCTAAACTAGCTGTGTACAATAATAAGAAATGCTCTTGTAAATGTAAGCGAACATGCAGAAAATCTTAATTTTAGAAGCAACAATTTAAAAAACCATAGAAATTAAAAACCGAAGTGTGAAACCGTAATTGGAATGAAAGATTTTTGTTTGAGAATACTTCTGGATAAATAAACAAACGAGCATTTAGCAAACGAATGTTTACCGGTCCATTGAAATTTCTGAGTTTGTAATAGACGACGAGTATCATGAATATAGATTAAGCTGTTCTACCGAGAAATACTTCACGTGCAGCCTGATGTTCCAGTGTATCACAGTGAACTCGAAATTCGGTCTGAAATTTGAAAAAGATAGTCATATTAAATAACTCCATCACTGATTCTTGAGAGTTTCAAATATCTTTTTAAGGGAGTCATAGAATGAAGTAAAAAGAGAACCAACCTGTGCACCAAATTTTGCATTACAAGCTCGACACTGGTAATGGGTTTGCACCAATTTAAACACTGAATCACAACCCTGACATATCAGTCGCTGATGATTTTTCAACAGCTGTTCCTGTTGAAACACATTAGTACATTGAGGACATGCCCAGCCAACCTGAATACCAAATGAAGTTATAATTTTAAATCAAATGCAATCAGCATGTTTGGAGACTATGAGAAACTTCGAAACATAGTACCACAAAAAGAGAGAAAGAAAACAAACAACCTCACTATCAGTACTGCCAGCACATTGAAAATCACGTAATGGAAGTATAGCAACCAGTTGTTGAAAAGTTTTGCCATCTTGTGTAAATTTCGATGATTCACGACCGGAACTCATATCTGTCGTAATCTGCGCCATAACACTTTCAGGAATTTGGAGCATCGGTATCGGTGTACCCATTAGATTTGGATCATACATTATTGGCGCCAAGCCTTCAAGAGATCATTTTACTTGAGTTACACCACAGAATACATTCAAAAGCAACAGGTTGTCTTTATTATAGTATATTTCTAAGGTAAACACGCTTTTGTTTCTAAATTTTCATAACAACATCAGTTATCGATCTGTCAAAAAAAAAGTTAAGGTTTCAAGGAAATTACAACAGTGACACTCATACTAACCCGATCGAATACTATATAAGAAATTGTAAGGGAAAGGCGGCATTGCATTACTGCCAGGGCTTGAAGTTGATACACCAGGTTGTTTCATTGTTCGTCGATCTCGTATAGCTTTCATTCTAAAAACTGCGGTAACCAAACACTTAATTGATAACATTAAAAACAAAAAATTATTTGAAAGAAAAAGAACGTTTCATTTTAGTCAGGAAGAGAATTACTAAAGAATTAGAAAAATTAGAAAAAACCTTGTTCGCTGGATGTCTTCTTTATCAATCGTTTCTAGTGAAGCGTTCAAATCGATTGTTCCCTCTGCTTGGACATTATCTGTCTGGAGAAGTTTCTTGACACGATTAATGTGGTCAGTGCTAAATATGTGATCATGCAAGGAAATACGATGATCGTAGCTAACACCACACATTGCACAGCGCGTCGATGCGCAGCGAAGTAATTCTTCATCACCTAAAGCATTTTTTAAAGACCATAAATGATTTGAAATAAAAAATCAATCATTTCTTTCTTCAACTGAATATTATAATTTAAAGATATAAAAAAAAAAATTGTATAATAATTTTATGCTTGCACTATTTTGCAGGAGTTCCCAATTGAAGCAATTCTTCCTCGTCATTTAGATTACTAAGCTTATTTTTGGAAACAGCATTTCTTAGTTAATTAACTTTTTGATAATTCATTCTCACCACATCTTTTTTCACATGTAAACCTCTACAGCAGCTGTATCTCTGATGAGAAATTTAGTTGTTTTTCCATGGTTAAGTAAACAACATGATTCTAAAATAACAGACCACTCTGTGATCGCGATTTTCGCTCTTTTGCTCGAGCATTTTGAAACCATACTTGTACAACTCGCTTATGAAGACCAATTTCGGCTCCCAATAAATCACATTCATTCATTGAGGGAGTTTTATAGCTCATGAATATGCTTTTCATCACCTGTAATTTATTCCTTTGAGAATGACATATTTAATAGTCAGAATTCTGTCAGAACTCTAAAGGCCCTTCAATAATAAATTATTATTATTACACTTACATGAACTTGCAGTGGTGTCAAATGAGTTCGGTATCGCTTGGAGCTAGCAGGACTTCTTTGAGCCCCAAAACAGCCAACTCCAGTCGCACTTGGTGATGCACTGTTATAGCGTTCGCTGATATCCATATTATCACTGTTATTATCATCGTTATCCGAATGCACGAATGAAGGAGATATCGATACTGAATCTTCCCGTCTATAACTGTTTTAGCTTATAGCCACATCAAATAAAAAAACTTTTGTGGATTTTTTCATATAGGTTAGTAAAGGAAGAATGTAATGCAAGTTTTTATGTAAGTAAAAACCAAGCGACAAAAACTACTAAGCAAACTTTAAAACAGCTTTGAAGGAATGTTATTTAAATCATTCCGCGAGATTAACGAGAAATCAATATTTTCGTGAAGCTTACCCATCGCCATTTGTGGTACAACTGAGGTCGAGTGGTGAAAGTTCCGACTTTTTCGAAGAACCATTTGTTCTTGACACGTCTCCCAGTAAGTCATCATTTGCCAACGCTGTGATTGTTGGTACCTGCAAGAAAATTTCAGTAAATTTCACAAAGTTATAAATACTCCACAGATTGGCCAGATCCCGCTTGACATGATCTGCTTAATCCATCTGGAAGCATTCTATGAGCCAGACCAAATTTGCAAGATTTAATTTTCTACTAGTGTTTAAGTACTGTGAAATTAGAAAAACTAAGTAGTAGCAAATAATATGCATTTTCTCACATCTTCAGCATCCGGTAATAAGTCGACATCAGTTGATGTACTGTTAGCTTGCTCTGGATGACGATTCGTAATATGGACAATAAGTGAATCTCGCGAGTGGAATAATAGGCAACAGAAAGGACAGCGCTTATGGAATATCGCTTTTTGCTTATCCCTTACCTTCTGAACGATGAGAAGATTTAGTTCACTTTGTTAATTAAAAAGGATGCGCCTACCATATGCCCACATCCTTTTTAACTAAAGTTCTTCCGCAGTTTGTACAGTATATTACGCTATCGTGGTAAAAACTACTGCACAGGCATTTCATATCTAAATAAAAAGACCTGCTCGAACATCCAGCCAAGTTATTTCATACACTACCAATTATCAGTTTCTTGAAAAATATTCAGGATACTGTTTAATCATTAACTTTAATCTACCGGCCGATCTAGAACAATTTTAAAATACTGCCGATTTATTTCCAAGTAGTTCTTAAAAATGGTGGGAAAATAGGTTTTAGGTTAAACCTAATAAATGAAGATAATTTAGAAACTGGAAAGTGAAGGAAATGAATTCAAAATGACAAGAAAAGAGAAAAATCTTACTAGTTTCGTGGATGGATCCTGCGACTTGGTTGGTGCTTGAATTTTCAAAAATTCTGTTTGACTGGTATCAATAGCAGTTGCCGATGATGTAGTACCGATAAGCTGAGCTAATGCTCCACCTAAAGTAGTTGCATGACTAGTTGTTGCAACTGATGTGGTACTCAACCGCGCTTCACGTAGATTTTCCAGGTTGGTCTTCTCATCTTCACTTAAATTCTCTTCAACGGCCTGCAGTAATAAAGACAAACATTCCAACGTAATTCCCTTAAAAACAGTTTAGAATTATGGTCATTTATGTAATAGACAGTAAAGTAACCCCGACCAAAAGACTATAGCAAAAAAGCAACCATAAATATACTTTATTGTCTTTTTGTTGCGCCACGCAATCATCCTTGTAGCACAATTTCTGCTGATGTTGTATCAGTTCATAATATCGCTGAAATACTAACTGACATCGTTTACACTGAAAATTACTTCCTGGTGTTTTCATAAAACGATCGTCATTGCTTGATGTTGGTTGATTTTCGTATATTTTCCGGGCCTGAAAAGGGCTTTTTATCATATCAAGGTTAATGCAAGCAGATTGTTACAACTATTTGGAGTATCAAGTAAAAAGAAGCCAGCCGATTCAGATATAAAGTTTACCTTTCATGATTTTTATTTGTCGAAAAAAGTGGTGATCTCAAAATAAACAATATTTATTATGTACCTTCTGTCGAGCATTCTGGAACCAAACAACAATAACTCGTGGACTAAGCTGAAGTTTTTTCGACAAAACTTCCAAGTCATCATCTTTCGGATAAGCTTGCTTATCAAAAAACTGCTGTAATGTCCGCAACTGGTAATCCGTAAAACGAGTTCGATTGGCACGACGCCCAGTTACCGAATTTGCAGATGGTAAATCTTTAAAAAATTTGGTAAAAGTAAACTTTTTAGAAATTTTTCAAATCCAAATTTGCTAATAATTAGACGACAGCGGTTCTTTAACAACCACTAGCCGCAAACACTAGTTGTTTAGGGGCAGAATCAAATCTTCAGATCTCTTCGTAGTCTCCTCTACCTTCTTTCTAACGTGAAGATTTAATTTGTAAAAAAAGTCGGTTTCACAAGCAAAAAGTACTTGATAATATAGAAGAAATGTTTTTGTCATCATGCAAGAAAGTGGCGAAGGGATTATTGCATGCTGCTGACGATGAATGAATTTGAGCGGTTTGAACATTTGTAGAAGATATTGCATTTCCCACACCTCCTACACCACTTATATTTACCGGATTCTCGGATGTTTGCAACAATTGCGGTTTCGATTCTTCTTCTGTCTGAAAAGTAAAGAATTTTATAGCAATCAACCTTTAAAATAAAGTTATTAGCGTTAAAAATAAAATTAAGGATTTCTTGACTGTATGTCACTTTTTTTTTCTTTATAGACCGAAAAAGACCTCAATTTTAAGAGTAGTTATTTTTGTTTCGCCGGTTTTTTCGTAAGTGTCCAAATCAATGCTCATTTGTGGCGGAATGTTGAAATTATACGGAGAATCTTTGTCACGCTGTCGTTCCTGAAAATTGAAAATAAAATATATCCAAAAAAATCATTATAGTTATAATAGAAAAGCGTAAAATAAACTGAGTAATATCCAAAAAAACATCTAACTTTCCCATTATTTAAACATTATATACAAAATCTTTGATCAAAAGCCTAGGATATCAGGATAAGGAATCATTTGTTCACTAACGATTATTAAGCAAAGAAGTGAGTAATTGTTTACCCTTATCATTTTAAAATAAATTGTGACCTTGAATAATGTATTGCGAAACCAGTGTTTTATAACTTTTTCTGGAAGTTGCGCCTTTAGAGACATTTCCTTGATTTGTTGTTCACTAGGTGAATTATTGATGTCAAAATACTGCCGCAAAATTTTCAGTTGGTCATCGGTAATCCGCGTCCGAGCTCTTTTAGCTGGTGATGCATTAGGGAACGCTGAAGAACAAAAAATTAAAAAGAAGTTAACAAAATAAAAAAAATAGAATATAAACGAATGGATGCAAGCCAAAATAGTAATAATTACTGAAGTAAATCATTCTGCAACCTTGCCCTTTGTATAGCAAATTTCCCTCAAACGTTAATCATACCATGCGATGCAGTTGTAGCGGCACTCGGTGATACGGAAAAAAGTGGATTTGTAAAAAAATCAGGCGGCATCAGCGGCATGAAAGGATTTGGTATAAATGGAAATCCGAGCATACTCATCATCGCCAACTGACTGTTCAAATCTGATGAATCCTTGGATGTCGACGGCCGAGGTGTAGCACCGGCTGAACTAGATCGCGTGTCCTCTTTCAACTTCTTCGTCTAAATTTAATTGATGTGAAATAAAATCGAAACTTCGTATCAATTTTTGGACTTTTGATATATTCCAAATTCCACTTTAATTCATAGCAGTCATCTTGCACATGGGATCTTGTATCGAAATTCGTCTGCGTTTTAGTTGAAGCTACTTATTAGTCTTTGCATATATTGAGTTTTTTTTTTTTTTTTTTTTTTTTTTATTTAAAAGACGATAGAAACGTTCCCTTCAACAGAACTCTTTCTCAGAAAACTGTAAGAAAGTAATAAAGCTATCAGTTTATTGGAATTATGTATAGATTTTTACTTCGAGTATGTACTTATCATCGTCAGCTGTCGCTGAAGCCGTTGTAGCTTGACTGAATAAATATCCGTGGTCGGTGTTTAATTCAGCGTCATGACTACTGCTCAGTGGTAGTTCATCCCTTCCTAGAGTTCTTTTTTTAGTCCCAGATACTGCAACTACTGGTGTCGTGATAGGTACCACGGTATTCTGCTGCTCAACGCTCAAATCACTCTCGTCGTTCTCCTTTTCTTCGCTCTCATCCAATGCTTCATGCAATCGTTTGGCAAATTTCTCAATCTCTGTCACCGGTACGGTATTTTCATGCATCTGAAATAAGTAAACAGTGATAACAGATTTTCATAAATTAAGCCTCAAAAGTTATATAATTACTATATGTCTTTTTAGATATTATATCGAAAATGATTGCTAGGATATAAATAGAGCTAGGAAATGATAAGATATCAAGAATGTCGAAAAGGAACCAGTTTGGAAGCGAACAAGTGCGGCGGAGATAGGAAGACTTGATTCAAAAAACTATTCAAAAACCGAATAATCGACAAAATTTCCCTACCTCTTCATAATGAGCCTTAAGTACCCAGATACTGCTAAACATTTTGTTGCACTTTGTGCATTCAGCGCGATTTAAATCCGGAATTGTTTCATCCGGCAATGTGTCCAATTTGCGCCGCGGCTGCTCTAGATCTTCATTATACTGCATTACTACATCGAAACCTGGAAAGTCTGTGCTTGAAGTCAGTAATGCTTCTAAAATTTCGTCACTACAAATATTACTGTTTGTTACAATTACAAAAACCTTAACTGAAAATTAAGATTTTAGTAAACATGCATTCTGTGAAAACGACTTGAGCTAAAAACAGCAACTCAGCTAACCATAGGTTTCAAGCATCTTGCGAAAAGCAGAGCCGGTACGAGGAGTTCGCTCATCATCGATAGATATGACGGACTGTTCACTAGTTGTTTTTGTGGCAAAATCGGCAGTAGCACCGTCGATTGAAGCTGGTAATTGTTCTGTAAAATATGTGGGTGAAGTTTTTGTTGTACAATATTCTTTTGCATCAATAACAACAACCTCTCAAACTGCACAATTCAAGCTTAGCATAAGCTAAAAAAAATGTTTAGATGGGCGTATGTGGATAAAGAGGATACGTGAAAAAACTGATCTAGAATAATGTGCGACTCATTCATTTTTTGATAGAAATTTAGTAATTTATCAGAAAATTCAGATAGGGTGAGCAGAAATATAAAGAAACAAGATACGCTGCATTCCAAATTCTTTCAAGACTTGAAAGAAAAAATCTAAAATAGATGAAAAAAATCAGGAAAATACTGCTGAATACGTTCATTCATTTACAAAATTCCATACAAAGAAGGTCAGAAAAAGTCCAAGAAAGAAGAGAATTTGTAATTGAACTATGTAATATAGTGGGATTTTTCTCATTTAATAATTGATAAAGAAAATCAGTGAGGCTGAATCTCACTACTCAAATTTGGGCGGTCAGCTGAAGTTGATGTATAATTTGAGGAATGCAACTGAAGAAGTTTCGTATTCCTTGTAGCATCAATCTCAATCCAAAGGAAGTAAACAGGAATCAACATCACGCATCAAAAAATCTTTAAACATTTCATACTTGATCAGTTATCAGACTTTCTGTTCTGGTTCTGCAAGAAAGCCTGTCAACTTGTGGAAGCAACTAACTCAAAGTTCCAAATGGGGTGATAATAGGCGGAAATCCAGCGGCTATGGTCGCTAATGCTGAATGAGCTTGTGAAGTCGTCGCTGCTGGAATATCATTCGGCAGGGCGGTTTGACCAGCGGATGCTATCGACAGAAGTTGCGCCATATTCAGCATGTTGATCATCGCCAAGGTTGACTGCTGCTGCTGTTGTTGCTGTTGCTCCAATCCATTCTACAACATTGAATTTTGGACTAGATAATCAATCGTTTTTCAAATCTCTGCATTTTTATTCCCGATGGGAAATTTTTTTATATATTTTTGGATAAGAATTGGAAAGCTGATAAAGCCACCACTTTAGGATTTGTTGTCAAACAATAGTATAAATTGGATTGGTTGTTGATTTCAGCTTCTTTAAAGACATTATTTAAATCTTGCCGAAACTAAAACAAATTTCGAGACATTCAATGTTATATGAGACTTATTTTAAATTACAACCAAACTGAAAAATACACATAGGATAAAACTAAAAATAATATTACAGTGAAAATGATTATCCAGATATTGTCCAACTATGATCTGTACAAACAATTTTGTGGTGACTTCACTTCTTATCGGACAGTGAACAGTAATGCTGTATTTAATCCAATTGAATGTTTCGGAATTTGAAAATTTCATGAATATTACTGGGAGAAATACTACTATACTTAATGCAGATAATGTAATCCGCTTTCAAGCATTTCCAGTAACAAACAATCTAAACTTCCAATCTTTTGAGCAGTTATTCTTCAAATGAATGCATAATAATATTGTTTTTTCTGTAAAATTATGAATAACAAAGGAAAAAAGAGAGACAAGGAGAACGAGAATGGAATGAAGTGTCTTGGTATCGACTCTCTATTAATAAATAGTCAAATTTTTGTCAACTTTTTTCTGGATTTTTGAAAATTTTCCCACTCATTGAGGGGACCAAACTTGAAAGTTAGCGCAGAGAACGCTGGAGCTTTCACTGGCAGAGTACCGCCAACTGATTGAATCACGGAATGCAATTGCATATATCTTTCAAACATACATATACATACACACATACACACACACACACACACACGTATATTATATATGACACACATACGTACGCATACACGAATTATTAGCATTTATCCGTTAGATTATACGGTAATTATTATGATGATTAATGTCCAAAAGAGAGTGAAACTGAAAATACGAAGGAGAGAGAGGTCAGGGACGCTTGTGAGGAAATAATACAGGAATATAAGATCAGCAGCACTAAAGACAGTGAGCATGATGGAGGGTGAGAGTTTGAAATAGTATAGAGAACATACAATTGTCAAGAAGAGGAAAGAGAAAGGAAATGAAATGAAGCCGATTGAATCGTCGCAGATTCCTCATTCATTGTCCAGTAGAAGGGAATGAAATGTAATATATAAATGGTCGACTGAACTTTGTCTGTAGATATATAGATCCACTGTGTATCTCCACGAGATGGAAGAAATCCACCAGCTGATGACCCACTGCAATACACTGCCGAGACAAATGTTCGATGAATAAAAATTAGTAATCAGGGAAATTTTTCCTCTCAGTAATAAACAGATCAACCGAAAATTGATGGCAATAGTAACGGATTCAGTCTAGACCGTAGCAGCAGCATTAAAAGGTCATGAGACTTCGGGCAATGTTCGAATGTGATGCATGCACGTAAACAGGAATTCATTGACATACTGTTTTCACTGCGGTGAAATTTAACAGTGCACAAATAAATTGAGTTTAACATCGGAACTCTCCAAGTGTATTAAATTTATAGGAATATCGAAAAAAAAAAGGAAAGAAAAATCAATGAGAAGCAATTGGAGCTATTACCACCACCCACTATCTCAATCATCCCACTTATCAAAGTGTTGAAAACTGTGAGAGGATTAGAAAAGAGAGGGAATACAGTGTGGGCAAGGATACAATAATAAATTCAGTGATTAATTTTGTAAACTGCTCGCCATGTAAATGAAAATTGAGCCTTTAAACCTGTAGAAAAAGAATACTCAACAATTAGTGGAGTCCTTTTCTAAAACACTATTCTTAGTATGGTACTGAGATATCATAACTGCTACAAAAATATCTGGGAGCTTTGGGAGATACAATGTTGAGATATGACACCATCGATTAAATTCATGAACTGTGGTTATGATGATTGCATAACATTTACTAGGGCAACGACTTACTACAGATACTGTATTTTTGCCCATGAGACATGACTTGTTGTGAAATTTGGTAAGATATGTGACAAATGTGAAGTAGCTAGGAAAGTAAAGGTGAGAATATGCAAAAATGTCATTAACAGTGATGGAGGGATATTATGGGAGATAGTAGAAATAGTTTATTAACTTACATAAAACTTTTTTTTCAAGGTGCATATTTCGTAAAAGATTGTTAACAATAACGTCACATGATATGGAAACATAGTAATCAACTTATCAAGTAAATTTGATCAAGAAAACAGAATATACCTGCACTGGATCAGTGGTAGAATCATGTTTGGTAGCTAATTCAGCTAATGCTGTTTGTGTTGGCCCGCCTGGTTGTTCTATGATCGATTTGCAGCCATCAATTTCACCTTGTGCTAGGAGCTCAGCTATTTTCGTTAAGCGCGACTGATGTGCAACAGATCTGAAGAGTTCAATAAGCATCACATGACCAAAATCATACCATTACTGTACTATGATCCAATTTAGCTGTCTTTGATAACAAGAGCTGAATCTAAATATAATTTGTCAGGTAAAAAGAACAGAATATCACAACTTATAATCCGAAAAGCAATTATAGTGTACAGTTCCAAAAAAAAGCAATAATTTTTTTTTAATTAAAAAAAAAAATGTTTTAAAAAAAGTAATCTCAAAATTTTAGATGCTACCATAAAATGAGCTATCTTCAGTTATAAGTAAAAATTTCATTATAGATACTAATGCAAAACTACGAACTAGAAAATAATATTCATAGAGTAATAAAACGACGAAGTACTTCCACTGAGTACATTTGCCTTCACATTTAAATACAACAAATGCATTTACAATTTCAATTTCTCGAGTACCTTATATGTATATCTAAAGTAGAACCAAGTCCATAACCCAATTTGCATAGATTACATTTGAATGGTTTTGAGCTTCCATGTGACGATTGAGAACTTGTTGACGCTTGTAGTGCTGCCAAAATCTGAAATAAAATTAACGCTAAATTGTTTAGTAATTCATTGAGTTAACTTAACTATTTCCGAGAAGTAAACTGAGTTGAAACAAGGATTTAGGAATTAAAAGGAGAAAAAGAAAGACCAAAAGAAACAAAAATTTCAACCTGTGCACTAGGTTGAAAGCTATTCGACTGTTCCTCGAGCATTTTTTTAGCTTTATGAAGATGTGTTACTGAGTTATAATGCATCAACAGTTGATGCTTTTGTTCAAAATTCTCCTTGCATAGTTCACACTTGAAAGGTCTGCAAATATAATTTATAATTTAGTATTCAGATCACTCAAATCTCTCAGAATCTCAAGCTCCCGAAATCTCAATCTTCTCCAGAAAGTAAGTAATCCAAAAAACTGGGAATCAATATATTTATGAAATTGAATAAATGAAATCACCTTAGTGGATTAACTTGATCAGTCTCCGTTTTATCATCGATTGCTGCTTCCACTAACTGGGAATGACACAAGCTTGTGGTCGGTGAGTTATAAGTTTTACCTAAAACGACAAATTGTGATATAGACGTCCCAAGTTCTCCGAAATTACAGCCTATACTATTCAATCAATAATAGTAGGAAAATGTATACTAGTCAAATCCTGATGGAATATTGGTACTGCAGAAACTTATTACAACATATTAACAAGATTGGGAAGATTCCGGCTATTCATGAAAAATAGTTGAAAAAAGATCTTAGAAATGTCAAGGAAAGGATTTACATTTCAAAATAGTGGTTTGATCTAGTGTCAAAAAGATTGCAGAAAAAGAACTGACCATTGGTGTGTTCCTGAGCATTGTGTCTTTTCAGTAGTTCATGAGAGCGGAAGCTTTGATCACATTTGGTACAACGGCTACTAGACCGGAATGTGTGGTGCAAAGCGTGACTGGCAAGACGTTGTTCGGTACGAAATGCCAACGAGCACTGTGAGCAATGGTAACGGTAAATTTGCCGATCCGTTTTCTTTTTCAAACTGTAAATTTGGTTGCTCATTCATAACAGATCATAAATAACAATGTGACATCGATGCTAATAACAATGACAATCACAATTGTGGTAGCAATGACACTGGCAAAAACAATACTGATATTTCGTCGCCTGCTGGTTTCTGCACTATGACTAAAATATGAACAGGTTCCAGATTGTAAAATGTAGTGCGCTTTGCATACGCTAAATTTGTGAAAATGATAATGATGAGCAAGAGTTACAACAGAGCTATTACTGAAATCAGTAACGGGTGGAATATGAACAACAAGCATCAATGAAATCAGTAAGCAAGGAAGAATCAATTTTAAAAAGTCTTATTTCCTCATTATCCATCAATGAGTTATAAAAATGTAGAAATAAATTAACAAATTTTAAATAGCTGAACAGGCTAACAGCAATACTCATCCGGAGTAGACACTCTGACTACAGAATGATACAATAAATAAATCAAAAGTATGAAGCATCACCAACCACATAAACGGCTTTCCTTTTCTCATTAGCAATTCCAATTAAACTCCAAAACTAGGGGCAGTGGAAGCGTCTCCTGTGATGTTAAACCTCCCTCCCCCTATCCCTTACAACAATAATTGCATCGATGCTGATGTGGTGAATTTCGGATCATTATGAACTATTAGATTGGTGAGCTAATGCAAATTTAAAGAATTTCAATTTAAACCAGAATAATCATTGCCACCATTTTCTGATATGCAAGAGAAAGTACTTTAGAAGCAAAAATATTAAGGTTTCGAAACTAAGTTAGCTAAACAAATCATTTAAGACATATGAAGGAACAGTACCTTCCCATTATTTAAATACTAGATGTTAAGTAAACGAAAAAACTCGTACACGGATATAAGTTCGGAAATAAGTTTTAGCAAATTCCATGTATTATGGTGGAAAATATAGATTCCAGATTAAGGACAAAGAACTCCAGTCCAAAGACCGCAAGTCTTACAGTTCTTGCTTACCACTTAGCATGTCACTTTTGTGAAAGTTAAACCAAATCGGAATATTCAGTATGAAATAAGCTTTGTGTTATCTCTTTCAAGATTTAAGGCATACTTGTTAACACTATAACACTACAATTTTAAGTCAAGGAAGAGAAGATAAATTCAGGAAATTTTTTTTTTTTTAATATTTATCATTAAGGACATTTTTATATATTGCAATTATTGAATGTTACTGAAAAACTGTGTGGCTTTAAGATTTTCTACCCAAAAATTTATGAATTGACTAAAAAATTTGTATGTATCAAAGAGGATTACGAATGGAAGTTTTCACTGGAAACTGAAGAAAAAAGCTAAAATTAAAAAAGAAAAAAGGTGCATATGATATGTGCATTTGACGCTTATGGAAGAGAAACCATTCTGCAGCGATCATGGTAAATTCACTGAGAAGAATGAGAGAAGATTTACTTTCCTTTTAAGTATACAATCATTCAAAGCTATTTTAATCATAACGTAATAACACGTGCGTCGACGATAATCTGTTTTTGTAAAAGACACTTCAAAACAGCCAATGTTTTGGTATCAGCATGTAACGTTGGTGATAAAAGCACACTGCGCTGTGCGTCTGCTTGTAGTGATTGGTACTACCGTAACACAGCAAGGTGGTACTTTAGATCTACGTATCACACGTATTACTGCGCATGCTGGGCGAATTCTAGCAGCCCAAATGTTCATTGAAACATATAATTAAAAATTGCACTGACAGATTTTATTGAATCAATAAAACAGAGTTTTCACTTCCTTTAGACAAATAGCTAATTGAGGGAGATTGGAAATGAAGCTGGAAATCAGATTCAAACTTTCAAAAGAGAAATAAAAAGAGAAGAGGTGCCATCTTAATCGAACGCACTACATGTTACAACACAAACAATTGGTGGAATTATGGAAATTAGTGCAAATCGAAGGAGATGGGATGAGGAAACGGAAAAGGGTACAGCATCAGCTCATACCAAATGATGCGGCTGGGAAAATGGCTGTAAAAAAACAGGCAGATTTTGAACCACTAAAACGCCGCTACTGCTTTTCCCCTTACAAAAATACGTCATGAATGAAATAGGGCATTTTATGAAAAGAAAAGAGAGCTCTCTCTCTCACGGCAAGCAAAAAGTGCATCGGACGTATATCATATGATAGGCTTGCTTTAATCAACGCAACACATATGACTTTTTAAATTTCTAATTTCCGACAGCTATCTTCTAACCCAGTTGCTTGGCTCACTTTCGAATAGTTTATTCTAGCCAAGCTTACCTATTTATAAATTGCTTTCGTAGTGTTAAGACATACTCCCATTTTCAATATATAATTGTATTCGTAATTCTTCCACTTCTCATAAATTTGAACCATTAATTACCATACCTATTGAAACTTAGTAATAGTCCATTTTTAAAGCGATAAAATAATTTAAAACTGTGTAAAACAAGTTAATTTCAAGATATGGGTTATCTGTTGTAAATAATGCTAACATGTGGCATCGTAATGATAAAGATGGAACTAGTCAAGTAATACAACGCTAACGCCTGGCACCAATACTGGAAATAAATGTGAAATCTCAAGCAACACTAGTCCCACCAAATTGAGACTGGAAGGACAACCATCTAAAATGTGATCAATTTTTCTTTGCAAATCTTCAATATCGTCATCTACTGAAAATAATGAGTCTACTAATTATCATAAGATCCATGCATTCTCTATGCAAGCTATCAAAATCATTCCCTTTTCGACAAAACCACCATGAATTATTAATATTTTTTTACAATTAGTGCCATTTGAACAGGTACCTATTCTGTAATCAAAATATGGCTTATGACAAAAGCATTTGTATATAAAATAGATATATTCATGCTTTGTCTTGTGTCTTATCATAAACTTGACGGTATTCTTCTAGTTTTGTTTATTTTGATTTATCATATATATTAAGTTTATCTGAACTGATTACCGGAAAAATGTTGTGAGAGTTACCTCTTATCAGATGCTGAATCGTTGAGCAGACTTGATGACGCGGTATTCAAAAGCAGCCGCTCAATTGCTTCTTCCGCTATTTTATGCTCCTGAAAGTAAATGACAATAGAACACAGAATTAGTGAAATCAAATTTTTGAAATTGAAAGCATGGGTAATCAACTCTCATGGATACCGCATCTGTGAGTAAACCACCTGAGGTAATTTTGTAATTAACAAGAATGATATATTTTAATAAAATATGCAGAAATGCAAGCAAGTGGTGTAGTTGAAGAGTCGCAGCATTTTGCTGTATGGGTTGAAATTAATTGGCCGAAGATTCGCAGTGTTGTCATTGCTGGATGGTATATTAGTGAAGGGCTGATTTTATTAGTGTTAAAATCAGGTTTTCGATTTTGTCCTCTCAATGTACAAACAAATTACCTCTATAAATTGAAATTTTGCTCACGTGGCTTATTCATTAGCTTAATGGAATAGGCAACGAAATTAATGCAATAGTGGCTTCTATAGAAACTTAACTGCACTTTTCTCCAACTCCTACAATTATCCAACTGTGTGTTAGAGTCAAACGCCATTTTTCGATTCCAATTTTGTTTTTGGATTCTACTGTTAGCATTGAAATATTTGATTGTTGCAGCTAATGCACTAATATTATAGTTGAAACAATGTCCAATGACAGTTTGAAAACATCGTTTAAGAATCTTTTGCACAAAAGAATGATGTCACTTAATGAACCATCATTTCTTTAGTTTCTTTAGTATAATCAAAATATTCAGAGAGGTCTGTTTATTTTTATTTCATTAAGCATAAAATTACTCAACTAACCCTTTCATTTTTCTGAATTCCAAATAAATTTTTAAAAAACAGAGTGGTACAGGAGATCATAAGCATAAAAGGCAAAGAGAAATTAAGTTGATAAAGATTTTAAAAGAAAACAAAAGTTTTTCCGACAATAATTGCTAACAACCCAAATAGTATTTGTATGGACTTCTTCAAAACTGACAATTCTTTCCACTACGTTACTGTCATGCCATTATTTTAAAATTTATTGAAAATAATGGTTTAGAAAACGAAAATACGATGTAACCATACGTACTTTAAAACATTGGTTGAGAGACTTTAATATTCCTTGTGAGGAAGTCTTTGAGAGTGAAATTAAAATCTAACATTTATATTTTGAATTTTTTCGCCGATTAAGACAAGGGTTTTACCAGTTTTTAGATTGAATAGAAATATGAATTGGTCAGAAAAAAAAAATAGTGCAAAAGACATACTAACTTAATCTTTTATTTCACCTAAGTTAACAAGTACTTAATAAGTCTCGAACCGTGATGTATTAATTTTCAGATAAAGAATTTATGCAACTAAGGAATTTCACTCTTTGAAGCTGTACCAAATTTGAAAAAATAGGATTAAATATGTTCTACTGTGTCGAACATTGTGCGGCATTACTTAGGCATAACTTCACAAAGTTTTCACATGTGACGAACCAATTTCAGATGTTCAAGTACTACCTCAGGAAAAAACAATTTAGAAAAAGCAAAGGTGAAATTGTTCAACAGACCAACACCGTTATATTTCGAGCATATTAGGAAAAATTATTCAAATGGATTGGTAAAAAAAAAGAATGATACCTCAGCAAGGTGTGTACGCAATTCGATACATTTACATGGACAGAGAGGACACAGTTCAGCCATCGCTGGCTCACCATCGGTCTTTGTTGAATGTACCACTTTTCTGTGCTCGCTAAATTCTGTTTTCGTTTCTGAAATGACATATTAATCTAATCTATTCTTGAAATTCTGAAATAAAAATGAGAAGTAAAAGGAGCCTATTTAGTTCAGTGCAGTAAGAATTTTCAACTACTTCGTGCAGCTTTCGAAATTACTCCTTAGATATCTCTTTATTTTCAAAATAATGTATAACCATTCCACTTAATCTTTCAGACTAAAAATCTCCCGCAGCATAATTTGCTACTCAGATGAAAATATGAAGCATGTTATGATGCATCTCAAAAGTATCAAAACATTTTATTATATCTCTGAATTGTGAGGTTTAGCAAAGTTCAGATACAATAAAAATAAGCAAAAAGTAATTATTTAATATATTTATGAAAGTTCCTCTTTAAATGAAAAAAGTAGCCATAAAAAAGAGCTAATAGGAAGGAAGAACTTAGAAAATAGTAGAGAAAAGTATGCCAGTTCAGAGGCAAAGTATTTTCTAAATTAAAATCAAAAAATAAATAGCAAATCAATAACTCAACCCGAACACAAATTTCTCAAATATCAATAGTGAAACAGCATCCGCAATGAGCAGTAGTATCGCACCTCTCCTCTCATCACTTTCGATATCATGTTTTAATCAATCCAATTCTCTTCCTACATATATAGGAGATACATGAAACATGGGTACCTACTATCAGTGACTTAAAAATAACCCAGTGATATTATTATCTAAAAGTCAATTATATAAGAACATAATCTTTCCTTTTTTACTTTCCCATTTATGTGACATCCATCAAAGGACTAACATGGAAGAATATTCTTGATTTCAGGAGCAATATGAAATGACTTTGCATTTTTCTATTTTTAAGAACAGTTTCTTTTCCAAAAAAGAATGTGAAGAGAGAATTTATTGCTTAACTACTCTGCGGTCAACATATCTACTCCTTCGAAAAGAAAATCGTCGAGAAGTTACTGTAAAATTAAATATCGTAAACCGGAAGAATAAATTAAAATTAACATTCAGATTACCTTCTATTTTTGGAAAAGAATTTCCTATCCGATAAATGGAATAGAAATGATGAAATCTTTCGAGCGAAAAAATGATCTTAGTTATCTCGTCAAATACCTTCATGTGAGATGCTTAACCCTGCACTTTCTGCTTATTTCTAAAAAAGATTTTGATTTTCGAACCAGGTAGACAAAATGAATGGTGATAGTGTTAGTGACAAAGTATTTGGGAATATTAATAGGCTTAAAGCTCAAGCGAACATTAAGATGAATGCTGTCGGATCAGAAGCAGTTTATCGAAAAATATGACTTTATATTATTATATAAAAGAGATGATATGGTCCCCATGTGGTGCTAGTGCTGCTGCCTCTGTATGTATTTATTCAATCAATGCAAAGTGGTTTTGGACAATATGAAGCGAAATAAATAAATTGAATGGTTCAGACTGGTGGTGCCCATTGAACCGAATAGTATCAATTTATATACCTATCTTCGGACCGAAACTTATAATGCCTGCCGAGAGAGATTCAACAGCACCCTTCCTTGATGGCAGTTCACCAAGAGAGAACTGATGTTGTCGCTTTAAGGTGAGACGCTCGAAACAATCTTAAAAGTAAGTATCACGAAAGCTTGGTGTCCTGAATCTTAATACCTTTTTAACACATTCTGATGGGAGAATTGGCTGATGTGCTTTCGGTGTCTCCATGTAGTCTAATAAATTGAGCAAAGCGAAACAGCTAGTTTTTTTGGTGACTTTTTTTAAAGACTGGTTAGCTTATCGGCTACATCAAAAAGTCGCTAGAAGTTGCCGCTATGGCGGGTAGGAGAGCTTTTGGCGATTTTTCAATTAAAAAAGCTGCAAATCACGGTCTTTTGCTTTGTGATCTTGATGTCAGCTCTGTACCATTGCTAATGATAACGTAGCAACAACATTCCTTTAAAATGGCCGCAGATTTTACAAAACTCAAACTACTTATTCTGACAGGCAAAAACTTTGCCAAAATTTTCTCGACAATATTCGGAGGCTGCAAACCTTAAAATCCTTAAAAGACTTCAAAAATATTTTCAGCAGTTTTTTCCAGGGAAATTTGTCTTTCAATTTTAGAAAAATAAAATCTAATTGAGATATTTAGGTCACTCTAGGAGTACACTTCTGGAAGTTTCAGTCAGATGAAATGACATTCCCACTTCTTGGTCGGTCAAGCAATCCGAGCACTTCATGCATTTTCTCATGATTGAAATTAAAATACTATGAAGATCGAAATGATGTGCTGTTTCATGTAAATCAGAAGATCACGACTTAATAAATCGTGATCATTTGTTAAATTAAAGCAGCAATAAATAATTCTAAAGGCTAAAAAGTTTGTTACGGGATACCAATTATAATCACACTACCTCCTCCCATTCCTTTTTTTTCATTTCTATCAAATCCGTTCTTTATGCAACAAACAATGTATTTAATTAAAGATTGAAAAACTACTTACACAGTTAACGAAAATACAAAGCATTCAAGCGCAAAAAAAAAAAAAAAAATCCATGGTGTATAAAAGATCGTAATTAGAGGAATTTGATTTCTATCACTAAATTTCATGTCATTTATGCATTTTCTAACTGATGACTTTTTAATATAGCTTTGTAAAACCTTGCAATAAAAGTTTTCGTGACCAAATGATTAAATTTTCACAATGACCTGAATACCTGTAATAGTGATGGCAAGAGTAAAATTCTGGTAGATAAAGACTAGCTTATCCAGGGTACCATTAACATAAATAAACTGAACGAGCAAAATATTCTATGACAAAAACGTTAATAATATGATGCAATCAGTGATTACAAAAGTTTGCTGATCTTGAAGACTTTAATTGTGCATTTGAGCAAATATATAAATGTGACAGAATAGGCAAACAGTAACTCAGTTCATCTGGAACTGCTTAAGGTACAATATCTGAAATAAACACAACCGAATGGTCGAGCGAGCTTTGTATCTTTTTGCTCCTTGTCTTCAGACCATTTAACTTACACTTTTAGAAGATGTTTGTTCCATTTAAATGTTTAAAGTAATGTTATTTCTTATTAAGTTTCATTAACATTTTACTGTCGAAGATAAAGAGTAAGAAGGAGTAGGCTACTTCACAATCAACCACTTAATCGCTGTATGTAATCTATTATTTTCAACAATTAACATAAGACGACAAAAGGGGAACGGATGGGAAGACGGAAAAAGGATAACTGTAGGTACAATAACACGAACAGTTCTCAAGCTTTTTTTGAAAAGGAGAAAAGATGCTTCTCTGCTTTTCATTGACATTCGATGGAAGAAAGATGATGAAACCCTGGAAGACATTCTTTTCTCACATTATACTACAGCATTAAATGCTGATGATCAAGGCAAGGATTGATTCGTTTTGTAATCTAATGAAAAAAAGAAAAGATACGAAATCATATTTCTTTTGTTAGACAAAACATTCAATCATTCATTCCGAACAGTCACAAACAGAATTAATCCAAAGCAGACAATTTTCTGGAATAGTAAATACTGATCAGCCGACTTTCTCTAAATTCATGACACTACCGTATTTCTACTTTTATCTGAATAACAACTGCTCCATAATTTTTCCTCACCTATGTTGTGCAAATGTGAGGACAAAAAACTTATCGAGAAAATCTGTTTCTGAAAAAAAAAAAGAAGAAAAACCAGATGATGATGAGAATAAGAGTGTAATAAAATTTTAGCAAAGTGAGATAAGCAATAAAAATCAAGCTTATCCTTCAATAAAATCGAAGAACTTTTGTAGGAGTAGGATTTTGATTCACCTGACTCTTATCTCTATCTGTGGCACCACTACCAATCCTTATCATCTTTAGCAGTATAAACAACAGTACATATTACACCTCTCTAAGTAATTCGAATGCAATTAAATTTTTTACTATTTCACTGCAAATAATGATTTCAAGAAGACTGAATAGAAAAGCTCTTTCTTATCAGCAGTTTATATTTGAAATATATCGGAGTGGTGAAATACTGCTGTTATAGCAGTAGTGAAATAGCAGTAGCAACCTACAGTAACTTTAGAACAGATCTAGAAATTGTAAGTAATGATAATGGCTGAGACATCTGTAATGTCCGTGCTTCTCTTACTACGTGAAAGAAAATATTACAGAAAGATAGAAATACCTGTTGTATTCAAGGGCACTTCTACATCACGTAGCACACCTAAGCATAATTACAAAGGTTCCTTATATCTGAACATTACTGGAAATAGTAATCGAAAAGACGAAAGAAAAAGAGTCTAATTTGTTATATGTAGTGCATAGTTTAAACTCATTCAGAATATATCTATTCAAGCGGTGTAAAAAGATGAAATAATAATTTATATTCGCCACTGCTTTTAACAGTGATATCATCAATTCTTTTCGTAAGAACAAAAACGCAGGGAAACAAACCGATAATTCACCTTGAGACCATATATAGACTTTTTTTTATATACTTCTGTTTATTTTTATTGGTGTAAAAAATAAAAAGATCACCTAACTTGTTCAGACATTTTGAAATATCTGAGTCAAACTCTTCAATTTCTCAGTAAAATAGCACTGAAGAAGTAAGAAAGAAAGGCATTGCTTAGGTAAGAATTGAGAAAGGATGAATTTTTTTGACTCTACTTCGTGTGACAAACACGTTTTCTGCGAAACGCTTCACACAATATCATTATCTGGAATATGCATCCCTTTGCACCTGGATATGTGAAATATCATATTCAATTCTTATACGATTGACTTAATAAATTAAGTATTTTAAGCTGAATCTAAATCCTTTGTATCTGTGATTGAACTACACTTTATTTACTAGAAACAAGGATATGAATAAATCTTAATGCATTTATTATAATTTAGCATAGTTGGATGGAAGTACTGTCAATCTCTCCTAAAAAATTTAAATACTTTAGACAGATCTTGAGAGATAGAGTACTTTCAGAAAGCATAAAAATGAGACGTATTATAATGATTAAAAAATACAGTAATCTAATCGATTCTGATAAGTAAATCAGCTGGTCTTTTTCTTCCCATGAGTCTTATAGGAAAAATAGCAGTGACAATGAAAAATTGAAATGTTACTAAGCAAACAGCGCGAAAATATAAAATTTCGAAGTTCTATCAAAGAGGAAATAAGTAGACAAGAAATCGACAGCACTTCATTATACAGCACGAGTGATTAGTCATTTTCTTATCAGCTGTACTTTATGTCTTCGATAATTCATTATGACAAAAAAGAAAGCTTAACTGTTATTTATTGACTTTTCCGCCCTCTACTTGGAATATTCTGTGCACAATTTAAAAAACTGAATATTTTAATAAATATTCAAGAGAACTAAAATAAAGGAAGGAAATCTGCAAATTAGCACATTAAATAGGATTCAAGATTTTGTTCTCGTCCATTTCCTAAAACAGATTTATTCTCTTCTTATGAGCGAGAACTTAAACATAGTATTTGTCAAATATTTCTAAGTAATGTCCATAATTGAGGGTGTATCCCAATAATTAGTAAGAAAACTAAAGTAAAAAATTATCATAACCGTCATCGGAAGGAACATTCATTAAAACATGAAAAGAGACAATTAGGCGATTGGCAAAGCTTCTGAATTTCCTTTGGAAAATATTTGTAATTAGGTAGGGAAATTTTCACCTCAAATGAAAGAAAGCTTACTGGTAATAAAGTTGCAATGCGAACAGCAATATGCGGCTTCATTCATATTAAAATTTTCTGCTGCGCAGTTCTTAATTTCATCCTCGTCTAGTTCTCCTGAAAAAAAAAAAGAAAAAAAAAAAACATAATCTCGCTGATATTGCTGTTGTCTAAAATTATCAGTAACGCTTGTTAGAAAAATACTCCTTGTATCTTGTCTTAATATCATGCACGCTAGACTATGCTTCACATCGAGTTTTAAATCCACTTATCAGCAGTTATCATCCTTTTTTCTTAATCAATTTTTTAGAATTTTGTTTATAGCAAATTTTTTTGGTGGATTAAGTATGCTATTTGAGATATTAGGTGGAAAAAGTATGTTTTGACTAATAAACTATTGACTAATAAAGTAAGTTTATGGGAGAAGCATCTGTTGAAGTGATCAAATCGGTTCAAGGAAACCCAGAAAGAGAAGAGAAAAATGGAAAAAAAAAAGAGGAAAAGTTGAAAGGAAAGCTTCGTGATAACGAATGGTGAGAGAGCAGGGATGCTAAAGAGGGAAGGAAAAACGGTGGAAATGAATAGTTCTGGGAAAAGCTAACGAATGACAATGAAAAACTTTTGTTGATATGCCCCGACGATACTCAAAAGGGTGAACTGTTTTAATAGGATGATAGTGGGAATGGAAAGCATTTACAGTCGAATGGGATCATAATACATTAACGATAATTAATTATTTGTGATTAATATTATTGCACAGCAATGATTATGCCACTGATAAAGATAATCACAATGATATGAATGGTGTCGAGGACAATCAAGAAAAACAGGTGGAAAATTGACTCGTGGCTTTCCAAGTTTAATAGAGACTTAAACTCCGAAATGAAGACAGCAGTGTAGAACTAGTACGGTATAGACGATACTTATTAATACTGATTGATCTATTCCCTACTGTTCTTAGTTTCTTATTCTAGTTCATGTTTATATTTTCATTTCATCATCTTTTGCTTTCCTTCTTTTCATTTCACTTATACCAACTCTTTGTTACTGAATCGAGACTGTGCCGAAACTTTTTTGACTCAAAATATTTGATTAAATAGGTAGACTCTGCAGTTTCATGATGACAGTGCCGGATGGCATATCACAGAAAATCAGAAAAGCTTGAACAGAGTGAATAGAAAGTAGTAAGCTGGAAGTAAGATTGTTTCATGATATGATAAGCTTGTAATTATCGTCGTTCTCGAGAACCTATACTTTCACGGCCAACCAACGAAACATTGGTATGTGAACAGCAAACTCTTCTCATTCCAGTTCTATACGCTAATCCGCAGCAAATAATGATATGCTAATTTGCATATATCGAAAAAGGGAAAGATGTTTTTAGTGCTCTAATTATTTTAAAAAGTTATTTGTGAGCAAAAGAGAACTAGAATTAACCAACTATTTGTGCATTGTATCATTCATTGTCAAGTCTTAGTTATCTCATATATTCATGCAGTAGTAACAACGACAACACGTGCTCTAAATTGATAGAAACAAGAACTTCAAGCGATCGATGCACTGCTGTGCAGTGGGTTTGCATGTGCTGCGACAAAGTTCGCACGTTACCAAAAACTAGCGATACAGTTCGCGATACAATATCGAGATTTGCATAATTATTAGCAATCAATTGTACAAAAGCATAATTGTTTGATGAATTTTCTGCTACTTACCAATATATCTTTGCCATTTACAATATCTGGAATGGTAGAAATCAGTGTGATGAATCTTACTTGACATATAAGGTAACAAATACTACAGGTGTCAAATCGTTCATTCTTTCGATGTACTAATTGTTTTCTTCACAGAATTATCATTTTCCTTTAGCACTTCAAGTGACAACTATGCTTACATCTGTCAAATGTTTCTAAATGTTTGAAAGAAAATGTGATAAAAGTAGTGGTAAAAATAAAAAGAAAGTAAAATATGATACAGGATGAGTGGATGAAAGAGAGGGAGAAGAAAGGAGAGAGAGAGAGAGAGAGAGAGAGGAAAGGATCGAGGAAAGAATAAAGTAAGATTAGTGATGTAGTATAGTGCTCTCTTTAAGCGATTTTTTTGGGTAATCCTGGAAAAAAGCCACTGCAAATCGCAGTTTTCAAACGTTTGTATATTTATGCGAATGTGAATGAAATGGAATTGAATTGAATGGAATTGAATTGAATGAAATGGAATGGAATGGAATGAAATGGAATGGAATGGAATGGAATGGAATGAGTATGCATGAAGGGTCGTTCTCTTCTCATCAATTGAAGTGCTAGAATGAACAGGGAGGGATGGGATGGGCAATGCTTTGCTTTCAGGGGAAATTCCTTCTTTGCATTTCATGTCATTTGGGAAAAGTCAAGAGGAAGATTTCTGGCAGCTTCATGTCTCTCAACTAATTGGGAAAATGTAAATTTTGTGCGCACATCCGTTACCCAATATGCCGAAAAAAAGAGAAGGGAAGAAGAACGCAAAAGATGAGAAGGATGAGAGAAGGATTGAACAGGAATGCTGGAGGAGGAAAAAGAGAGGTTGTCCTTGAGAAAATTTTAAAAAAGATGCAAGACTAACGAAATCAGTTAAATGGAGAGAGTTATATTGGTGGTGCTAGAAAAAAACCATTACAGCTTTCAGGATGATGGCTCCAATAAACACAAGTAATCGTACATCAAAAATGAGCCTTAAACTGAGAGGCCAACAATTAAGTTGAGTTAAACTAAGCTAACGCAGGAATGTAACTCAAGATTTTGGATAAGAGACCAAGAATTGAATCAGGATAATGAAGAAATGAAACATTTTAAAAAGCATATCAGTTTATTTGCCAACTAACCTAAATAAGCTTTTGTCTTTTGTCATCATACATAAAATTTTGTTGCTATGCACGCAGTGCCATCGATTCCTTAGACCTGATGACTTTGGTGTTACTTTTGGGCGTGAGGCCTACTTTTCATCTCACCAAATGCGATCGAATGGCTTACGAGAAAAAAAAAAGAAAGAGACGACAAGCATATCGATATTCCCTAGCGCTATTGCTATCATAAGAGTGCTACTGCTATTGCTATCATTAGGCTTATAAGCTTTAGGCACTTATTGCCCATCATACAAGTAATCAGAAGAATCAAGTTTATAAAGGTGACTAAATAGCTGAACAAGCAAGCCTGTGAGTATGAGCAGTGAAACACTGGAACATTATAAATGATCAGGAAGGACAAGGTGTTTTCGTCATCACAAGCATTCACTTCTTGCAACAATTTGAACCACAGATTAGACAAATACGTTGCAGTTGCTACTGATCAGCGTGGACGTCTCAATTCGGCAGGCACGTGAAAGTGAAATCATTTCAGGAAAACCATCTCGATGAGGCTAGGAGAAGGTTAGTGGCATTGGATGCAAACGGAGGTAGTAAAGAGATGGAGGAAAAAGGGAAAAAATTTTTTATAGCGAGCGGAAATTACGCAAACATTCGTTTGGGTGAAATTAATATAATCATTTTGGATTTCCCTTCCTTTTTCCTTCCCTTTTTTTTAGAAAAATTTATTGAAAATGATTTTTAGAATTATTGACTGATCATTTTGATAGAGCCTTCCGTTATGAAATTCCATTCATTGCAACTTAATTACATGCTTGCCCTATCCTCATTCAAACAAGTATAATAAACGAAGAGTAACAAGAACAGAAAGACACATGCTTGAATCCATTTGAACCCGTTATTAATATGTCATAGTGAAAGGAAGGCGCATCTTTTAATTGTTGAATTTGCGCATCTAACGATATTACATTCTTATCAAATGAACAAATCAAGCTTCTCAGTTAGGTCTACAAGCGGAAAAGCCTCAAAACTCAACTTTGATCCCATTTTCTCCTAATTTCGCATTTAAACAGCTTCTCTTATCTCACTTATTCCAGAAAGTTATGTTTCATTATCCTAAATTTACCAATATTTTTCAATTGCCAGAATTAGCTGGCTGACCAATGATGAATATTAGCCACTGGTATGGTAACAGCATCAAGAAATGCGAGAGCAAGGACAGCTGCGACCACGTTGAATCTTATATTAGCAAATTAAAAAAGCCACCAATGCAGCATCACAGGACAACTCTTTATAATCTCAATGTGAAGCGTCAAATGACACCCGTATCTTCGTATTCGTCTCAGTTTAATCAATTAAAGGTTAGCAAAGGACGAAGTAGAGAAAAAGAAGGAAAGAAACAGAATGAGTACTACTCGAATAAATTACAGGTATTGAACGCTCAACCAGAAATTTAATTTTAACTAAAATTTGATGAAAAAGGAGAATTTTGAACGGAAATTTTGCAGTTACAACGACGGCAGCATTGTGCATTTGCAACCTCTTTCATTTATTATTATTTCAACGTTGGAATAATTTGAAAACTCTCTGCTGCCGCTCTCCAAGTATAGCCAAGTGAAATTCAGCGAAGTGGAAATTAAAAAACAAAGTTTCTATAAAAACGGCATTGCATGACATTAAATGACAATTATGATTGTGATGATAATAATGAACAACTATCTAACATCCTGATCATGTACAGCTGACATTTTCCTGACCCTTCTGCAACATCAATAATAAATTCCCAATAAATATGCATTAAATTTAATTTGATTTAGGTGGGTGTAGTACCAAAAATAAACAGTATTATAAGAGACAAGCAACAAGTAAGTGATAACAATGATTTTGCTGATAACAATGGAAACATTCTCGAAACTAATCGTCTATCGACAATCACCTGAACTTTCGTTTTTCATCAATAAAATGATCAAAAGAGGTTATTCCATCCAACACCAAGCTGAATGGCATAAAAAAATAGCCTAGGATCAGATTCAAAAGACATAGTTATAGATTCCTAGAGAGTAATGCTAGTTCGTATTTCTAATGATAATAAAAAAAAATAATAATAACAATAGAGAAATAGTCATGAACTTTAGACAACAGTAACAACATGATTGAAGTATCACAAACAATTATGGAGAATTTAAATCTCAATAGTTACAATATAAAAGTTCTACTTTACATTTGCTTTTGACTAATGGTGTATAAATTTCTATTTAATTCAATTCATTGAATTCAGTGCAATCGTATAATTGAAAATGATATCTTACTATCCAACTCTCCCTTTCTTTTACCCCATGCCTATAACCACCGCTGTTGCACAAATGATTAAAATCATCACTTACTGAGAAAGGTAAACGAATGTGAAGGGAAGAAGGCGGGTCGAAGAGACCAACCATACCAAAATTTAAATAGTATTAGTCAACTATTCAATTCCTCACATGCATTATATCGTGAAACTACTATTTGTTTAATTATAACTAGTTATTATACATATGGTGGAAGAGAAATGAAGTGGAGATAAGTTTATAGATAGAAACTTAACAAGGTATGCAATATTTATAAACTCATTAAGTTAAAATGATGATACATAGATTCATTGAGTCTGTTCCTGATTTTTCTTATATGGACAGAAATGTCGTTGAACTGCTTAATTATTTCTTCAAACCTACTCATAAATGAAATGAAACACTACAATAACAAATTACTTGTTCCATATCAAATTTATTCTTCTATCTATCACTAAAAAATAACTGATTTCTGCATTTTGTCTGTCAGACCTTTCAAAACATGCAGTAAATCAAAAGATGCCATGCCTGTTAGGGATGATGAAATCTACTAAATTCTAAATTCTTCGCGATTTGTTGAAGGATTAATTTTGGAAAAAGTGCTCTGTAGAAATTAGTTTGGGCTAATTGTTTTGAAGATGAAATTATCATATAAAAATTTCACTTTGTTTCATTTATAAAAACTAAAGCTATGTACTAAAAAGTGTAAGAGCTATGTAACAAACATACTCATTCTCTCAGCAGCCAAATATTAATTTACCTCAGCTTCATCATCCCAGAGAAAAGAAATAAGTAGGCACCATTTGTTATATATATATCCTAAGCAAATGTCCTTTACTATATTCAATCCTGCCAAGCTGATTTAGAATGAAGTCACAATTCTCAAGAAATGCATTACTGTCAGATGAGTGTTTTTAATTAACTGTGATACACAAATGCATCATTATTGTCATGACAGAAATCTATTTTTATGCTTGTAGAGGAGAACAAATTAAACAAGCCAACACGAGCAAATTTTGAACTCTATCAATTCCAAGTCTGTTATTAACGAGATCTGTACTTCGGAATAATTATTACAAATTTACTGTAATGCGATCTCGAATCAGTATTTCAATACATTATTACGTTGATTTGAGGTCAGATAAATTATTGAACTAAGCAGTTTAGTTGAAGTGCTATTAGCATCAAAACATCGAATTTGAATCTTCATTTTCAAGTACAGCTGTACTGAACAGAACATTTCAAGAAATGAATTCTTCATTTTAGCTTCAGCAAATTTATACCAGTGCTCTTCTTGATTTGGTAACCGCCACGTAAATCTGTCGTTTAATTATAATTGCTATTGTGATTTTACCAATATGAACAACAACATCACTGTCACCCCCCACCACTGCCATTAGCATCTCTTGCTTCTCAACCTTCTCCGCCCCTACACATCCTTTAGCGCCCTCTCAATGAAGCGAAGCACATTCCCCGCAATTTGGATATTTGATTCTCAACATATATACACAACATTAATTGTATGTGTGACCTTCGCTAATCATCTCATCTTTCTCTTCATTTATTTCTAGTCTTTTCTTCTCTTTCACTTTTCGTCTTCCTTTGCAACGTTTGTTTGCATGCGAGGTTCGCAGGTCCTTAATGTTCGCCGACAACTGTCGTTTCCATTCTTGTCTTCATTTATCACCTCGTCCTACCTCACTAAACCTCTAATTACACATTAAGATGTCTAGCAGAGTGGTAGGAAGAAATGTGATAATTTGAAAAGAAGCGCAAATGAGGAAAAACAGTAAATGTAATGAGTGGCGCTAATGACAAAACAATTTGAATGTTACAGAAGGTATCAATTCTCATTCCTTCCTCCACGTAAACATCCTTTTATCATAGCTTCACTCAAAGAAATCACAATATTTGTAGTAATAAACAAATAAAAAATTGTATGGAGTACTCCTTTAAATTTTATTAAATTCAAAATAATATATAGTGGTGAGGGGACAAAGAATGAATTATTAAAGTCTCTTCAACGGGTGGATCAAATAAAATTTGACGATTATCGTTGGCTCTTTTCTTGAAACTGAAACGTAACGGTAGCCACTTTAGGATTCATAGAACAATTCTGGCAATCCTAATGATAAAGTGAATCCCTCAAAGCGGTGAAAGTTAAAAAGCATAATTGGAAGGAGGAACAGTTATGTATGCCTTTCGGACAAACATATAGTTAATGTATGCAAATGCAATATTGTAACTAGAAATATTCCAGAAACAAAAACATTACGTATTTAGTTAATGAGTAGTATAACACAAATCTCCTCATAATTATTAAAGCTATTTCCTGCTAAGCAAAGATTATTTCGCAGTTCACAATAAATATTATCATACAAATCTACTAGATTAATCTTTAGATCGCTACATAACCTTTACTCTTGGAGGCATAACAATAATGAAAAGAATTTGAAAGGAAGCAATAAGAATGATTGATAATTGAAATAGTAGTCAACAATCTTATTTAAACTCCCGATGGTCGTAAATACTGATAAAGTTAGGTTTCTAAGAGAAGTTTCAAAAAAAAGGAGGAAACAAGTCCAGGATATGATTAAATGTTTAATAAGAAAACCTAATGTAGTGAGTGAACTTACAGTCGTGGTGATGCGCCTGGACAATAACACCTTCCCATTCCAACAATTCCTTCGTCAAAAAAAATCAGTCTATCTTAAATCATTCAGCATCATTCATATATCTTCGTAGCAAAAACCTTTCTACCCTTTCAAAGATCTGTAGCTCTCTATTTTAAATAGCAATCTTAATCTCTTTTTTTCAAAAAGTTTCTATAAATTTAATCGTCTTCATATAAAATGCTATAAAATCTGAAGAGTAAGGTCAAAGATCTCATATGAGTTCCAGTTATAATTACTGATGCTATGATAGTTTGCAGTTGGTCAGTGCATCTCCTTAAAAATGATCATATCTATCCTTCTAATTTGCAGATCAAACGCAACTTGCACCACAACAACATTACAAATTCACGTTAACTATTCATCATTTCTGTGCCTTCTACATATGCATGTCAGCGTGATGCAGTGTTGTTTTGCAAGCACCATCAGATACAAAATTACTAGTGATAGCGATTGCATTCCGACTGTGACAATTTTCTTGAAAACTTAAAATACATTAATGCTTGGCAAACAAAATTTCCAAGTATTTGCGAAGCAAAGTAAGCGAAATTTTGACTCATCTTAGAGAAAAAGTTCTTTATGAAATGTAAATACATACAATGCTAATTTTTGCCAAATACCACTTTAACGATTTGTGATTCATGGTCTCTCTATGAAATGGAAAACTGCAGACAAAGAAAGCGATATGACGACCACATTATTTGTAATTGCTGCAGTTATAGATTGTATGATTTCTTGATGATGATAAAATTGATGATGTGTTCTCTTAACATTCATTATCAATTAATCATCTACATACCACAACTATACTATTAGCAATGAAAGTGACTCAATTAATAGCAATGACAATGAAGTACTTATAGTACAATAAATAACAGATTTATTTGTCATTCGTCAGAAAATGGTTTACGATTATGTGAGTGCTAATTTGCATATCTAGGTATAAATTTATCTGTAGATTAAGGCTTCAATGTAAGAGAAGTTCAGCAGATTATTACTATCGTGGTTACTCACAAAATTAGATTTTCGGATTTTGGTAAATTGGATGATATAGAATCACGATTGGAATGGTGAGAGGAGAACAAGACGACGTCGTCCATTTATTGTTTGTTAGATTTTGAGGATCTGTAGTCATATCCGGCATTAGTTTCGGTTGGCTAATAGTTATATTAATTTAATCTCGGCAGGAGGTACGTAGCCACTATTTTATTCAGTCCTTCTCCCAATTCGCCCCATCTATCTCTCTTTGCTGTTCATCAAACCAATTATCGTTTATGCACAATTTCAACAAGTGATTTTGTAGAATGACGGGAGTCAGAGATGAAAGATAGTCGCTTCAAATCAAGATCATTTTAAAATTTAAAGATTAGGGATTATTCGTTCTCTTCTCTTTTTTATTTCCAATTACCTCGTTGATTCCACAGGTTTCACTATCTCTCAGACCTCAATCCACAATTAACTACTAACTAATCGCAGAAGCAAATTGAAAACTAGTTTTTTTTTTTTTTAATTTTCATAGCATCAACTGCAATCGCACTGTCTATTAACTGCAAAACACTTAATTTTGGTGCACCTTTCATATCATTTTTCCCATAGCCATCATAAAACAATCTGTTTTCAAAATATAATCTTAGAAAAGTAAATTTGGGAAACGATTTATGAATTAGTAAAGAATTAGTAAAGAACTGATAAAGTATGAAATAATTTTATTTGAAAGCAACTTATAGTTCAAAAATTTTCCAGAACAAATGTTATGTTTAATTAGTAAAGAACTGATAAAGTATGAAATAATTTTATTTGAAAGCAGTCCCTCAGTCATAAAGTCTCCAAAACTACCAATGCTAGTTTATTTGAAAATTTGTTCTGACTATTAGGCATTAAATATAATACACCGAATATTAGGTATAAAAATTCCGGGTGGAATAGCACAATGGCAAAACTGATAATGTTTTTAAAACTTTTCTGTTTTGTGAATTTTTTGAAAAAATTTATCTGCAGCAGAAATTGCCCCCACTAACATCTATTAGACTATATATGCTACTGCAGCAATCCTATTTGCTTAACTCTAATAATTGTTCTAATGCATAAAATACTTACCGCAACTAGTCTCCAGATTTAAACCTTCTTGTTCTGGTCCAGTATTTTCCACATTTGGTGGATGTTGCTGCATATGTTCTGCAACTTACACCGAATAAGAATAAATTTGTTTTAAAATCTGACTGCAAGAATTTTCGTTATTTATTCAGTGAAGTATTAATTAACAAAGATTATGTGTAGAAAAGTCCAGTTTAAATCAGTCTGCATATAAATTTATATTTAAAACTTACTGATAGCACCTGCAGCATTAGTTGTCTCAAAAGAACAATGTCGACACTCAAGAACAGTTTCTGGACTGGGTGACATCGATATCGCAGCCATTGGTGCAGAACTACCATCCGGAGCGCATCCAGTTTCAGTGGACATCGATGCAAGCTGCGCTATTCGGACAGAGTGTGCTCGGCTCTCACAATGTTCACGTAGTGCCAATGGACTGGAAAAGTATTTTCACTTATCAAACTGCACACACAGTAAATCAACTGATAGCTTGTTGGGATGCTTTTCATGAAATCATTTTGAAAATACAAAATGATTTTGAAAAAACCAGAAATCTTAATTTGATTAGTTTCCGTCAAAATCTAATGCGATTCATCTCCTAGTTGCTTATCAAGAGATAAAATCGATAGAAATTAAATTTGTGTCAATTTGTCGCTGTATGGTAAGCAAAGCTTCTTAAATCCTTGAAATGGGGAACAGGGTTCAACACTTCAAGTTGTATTATTCTCCTCCGAAAAGGATGGCGGTGGATATCGATACAAGCTTCTTCTATTTCCCATATCCTCCTTTTTAGAACTTCTCATCATTCTGAAACTGCTGTGATGTGTAAGTTGTCGATACTTAAATAGCTATAAAAATATGTAGTAGAAAAGCAGAATATGAACGGATCGACAAAAACACTTGTTTTTTGCTGCTGCATATTTAAAAAAAAAATCGTTCTGTTATTACATTTTCCTAGATCTCCTATTCTTCTATCTTCGCGTTCTTTATCAGCTTTCCTACAGAATGATTCATTACAAAAACATGAAAATGGATCTCAAATCATTTTTTTTTTTTTTTGCTTTTTATTATTGAGAAAATAATTTATGCAACACATCATGCGCAGGAAGTAAAAAGAAAACGAAAAAATTCCAAATTTCACAAAATACTATAAAATGATGGAAGATGAGAAGCAAGATCGTTTATCCTGATAATCCAGCTGTCATGAAGAATTCTAAAAGACTAACTTATTCTGAGGCAATTTTCCGTGGATGCAAAAGACTGTCTAAACGATGTAGAACTATGTAAGAAACCTGACTAAACTTTTGATTCTTATAACTAATAACAGATTTTCTTGCAATATATAATAAACACTAAGAAACCACCGAGGAATTTCAAATGAAAGCAAAAGTCGATAGAACGTCATAAGAAATTCTAAAAAAAGAAAAAATTACCATGATAAGATTTCTTGACATGCGCGACAACGAACTTGTACAGCACTTTTAGCGGAACTAATTCGACACAATGCTGCTGACGCTGATAATGATATTCCAGCGGTGCCACCCTCACGCATATGATTCATCTGGAATAAATAAAAATAATGGACTGATTCCCATTCTGATATGTGGATACGAGAAAATGACAACAAGTTGCTATGACCAATAATAAGTCACCATGAATTAAAAAAATTCATCCTCTATAAGAATCACCCACACTCTTATCAAAACTACGAAGCCTTATACATTTAAACTTGTTGTCGGAAAATATATAAGTAACATTACGACTGAACCCCCATAAAACCATAATTCCTATGAACGAACAAATCGTTGAAAGAGCGATACTGAAAAGACAGCCTGTCCTCAGTTTTCTCTATTCCTTCAATGAAAGCTTTATAAAAGCTCTACCAATCGATAACAATATCAACAATTACTTGTAGTATTTATTTAATGCTTCTTTCTTGAGACATCAAAATATGACAATTTCAGAACTTTTTCAGTCGAAGAAAAGGAAACATTGAGAAAATAATACGCCATGTCAAATAGAAAGTATCAATGATTAAAAGGTAAGCATTGATGAGAACTAAAACACATATGCATGCATGCATGCATGCATGCATATCTGTAAAGACTGTTACACAGGCAATGGTAATCAGCGTTTGAAGACAATTCGCTCATTTGAAACCAAAATTGGCCAATCAGCGTTAGCGAAGAGCCACGCCTTTCCAATGACAAATGAATTAGCCGATGAGGGTATTAGCACCGCCCATATTCGCCACAGTAATTACTTCGACTTCATAGATCAATTAGTGATGCTACGCGTCGTTAATATTACAAATTAACTATGATGTTAAGGCATAAGATAAAATAAGAGAAAGCTGCATTAAGTACAACTTACTGATGAACTAATAATCAATACCACATCCTTAAACACTTCGTTGCTTTATAACAAACTCCGAAAGTTCTTCGTGATATTTTACACTAACATTAAGTGCTTTTCTCTGTTTTAGACATCCAAAGCAATCAATGAACGACTAGCAATTTACAGAAGTGAATGAGGTATTGCAGAATTCATAAATGAAGCTAGTTGAAAAGATATTAGATGAAGCTATAACACTTAAGCAGAGAGGATTACAATACAAATCCTTGCATAAGCAGCAATATTTTCAAATTAGAATTACAACCTAAAAACTTGTCAGGAAGTTTCGAATAATATTCTTATCAGCATACATTATAATATTGCACAAAGACATATTAGATTTTCTAGACACATTTTTTCTTCCTTTTTACCGACCTGTCCCTCTTCGATGGTATGCTATTTCTCTTAAAGGAGCGTAAGACCAACTTCAGGCAAGAAAAAATAGATGGAATTCAGTAAAATAGTAGTAAAAAAAATACTACTTAGTCATTAAAATTCTATTTAAAAAAATCAAAATGAGATTTACTGTAGACATAAAAGTCTATTCATTAAGATAATTTTAATAGGATTGAAATAATATTTGTAGAATGGAACGATTAATAATCACCACATCTTATTATCGTCTTGAACTTATTGCTGATTAGATATCCACAGAAGTCAAGATAAATAAAAAAAGAGTTAATCATACTTTATGACATCTCATAGTCACTCATATCATCTGACATAGATAGAAATCGTGGTATTTGGTAAAACAGTTAAAACAAAAGGCTACGGACAATACATCTCATTAAAGGCTACATTTGGTCATCACCTTGAGAGAAGGAACAGAATAAAAGGACACAAAACTGAAAGAGGACGGTGCATTTCATATGCACCGTTCATATGCACAGGATAATCTTCACCTTCTCGAATAAATTGCCTCAAAAAGCTCATTAGAAAAGGTAGATAGGGTAGAAAATGGGAAGTTGCAATTAATGCGGAAGCATTAACCCAGTGGGAGGACAATAGAGATATTTTCTAGTTAAGATACTTCGCTTCGTTGGTGGATCTTTTCTATTTGGTAATTACTAACTATTTCTTCCTCTTCCACTTCGTATTATCGATGTGCTGTTGGCAGCGAGCTATTATTTGTAGATATCGCTTAAGTGGACCACTTTACTACTACTTAATTGCAATTTGATGATGAGTAGTAGGAGTGAGAATGATGGTAGCAGTTGTCAAAAAGGTCTAAGGACAAAAAGCCACTGGAGTCGTATTTGGAGGTAAACATAATTGGTGCAAGTCATAAAGATTAAGAAGTAATTAAGTAATGCAGTCAACTATGTATGAATTACAGATGAAGGGAAATTAAAAAATTGGGAGGACATGCATATAATTAAGATAAAAAAGCACTCATTTAGGGAATATAAAGCGAAAATATTAAGATGATTCCAAGCTAACAGTTTAAATAGCGTTGCCATAATAAAAAACAAATATTAATGGCAATCTTTCATAAAATTTAATCTTGTTAATGATGCAAACAACTAAGATTGATTATATTATTGAGATGTCTTATGTAGAAATTAGAATCAAAGATTTGTGATAATGTAAGATTATTCTTGTTCCTATTAGACATAATTCGTGATCTTTAGCTTAACTGAGTAGTAAAAATTACCATAATAATGTCAACGAACAGCTACAATGTCATGAATTATTTTTAAAAAAGTCTCAAAATATTATACTGATAATAAACAATATAAGGGAAGAGAAGGAGTGGAAAAAATAAGTGAACGATTGTTGCGCCAACATCAGCTTATCACACAGAGAACCAACTGATAAGTATTGTTGTTGCGAAATATTCATTCATTGGTCTCAGTGTGGTGTGGCTGTATTGGATGAGTAGCAGGATGTTGTGTAATTGAAGATAATAGCAACCAGTGTTTTCGTACCACCAATCATTCTTTCCCCGTGTTTTCGTACCACCAATCATTCTTTCCCCGTGTTTTCGTACCACCAATCATTCTTTCCCCGTGTTTTCGTACCACCAATCATTCTTTCCCCGTGTTTTCGTACCACCAATCATTCTTTCCCCGTGTTTTCGTACCACCAATCATTCTTTCCCCTTCATTTTTAGTTTCATCTTTTCCTCTCCAAATGGAGATATTCATGATTGAAGTAAAAATGAGATTAATTGTTTGTTACTTCCAAAATGTTTCCCAAACTGTTTTAAGTCAACAAATCGGGACATCACTGGTAGCAAGTCAGCATATAAACCAACCTCTCTCTGTCTAGAATTTTCTTCATCCGTCATCTTTCTCCGTCACTTCAATACTCTCTGCAAAGTTCACCAAGAGTTTACCGTTACAGTACTTCTTCAGCACTTATCATCCTCTTCCACCAGAAGAGAAATCCTCAGTTGAGAGAATAAAAAATTGGTAACTCACACCCATTAACATTAATACAGCGATGAAAGAAAAGGACAGGCAATAGATAGAGCAATGAAATAGTATTGTAATGGATTAATTATAACAGTAACAGAAAGAGAGAAAAATGAGCAGATAATGATAAAGACTTATTTTAGCAATGAGGAAAACTTTGAAGAAAGTAGAGCAATTAAAATATCCTTAACCTTTCCAACTTTTAGCCAAAGACTAGCTGAATCTCTTTCGCCGTTCTTTCTCTATGGCTAGGCTAATAAAAATAGCGATTAACTTACTTCACGATCTTCAAATGACTTGTCACTACAATAACAGTACTTATTATCTTTGTCCAGTAATTCCACACTAATAATCTATAATTGTTGGATAAGAGCACTGGGCGGAGTGGGGCGGGGCAGAGTTTCTAAAGGTACATTCATCCTCAACAACAACCGGTAACATGGGCCTGAATGGTAGTAAACGGACAGGATGCCGATGATAATAGGGTTAGCTAACCGACGAAAAGCATCGTCTCTCTTTCCCTCTCTCTCCCCTTCAATGTCCTTTTATTATCATAAATCGAATGTTACAATATCGCTGTGCTTGGAGATGAGCAATCGAAAGAAAAAATTTTTCGATTTAATAATAGGCGTATTTATCAACAGTAACATCAAGGTATATTTCAATACTTCTATTGAATTTTTTCACTGACACTACAAATATTTCGCATCTTTTGATGTATAAAAAATCACTCAGATGGTAGTAAAATACGCATTTTCTATCCTTTTATTAGTCGATATCGTCGATAGTCAATCAATAAACACAATATAATATATTGTAGAGGTTCAAATAAATAGTAATCATACCGAGATTCGCTGTCCTGAAAATTTGGGGATATGATGATCCACAGATTTCTGCCACAATTCGTGTGGCAATCCAGATAGTAAGATCCTGTAATCATCTTATCATTCAGCACAATAATGGAGGTACATGCCTGACAAGATGATGATCCGTACATAAATCTGCAAGAAGAGGTTCTAACTGCTAATGTAGACATTTCTTCCATTGTTAGTTGGTAACATTGTCGGAGGCTTGCCACCCTAATTCTTATGTTATATTTGCACGTGGTACCAAAACTTTCTTTGACAGTAATTATAATTTTACTTCGCACTCTTCGATTTTCACCAACGTACTCGCCTATTATCATCTACAGATTTCACCAAGGGAAGAGATGTCACTATTTTCTTAGTTTGCTTTGCTATGGGGGATACCAATTATATTTCTAAATTATGAAGACTTCTGTCTCAACATCAAGTCATGATGAGGAATGAATTTTGTTGATGAATGAATAATTTGAAGGTCTTCGGGATGTATATTGTTCAATCTCTATACCATCATTGCTCGTGTGTCCTGTAAAGAGTTGTAATTAGGGATGAGGCGAACAGGTCAATGGCCTTACGAGCTACCTACCATCACCGCACCATGGTCGTAAGTGATCTGTGAAAATTTTGAGCACGAAGAAAACGACGGCAAAGCAGCATATCCTTTCTGTACCTGCTTGCCTCTAAATTGTTCTTCCATCTTCTTTTCTTTTCCTTATCTTCTTGCCTTCACTTGTATTATGATATTTTGAGGAGTAGAGGAAAAGGAGGAGGGGAAAAAAGGTCGGATAATGCGTAACAATTGGGGAGATACGGAATGATGGGAAAATGATTCTCAAACACAATGCTGGCATAATTATAGGAACGCAACCTATCGAGGTCATTTGCTGCCATTGCAATTGCTACCAATTTTAATTTGAAAGACATAAAGAAGCCTGTGGAAAGATGGAATTATGACCTCTCACTTTCTAATATCGGGCTTGCACTTCAGGTTCACGGTAGCAGTTCACAAGTCTAAACGAAAACCGGCTGAAAATGTATTCTCGCGGTTCTAATTTCGCTAGAATTAGTGAACGTATCCAATTTTTATAAACTCTCCGAGTTTGAAGTCACATTTGAATAGGATTTCAAAGTTAAACACTTTTATTCCTTTTCCATTTTATTGTGACCATTGTTTGGAAAAGAAATGCACTTTCGCTAAACGTGTAAAATACTACGAAAGTTTCATAACGCCAAAAGTATCAGAGATTAGATATGCATAATAACGTCAGTGAAGAAGGAAGTATCCAAGAGCATTTGAACTATTTCTTTAAAAAAACTGAGTGCTACAAAAGTAAATATTACATAAAATGTTCAATCTAGTTATTTAATGAGTTGGCAGACTAGTTCTAGATATTATCTCTTTGTCATTTCTATTTGTTTTATCTAAAAGATTTAAAAAGCTATTTAAAAAAACTTGATTAAATTTCCTTGGAGTGCGCATATGAATTAGAAGTACGCATGCCTGAACGAATAAGAAAGGTTTCGGAATATTTAAAATATTGATCATTTTCTATTTACTCCAAAAAAAAAAACTAAGATGCTTTTCAGGATAGAATTCGAAGGTCGCTTTACAAACAGCGTATTCCATAATAATCAGAAAACATCCTAAACGTTTCTGCTGGAAAATATGCCTCTCTCCCACAAAATTTTAAAACTGTATGCTTGAAAATAATGCTTAAATGATTTATAGCAATTATTCTTCTTATTTGAATGCATAATTAGTCGTTATATAATTTTACATTAAAAAGAACAGATTTTAATTCAAAGCATCATCTCTACAAAGTCAAGCACCCGAAAATTGCATCTCAAATTATATTAAAAAGATAAATAGGAATTTAGATAAAGAGGAAAAAAATAAGTTGAGATATTACAAGATTAGGATTACCAAGTAAAGACTGTAGTCTATGTCTCATATAACCCAAAAAAGAGAATTTGTGTCCATTTAAGGTTGGAATATAAAGCTTGGCGAAATTCAATTTCGCGGCTGAAAATTTAGATTTAAGATAAATATTGTAAAGGCAAATGATAAAAATTGGACCATTTAGTTGCTTCGTCCTATACAGTTTTGCAATAACTGTTCATGCAAAATTAATAAAAGTATCAACTGCTTTTCAATATTTCAAAGAAAATCCATTTCTTCTAGGAAGTTTTCTCGAGGGAGCAATGTTAAAAAAAAATATGTTTTTTTTTTATTTCGCTTATAATTCTTCTCACAGTATTCATGTTAAATATCAATGACAACAGTAATGGATATTGCTATCTCAAGAAAATACCACCGATATCACTACCAAAAGAAACGACACTATTTGATTGCGAGGAAGAAATTATGGAAGTTACAAGGGCGCAGAACTTTCAAGGACATCATAATCCCAACAAAATGTTTAAAATTTAATAATAATCCGTAAATGCTAATAGTTTTTTGAAAAAGGAAATTGAATATCAAGTAAAACGAATGATGCCTTATCAAAGGATAAGTAAATGCCGTAAACAGTTGCAACTTTGTTTCTTAATTAGTTAATTATCGCAGGATTCGAATACAAAAAGTTGAACAACATTGTGAAATGAAACAAAAAATCTATCCAAATGGCTCTACGGTATATTTGTTGAATAGAATAGGAGGACAAATCTTCATATCACAATCATACTCAGTCACTTTTCCAACCTTTTATTCAGGAAGTACTTGCTATTCACCAACAGTTCTATAAGCACCCCCTAAAAAGTAATGATCGATATACTTTGGTGACAGCTGATGAGAATGAGTGAGAATGCCTGCTCGTACATTTCAAGATGTCGAGATGTGCTCCTGTCGATTGAAGTAGAACTTGAGGTATATTATGTACAGGTATATCTACCATCTCTCTGTCTATCTTTCTCTCCCTCTTTCCTTCTCTTTTGTGAAAAAGGTGTGAAAATGAATGAATGTTTGTGTACGTTTCCCAGTCTCCTTGTTTATGTAAATATATATGTGTATGTCTGTGTATCTGTATTTGTATGTACGCGTGTGTATGTAGGTATGTGTGTATGTAGATACGTCTATGCATGTGCGTGTAATGTGTATGTATGTGTGTGTGTGTGTGTGTGTGTGTATGTGTGTGTGTGTGTGTGTGTATGTGTGTGTGTGTGTGTGTGTGTGTGTGTGTGTGTGTGTGTGTGTGTGTGTGTGTGTGTGTGTGTGTGTGTGTGTGTGTGTGTGTGTGTGTGTGTGTGTGTGTGTGTGTGTGTGTGTGTGTGTGTGTGTGTGTGTGTGTGTGTGTGTGTGTGTGTGTGCCCATATCTTACTGTCTGCAGTGTTCGGTTCTCGAAACGTGTTTGTGGCAGAAAACAATGGTATAGAATGGTGATTGGCGTTGCGAAAAGAAGAGAGAAGGTGGTTGTAGAAGAGATGAGATGGGAATGAAAGGACAACAGGTATGAAGTGAGTTGAGGGAAGAAAAGATTCACAGGTCAACTTTCATTATTTTCATAGACCAAATCCACTTACAACTCGAAATCACAACTGGCCAAGTCAATTGAATAGCAAATCTTGCGAAGTACAGCGAAACAAGAGTTAAGTGGATAAATTCTAAATTAGTTAGTTGGACTTGAATGAAAGTTGACTGAAATTGAATGAAATGAGTTGAACGAATGAATGGTGAAGAGAATAACCAAAAATGAACTACAACAGAACGTAAAACTTGATACCTTCTAATTAAATGTCCGTCCAATGTTTGCCTATGTTTTCAGATTAGTTACTTGAATCGAAATTAATAAAATCAAGGAATTTCTCAAAATTTAACTCCAGTCCTAAATACGTCTGTAAACATACATTTTGTGCTTGTGACCGTATGGCACAAGGAAATACAGCAGTAATTGTCACAACAACAATAACAATGACAACAGTAATAGTAATGGCAATGGCAAACGACAATAATGACAATTTGTTATGTCAATATTTTGAAGCGATATTTTAATGTTAGATGAAATGTGCACACGAAGACGCATTACCTCACTCATTATTTCTTCCCTTCCATCAGGTGTGAAATCTTGCGAGTTTTTTGGAAATCTGGGAAAAATATATCGGGAATGTAAGAGACAATCTGATCAAAGTTAATCATATTTTTATAAAAGAGAGTATCAACAGATTCTTTCAAAGTAAATCGTGATTCTCGAAAGATGTATCTTACAGAAAACCAGCTAATCATTGATTAATCAAATAAATTCAGTATAACAGTTCCTAGATCGTCACCATAGAACTCTGCCCGGAGATAGGCTATTGAATGAAAATCGGTATGACCACCATTTGCAAGAATTATCTGTACTGAAGTGTGGGAAAACCTTCCGTAACTTGTTTGCAAGTTCAGAATATTTCGACATTCCGAATTCAGCATTTTAGGTTTTTTTTCGAAGTTATGAACATAATAGCGTTTCTTAACAAATTATCTGCAAATCTAATTTATTAATTAATATTCTCTAGTTTTTGAAAGGAAAATAAATTATTTTGCTAATCGAGCCTGCAAAAACTAATCTTGGAAGCTTCTTAGATCTTACCAAAAATGAAGAATACAACAGCTCATATACCTGCTTTGAAACATGCCGATAATTTGGTGTGTCTTTCCTAAAATGTAAAATTAATTTCTTTAAAATTAAATTTTCGGTTGGGAAATAAAGGAATAGATGGCGGACAGAAATTACATGTCAACGAAGAAACTGTGATTTTTGATATAAAATAAGCATTCACTTGTTCAAAAATTATCACCCAATTTAATCTCCTTTTTTCTTCATTCCTCTTTATACAAGAAGGGATTCTGTGGCAAGAATATAAGACTAAATAAATTTTCCACCAATCGTTGGTCACTGAATGCCTTTTTCTGCAAATAATATATTATCCATATGAAGTTAAAGAAGTCTTGGCCTTCTCTCTTTTTTCTCTCTAAATGACTGCACATAACATTCGCTTTCATCTCAACCACTCATTTACTTATTTATTTATCCATCGCTCTTAATTCATCTTCTGCACTATCTACTTTAAAAGTGTGTCTATTGTTTTACGCCATTAACATAGATCACCAGTATAATCTCATCCTAATACCTATGATTTTGAGAAAGCAATTGTAAGACAAAGTTAAACAGGACAAAACATATGTTCACATGTTATATTCTGGACAAAAAGATACAATCAGATAACCAGAAAGTAAAAAACCATGACTTAGTGATTAAAATTATTGAACAGAATCCTAGATAAGAAGGAACCGGACAATCTGGAATTCATTACAGTAAGCGGTTGCAAATACTACTAATTCAGCAATATATAATTTGTTTAATGAATGATAATGCAATATTTCATTTGCAATGTTGTGAGCAATAGCTGATTGATTTATGTCCTTGTACTTGTACATTAATCAGCAATCAGTAACGGGAAAGGTTACTAATTGTTGATTATGCATCAACTAGTTAACGGAACTAGTTTAGAATTGTAATTCACTTACCATCTGTGTTCGCTGCACATGTTTGTCGGTTCTTGTATGTAACTGGAAATTTGCTTTCAGGCTAGTACTATACGGACACAGGTTACAGTGATAAACACCTTGTATCACTGAGATATCTCCAATCACTGGATGACTTCGGTCTTTCTCTTAAAAATACTTTTTTTTTTTTTTTTTTGATTTCCTTTGAAGAGTTATTTTTTTATTTCTAGTTTTCCATGTAAAGATATAAATGCAAATGATCAAGGCGTTAGAAGCGGGTATATTTCTCCTATATAATATTAGTATTCCAGATTTGTTTCAAGATACATCTTTAAAAAATTTCATGAAATTTTCAAAGAACATTTTCAGCGCCAAACTTTGAGAACTGAGCTGCCTACCAATGTGCTCGATCATTTTGGAAATATTATCAGTTGAATATGTGGAACAAATCATGCATTGAAGTAAATTTTCTGCATTCAGATCACCGCTTGAAATTGCAATCGCATTACCTAAAACGTGAATTTTTTGTAACAACAACAGTGTCGAAAAAGATCACATTGTTCACCTAATTATTCCTTCCTGGAAAGTATAGATAGAAAACTAGATTCGAATTTTAATTGATTATTTAAAAAATTTTTTCAACGACCCTACAACGATCATTTCGTTATAGAAAATGGAAGACTTGGCACTGCAGAAACAACAACTGAACAAAGGCTCAAACTCAGTAACTAATTAAATAAATAAGTACCTGACCTGTAACTGGTGGTATTTCCTGCACCGCGTGTAAGTGCTTATCACTTTGCATGTGTATGCTCAAATTACCCTTTGTTGTAGTACTATACTTGCATATTTCACAACGATATGGTTTGTAGCCGCATGAATAGCTTTCACCACGGGCTAATCGAGGATGCGGTCGATTATGCAAGCAGAAAATGCACTTTACCTAGAAAATGCATTTTACCGAAAGATGCGTTTTTTAGATTGTTTGTTAAGAATCGTAAATTATTTGGAATTTAATGTAAGGTCTACCAATAAACTATGTGATGTATCATTGCATTATCTTGCTTATCTAATGAATATATTAATTATTGCTTGAAATAGATAGACCTCATGACCCGCATGCTTTTCCTTCATATGAATCTCCAGTGTTTCTTGGTATTTGTAATGCCAGTTGCATTTCGGACATTTTAGTGTTTTAGAACTGTTGCGAGCCGTTAGTGTGGTGCTTGAGAATACTGATGCAGATGACGAAGATCCGGGCATATCTTCTGAAAAACAATCATAAATTATGGATTGACAAATTACGATGCACAGAAATGAAGAATGGGCGCGACAATCAACAAAGAAAAGATTGAAACTAGTGGTGCTATATGACATTAAATATTGCAGTGATGATCAAGAGTGAAGGTGAACGCTAGAATCACAAATGTTAAAAAATCATGATCAAATCACAAAATCAGATATACTCTGGAGAAAACTGGTTCTATTTTGAAAGATCAGTTCAAGAAATATGTAGATATAGAAGGTACCACAGCCAAAAACCAATTTTTTAATAAATGTCACGAAGTCTTTCGTCGCAGTAATGTTCAGACATGACTTATCGATTTATTTTCAGATCTTTGCCAAAAGAGATCTCAGAACTTTCGACTTTTTGATATGAATCTAACTTGAATTAAGTGGCAAAAGAAAATATTTATTCCTGTCTTAAATCCTTAGTTTTCATCTTTTTCTAAATTTGGTGATGATTAAGATTTAAACTTGTTCAACACCCTTTCGCTTTCAATATCATTTCGGTCCCTTAGAATACTTTCCGGAATCAATCACTGAAAATTTCCTCACACAGTGACAAATTTCACTTGTAGATTAAAGCTAAGTTTCTATCCATATTTCTGTCATTTGCAACCGCACCATCATATTTCCTCTTTAACTGATTTATGAATATCATGAGTTTCTTAGTATAATTCCAAAAAGTGAAATATAATTTTAAAACACAGTTAAACGCACAAAGGATCGGTGTAAAATATCTAAATCAAATTTTATGATTGCCCAAGTACATTACCTTAAAAACTGAAATTAATTGATAAAGATCCAAGAAATGTTTGACTAGAATTAAATAGCCAGTTGCAATTGACACGTACCGGTTGTGCTAGTTGACGCTAGCTCTTGGGTAGATCCGTTCATTAAATTCATCGGGACACGTTGCAAAATCCTATTCGCTGTGAAATCGGCATCCGTTGATAAAATCATTGTTCTCTGCAAAAGACGATCCATATCCATGATTCCGCTATTGCTGTCACCCTCTGGCTTAGTACCGGAACCATAAAATACTGTATTTGAGAGTTGTAATGAACCACTGCCGCTGCAAATTATGCAAATTTTTAGGGACTAATTTGGATGAAAGCTTCATTATTTGCATAATTAATAATTAATGGCGTCTTGGCTTCGATAAACAGTCACGGAAAATATATGAAAAGAAATCGAGAAAAAATTGCATGAGTGAGGAGAGACACAGAATAAGTGATGAGACACGGGATTCAATAATGGTACGATAAAATGGTCAAGTTTGCAGGAGGAGAATCGGTTTAAGGTTTGAAAGAAAAAATTATGCAACAGAGAGAAGTAAATGAAAAACTGTTATACTCACTGATCACTACACTTGCCAGGTAAACTATTAGCTCATCTAGAAGTGATGCCATGTGACGTACTACGCTCGGCAAAGCGCATTATGCATGAGATACCAGCGTTGAAAGTGACGCTTTTCAGTAGAAGAAATAACATAAAGAATAAGAAAAATAAAATGATACTTTCTGCTTATAAAACTTTCATTTATAAAGACAAAAAATGCAAGAAAACTATCCTTTTTTTTTCAGACAACTAAACTAATATCAAATTCAATTTTTATACAAAAAGAGCAGTCTCAAAGAAAAAATTCTCGCTCTTCTCACAAAACATATACAACACCGATGTAACGCAACATACTAATATAAAAAAATTATTTACGTATTAGAATAATTAACCGGTTAGTTATTCTCACCAACGTGTTAACCTTGCACTCATCTATTTCAGGGAAGTTATGAAGTCCGTTATCTTTTTTTTAACTTCATTTCGGGTGGTCATCTCAACTTCATTTCGCCCGTTTCACAGAATAAACATATTTCTTACACGGTAATAAAAATAAACCGTTCAATAGATTCCAAACCGAAAGGGTGTATTTGCTTCTCGTCAGATTCGGTAATCACTTCGGACGAACATTTGCGCTCTGATGGAGTTGTTTCAATCTGACTAAAACATCTTTCGAAAAATACCTGAAACTTTATATTTTCATTTTTTGCTTGCACCTATGCCTTAAGTCTTATCTAAAGTAAAGTGTACAATGGATTCTTCATTATTCTTTCCTAAGTGTCTCATCCGAATTGATTCCCTAGTTCAAATAATTAGTAGCCTATTCCATGGCTACTTGAAAAGTTCAGCTCAACTCTTTAAGGAAGTTCACATTTGATGATGAAATCATTGTTGATGGAAGAAAGCGTCATATCAAATAAGACTGGAAAAAACATATGCTTGCAGTGAATTATTGTTTATTTGGTGTTAATTTCTGAAATGCTAACAGAATAAATATGCAAATTGATGGAAAAGAGGACTGAGAAGTGTATCGGAATGAATAGTGCCTGTGCCATGTCAGCTGAGTGCAATTGCGATAGTGCTACTGATGATGATGATGATGATGAAAATGATGATGATGATGATGATAATGATGATGATGATGATGGTGATGGTGATGGTGATGATAATGATGATGATGATGGTGATGGTGATGGTGATGATGATGATGATGGTAATAATAATAATAATGATGGCTTAATATTTACAAAAGTGTGAATATCTCGCTGATGATGGCTATGAAAGCTATTAGTCTCAGGCTGTGTGTCAGTGTGCAAGCCAAAGGCACTGTATAAACATTGCTAATGCGCTTCACACATGTGGCTAGCTCTATGCGTGTATGTTTATGTGCAATGTGTTGCGTGCTGTGTGTGTATGTGTGTGTGCACACACGTAGTGTATGTATACGTCCGTCGCCTGATTGTTTAACTGTCACCCATTCGCTCAAGGGACCAATTTTGTTCGTGTCACTGTGCCAAAACACCATACAAAAAAAGCTAAGGCAATAATCTCAAGTAGGATTTCATGTTTCCATAAATTTAGAATTGTGTTCGAATATTTTCAACTTTCTGAGTAGAAACAAATAATTTTAAATAATGTTTCATTCACATTTAAATTATAAAACATATGACTCATTCTCAACCAACCACCCATCTCTAAAGCTATGATTTTATGGAACTTAAATCTCCCTCATTAGAGTTAAGAAACTGTGTTACTGAGATTGGCCATTGGATTATTTGTCTTTCCCAAAGACTTGTACTCTCTATAGCAAGAGGTTGAAAAAAGTATGAAGCACACCTGGTTGCAATATGTGAATTTCAGCATGTTATTCTCAATTCATTTCGTTTTCTTGTTATAGCGATTATTATTTTTTCCAAAGAATATTTATGATAATGACGACAAAAATGATAATTATTTAATTCTAACTTTTAACGCTTTATATAATTTCTTAGCAAAAACTTCTTTTTTCTACAGACTTTAGGTCGGAATCTGATGTTGAAGTTTCAAAATGCAAATTGAAAAATGTTTGCCAGGCAAACAAATGGCAAGTTAATTGTAAGATAACAATAATTACGATGATTAAAATAATGACCCTAGCAAAGAAATGTTATTTCGGAATAATTTTTGCCTTCGACTAGACATAGGCGAAGAAAAATAAATTTGAGAAAATTTTTTTTTCCTCTTCCATTTTTAATACGTAATATGTCGTGGAATAGTAGCTACAAAATCAATCCTTAACTGATAATACAAACAATTCGCTTTCTTTAAAAGGAATCTATAAATTCAGAAAGAAAGGAAAATTATGAGCACCATGGTTATTTTTAACGATTAACACTAAAGAGATCAACTGAATCAAATTAGCCGATCATAATTTGCTCTTTAAGTATGATAAGCAAAACAAAGGAATAATATTGTATTAATTAAACATTTTCGTGAAGGTAACTCAACTTGGATAATTTTTTAAAGATTGATATTTCAAGAAATACATTCAAGAAATAATTACAAAATCAAATGCAGGATATACAATAAAAGATCAAATTGAGATGGAATAGGGTAGGGAAATATATTATTATAATTAGCAAATAATTATACATTTCATTGTGCCTTCTTCCTTTTACCAATTCCTGTACACAGCCATATGTGATAATTTGATAATAATATAATATAGTAATAATAAGAGATAAGGAATGGCCATAATTAATGACTACATGTTGCAAAAGAGTCCAAAAATCAGTAGTAACTAATAGGAAGAGACGAGCTGACTTTTTTAAAGTTATTCTAATAATGAAATGTTCTTATCAATGGCAAGATTTCTAAAAAACATGTCTAATCGGAGATTAGATCAAAAATATAAAGTTGAAACAAGCGTGACGCATTGCTTGGTCCAGTAGGGCTTAGCTTAGATTTGAATAAAGATAAACCGTCCAAATAAAAGTTAGTACTATAGTATAAATTTTGTACTTTTTGTCTAGATATTGTCTTCAAATGTAACATATTAATTTCGTGAAAAACTTTACTGAAACAGGAATTCACATACCGGATTAAAAGTATGGTCGAAACTTGCGTCGTTTACTCCTGCTGCTTCGCTCTTATTACTGTTATTGTTGCAATTCTTAGTGTTGGAATGCGACACCGAGTTTGACCTCATACAATTTATACTAAACAATTTTAGTTAACATATTTTCATTTGAAATTGAAAAGGGAAGCGCAAACGTGTGCAATTGAAAATCACTTTTTGAACACGTGAATAATGAATCAACATATATGATCAGTTGCAACAGAATCATTGAAACTATTCTACCAAGATACGAATAACATACGTTGAAGAAAATTCTCCTACTTAATAAAAACTAAAATTGAGAGCTTAAGGTTTGAATTTTAGAAGTTACGAGTATGTTGGGTCTAGTTAACAGCTCAGGTATGTATAATAAAATAATTACTTGTCGAAATGGCTTTAATCTTACTCATGCACCACTAATTCCTTTAGGGTCTCAAAATTACCGGATATTGGGCTAAGGTGCTTGGTTGAAAGCTTTCTGCCATCATCTCTTCATCTCCTCTCGCTTACAAATATCACGGTTACTGATAGCACACCTTCCCTGCTCTATCCGGAAGTCCAGTTAGAGCATCCTGAAATTTGGTTGAATAGGACAGCTCGGACCCTGAATGGGTTTATATTTGTTAAGAGAAGGCAAATTTGGCCTAAATTGCAATCAAGCGAAGCAGTCACCATAATTATTTCAAACGGCTTGTTTAGGCTTTGGCTTCGGCGGCCCTCCTTTCTCCCCTTTTAGTTAAAAGCTTCCAAACCGATTATTGCAAAAATTTTTCAATGGATCTAAAATACTTTTTCCTTTTTCTAATTCTCTATTTTACCACCAATCAAACTTAACAAACTACACTTCTCACCGCGTCTTACTTTAGTCCTGCAAGCTCCCATCGCGCCTTCGCCTTCCTTCCCTTATCTTTATTAGGCCCTAATAGCGCATTACCGTAATCTTTCATACAATTATAAACACACACACACACACACACACATACAGACATAACAGACTGACTAATGAATATGTCTCTAATTTTCTCCTAAATTTTCAAATTTGAGCACACACACACAGGAAGAAATTAGCTTACTCGCTTACCACTCGGCCGCACTTCTCTGATATAAGCCATATGTATGAAAGGAATGAAATTGGGGATGTAAAATTGCCAAAAATTTCTTTCCCTTTCTCAAATGTGAGCTAATAAATTTTGCGGACAATTTTAAAAATAATTGTTTGGCCAATGTGAAATAACAATATGACAATGACAGAACCGTAACCAATATGAAAGCAAAGAATCGCAAGCATTAATTAGTGAGCATTTACAACAACGCTTATCTAATATTCTTACATGAATTCTGCACTCTTTACTTTCAAGAAATCTGACGAAAGATACTCACATATGATCATATAGTGGTGAATGCGCTGGACAATGATGAAAACTGATGGACCAATCTTTAGGATAATAAGTAAATGTTTCAAGAAAGAAACTGAAAAATAAGTCAACGACTAATATCTGGTTGTATGTAACGAATTTCCAAATAGCAATAGGACAGGAAACAAATTACTTTGAATAGTAGATAGACAGTTCTGAAATTCTTGGAAACATTTACCTTTTCAGAACTGGCAGCAGAGTAGAGTTTTCAGAATATATAGTTTTATTTTTCTGTGATAGTGCTGCACTGTAATGCTTCTAGCTATATACAAGTTAGGGGAGCAGTTCACATTTTTACCAACAAACACCATTTCCTAACAAAACAAAACACTGCTACCCTTAAATTTCACACTTGAAAAAGCAGTAGAAAGAACTGTGACAATTGTAATTGCACTGATTTGTTTCTTAAATCAGATTTAAAAGGAGCTATACATGACGGATTTAAAATGTTATCTCACAGTAGGATTTTTGTCAGAAAAAAAATAATTCCTGGAGGACAGATAGGATAATTCTTTTGAGAAATTATGAGGAAAAGAAATGCTTGAAATTACCATTAAGAAATATTAGTGTCACTTCACTAGTTCTCCTTTTAACCAGTGATAACAGAGCCCTGTGAGGTTAACATTCAGATCCATCATGCATAGTTTCTTTAAACATTGATTAAAACAATAGCTCCATGATAAAAAATTTTCGGAAATATTTTGGAAACGAATCATGAGCAATTGATTTTAGGAAGAAAGCAGTTAACTCGAAAACACTTACTTGAAAATAAAACAATTAAAGAAATCATGCTTCCTCCTAAAGTTTTGCAATCATTAGGCATTTTTTCTGCTTAATATTAAGAGTAACTCCTGGATTTTCAGAAACTTGAAATTCTGATTTGCAAATAAGTTGCTAACACTTGGATATTTATTAAAGAGAGACGGAAATTTATAGATAGCAAAATAAAAATATTAAATTTCAGCACATTTTATGGTCGTTCGGTTTGCCCTCCACCCCCCTTTTTCAGTCAGAGTGTAGACAATTCGTTTTGTGTAATAAAAAATATAAATATTCTAAAAATGGAAGATTTTTATTATCGCATTTCTCCTATATTACAGGCCGAACACCGTAAAATGCAATAATAATTATAATTCTTTGTATTTCCCAGAAGAAATAAGATAAGGAATAAGTTTTCTTAGGTGTTATGTAAATGAGATACCCATAATTTATGCTTCTGCATTCCATAAAACAACCGTAACAAACGAATGATCTCTTATCATGCCAAATGGATTCATTTTTCTACGTTAGTTACTAGTTACGTTGTACCTTCTAAACCAAGAGAAAAAAAGATGTAATAGGTAAGCTGAGTGCGCGAGCTAATAAGAGTCTAATAAGTGACCAGCTTAAATGGAATCATTTGGCTACTTATTCTTTTGTCTTCAGAAAGATTGTCTTTTAAGTTGCGCAAGTGAGATAAATGAATTTCGAGTACAAGGAGCGCTTCGAATTACTAGTGAACCAGGATTAATTAATTGATTGATTACTTCTTTTTGGTCATGATGAACGGAGAAATAAAGTTTACAGAAGTAATGAATGGGTAATGGGTGTAGAATACTGCTTCATTCTTTCTCTACTGTCCCGCATGTTGCATAGCAAATCGCAATGAAACTGAATTTGAGCTGTCAATGTATCAGAATCCCTCAATCATATATCACAAATGAACTTCACGTACTTCGAATAATCCCAAAATATAGCCATCTGTT